GATTGATTAAATTTAAAGGATGGTATTTTAAAACAGTAAAATATAGATGACAAAATATGAAATGTTTTGAGCAGGTAAATATTGGTAGCACATAAAAAAATTAATATATTACGATAACATTTACTCTTCAAATATGAACTTTTATAAATAGAAATTAATCAATACATTGCATAATTACTCTTTATAAATAGAGACCCTTTGCCCCTAAATCCATGTGTCTTTACTAATAATAAGATACATCATATGAATAAATTAATATACTGCTATTATAAAAAAAATATATACATTAATGATGTTTTATATCAACAATACGAGGTATTATATTGTTAATATAATTTTTTAGTGTCTACATTAACAATGTAATTGTAATAGGAAAAATCATATAAATAGAAACAAAATAATCCACCGGCTAACATATTTTTTTGTTAGTTCATGTTATTATTTATAATAACAATTACACGTATAGATTGATTTATGTTAACATTAAAAAAATTTGATCAAATAATTAATTATAATTATTTTCTTAAATCTAAGTTAACCAAAGTAAATTAAGCTATTTACGAGTTTATACATTTTAGATTTCTCTCATCATATTTTAATTTTTGGTTTGGGCCGATATGTATCTTATAATTTCAATCCATTTAATATGAGATTTGATGTGCCAAAGTTTTAAAAGTTTGACATTAATTGGACTTTGGTGAGTGTCCCAACTTTTTCCTTTTGGGTGGATGGTACCATAATTTCCAAATATAGGTTATATACTTGTAAAGATCAAAGCTCCATAGATAATTATTTCGTGTACAATATTAAATATTTCAGCATTATAAAAACTATATATTAAATATTTAAGTTATATCATTTGTTACGCTTCAATTTTCACTATCCAAAAAGATAACTGAAAGCTCTGGCGTTGCTTAAGAAGCACTTTTTTTTTTTACTTCATGATTGGCACAGTTGAAATTTGCCAACGTAATTTTATGTTAACTTGATTAATAGGTAAAAATATATAAATAAATTTATAAGGTTTTTAGATTTTTTTAAAAATAAATAACTATTCAATTTTACTATTTTTTTACAAGAGTTTAAAAGTATAAAATTTTTGACATCATCAATAAATTTAAACTTATTTTAAATGTGATTTTTCATATATATATTTTTTGGGTGTTACGTTGGAAGTGAGTAGATGATCAACCATCTTACATCACCATGTACCGTAAAGGTGTCAATTGAGATATATGCTCATTAACCTTTGTTTATACTTTTACTATTGCTATCGTATGCATTACTAAAGCATTAGAAATTTTAGTAGATACCCAAGGAATAATATAAGATTCCACTAGAAAAAAAAGGGTATAGCTTTTTAAAAATATATATTTTTTATTTCTAATCATAAAAATATTATTTTAAATGTTTGTGTAAAAATGATAAAAAAAGAAAATACAAATTATATATCACCTTAAATATTGGACAAAATTATTAAAAAAACTAAAAAGTGGGCCAAAATCTCATAAATAAAATATGCAACAAGACTTTATAAGAGAAAATTTTAAGCTTTAAGTATATGGTTATTAAATTTTAAAAAAAATTAAACACAATAATAAACATTGACTATTTTTAAAGATCTTAATAATGAATATATGCATATCATAACAATAATTACCATGTGTGACCTAAATTACCATCTGTGTGGACTTTAACCACAATGCTATCATGACAACAATTATCAGAGTCAGCATAGATTAACCATAAAATCTACGAATAAATATACAATACGTATTTCAATAAATTTACTGAGTTCAAGATGTACAAAACATGAGGATAAAATTCTAAAAAAAATTAAGTTAAATACCATTCGAATCGTAATCAAAGGACTAATATCTAGCAATTAAAGAAAATATTTGGTAGACATTGTAAGAAGTATCTATATCTAAAGAGACCTAAAAATAGAAAAATAATAAATATAATAAGTCAAGTGATATGATAAAAAGAGAGAGAGATATAGAGTATTTATAAATTAAAATTGAGTAAAAAAATTCTTTCCAATAAACTGTTTAATTTCAAAGGTAGGTGGGTAGAAAAGGAGGAGGTGATTAAACAAAGGTAGGTGGGTAGAAAGGAAGGAGGTGAATAAGAATATGAAGATAAACTTGTTGAACAATTATAAGGTTTTATATATATATATATGGAAAAAATATAAAAAAAAATCAAAATATTGCGTTTTGAAAAAAATTACGAAAACATTTTTTTGGTACTTTAAAACTTTTTTTTTAAATTGTTAGTGACAATTTTTAAAAAATATTATTTTTTGAAAAATCATCATCAATGAGTTTTTATTTTTTTATAATTTTTTAATATTTAAAAAAAATTGGGACGATTCTTGAAACCTAGTAATTTATTATTTTTCTATTGGTATCTATACCAAAAATCACTAATAATGATTTTTGAACCTCATAATTATGTATTTTTTTTTAAAAAAAATCATATTTTGGTGTTATATATATTAAAAATGTATCTATATTTTTCCTTGTACTCACGAATGAATATATAATTGGGTGCTTATGAGCATCATTTGAAACTTGACAAAATCTTCCAAACATAAATGCGGTTTAGTTAAATGTCAACAGAGTTATCTTGTTCGAGTGGGAAACTTCAAAGTTGCAACTTTCTATTTCGTTGTGTTGGGTTGGCCATAAAATGCAACTTGCAATAATTTAAAGGCACAATTGCCAATTCCAAGGCACATTGCCTACCATTTGGGATATCAAACATGCTTTCAATATCTCTCTTTTCCTCTATCTTCTCCTCATTGTCTTTTGCCTTGTCACTATCAATTCGTTTATGGCAATCTATAAACTATATTAGGTTGAATTTGTATGCATGTTAATTGACAGTGAAATAGGCAAAAAGATAAAGAAAAACGATAACAATAAGAATTAGTCAAAGGAAAATGTGGGTTGGAGTAATAGTTAACTTAGGTAGTGTTAAACTTAAGTTTTTTGGAGTTTAAATTTTTCTTTCAAGTGAAGTTGTAGATTAGGCTTTATAATTAAATTTATAATTGTTTAATAATTTTATAACTTTTTTATTTTAAAACTTATTTTGAAGTTATAAAATAAGTAATTTGTTGTTGGGATTTAGAATAAAGAAATGGAGAAAGAAAGTTCTTAAAATTATATTATCTATTTAAAGCTTTCTTTATTTGAGAGAAAAATGATTATTTTATCTCTTAAAATTATTGTAAATTTGTATTCAACACTTTTTTCCTTTTAAGAATAAAAAACTTCAAACAATAGAAATCAACATTACCTTAAGTCAAATTATAAAATATTTTTAATAAAAAATAATTTAGATGATGTCTTATAAAAAATTAATATTTTTAAATAAGGAAACAGATAGAAAGTGAGAAACAAGTCATATAAGGAAACAAGCTTATTTGTTTTCAAAAATAGAAAAACATAAAAATAATATATGTTTGACGAAATTTCATTTATTTGCAGTTTTAAAAAACAATTTTAAAATTCAAAAGTCAAGATGTTTGATTTCTAGAGTGAAAAACAAGTTAAATAAGGCAACAAACTTCGTATACAAGTCATTTTCTCTGTATGATCTATGAGATTTAACCTATAAAGCTTAGTGCTTATATTTTTAACCATTTCAAACAAAAATATTAAATAAATTATAAATTTTTAAATCAGCGTGTGAGGGTTTATATTTTCTAGTTAAAAAAAATTAAAAGAAAAATATATATTCCAAAGCAATAAAAGTTGCTTAATTCAAAAAATTCTTATAAAAGCCTACATTCATCTCATGAGTAGGAGTTTTGACTTATATGAGAATTTCTTTGATTACCTTTTTTTATAAAATTTGTTTGTTTTCAAAAATAGAAAAAAAATGTTTGATGAATTTTATTTGTTTGAAGTCTTAAAATCCAAAAATCAAGAACAACTTAAAACATGTTTTCAATTGAATGCCATTTTTGTAATAAACTCATATAATCTCATCCATTCTTTATTTTTGAAAAACAATTCCAAACCATACTCTTCTTCTTCTTCCCTCCGACAATTGAATGGCTTAAGTCTCGGAAGAGTAAAGCCTCCAAACAACAACATCAATACTAAGACTAAATCTAACAGTCATAGCTACACATTGAACATGAGTTGTGACAACTGAGGCAAGGAAATGACGCGTGGAGTTTATTATTCACTGCTCCATAACTACCATGGTAATTTAGTGGGGTTTTTGGCATTCTCCCGTGGGACATATGGAGAAATAGGAATAATTCTTATGTTTCATTTGAATGCGTGAAAATATAAGAAAAAGAAATTTTAAAAATTAAAAATATTGAAATTTCGTGATAGGTCATTGTTGAGGGATTTAGTGAAGTGAGATGCTGGAAAAAGTGAGAAAGAAAGCATTGGAAAGAAGAAAGTTTTAGTTTATGACAGCGGAAATAGTGGGCAAGAAAACTTTGGGCTGTGTCTCTTTCTTTTGAAAACAATACAAAATATCATGTCATCAAACACTTTCTATAATGACCCAAAAAAAAAACCACTATTTTATAAAATAGTTTTCAGAAACAGAAAAAATAATCAATTAGGGTTTGTTTGACTTCTGTTTTAAAAACAGTTTTTTATTCTTAAAAATAACTTTTAATACAAATTTATACTAAAATTTATTTTTAAAAATAAAAAACTGTTTTTAAAACAGTAATCAAACATGTTCTAAGTTTTTTATTTTTGGGATCGTGAATTAGCCCATAATCTAAGAGAACATGAAAAAAAATGCAGCATTCATTGGGCTGTAGCCTAACTAAGACCCTTAACTGAAGAAAATACCCCTTCCATAGTTTGCTTTATCCTGTAATTTTATTATTTTCGAACTAAACCCTTTTTAAATTTGTGAAGACCCAACACAATAGCCACATACTAGTTATTTTATGGTCAGCAAAGTGATTTGACAAAATGCCTGAGCAGCCTGGGAGATTTCGTTATTTTGTTTACATAAAATAATCCCTAAAAAAACTTTTACATATAATCATAGTCAGTAACGAATATATCTCACCTCCATTGAATACACAAAATTTAAGCTAGTATGAACATCAAAACCATTAATATTTAAGAGGAAAAATAATCCCAAAAAAATCTAACTTTTTGTTCTATCTCAATCTAGGAAAACCTTAAGTTACTACAGTTTTCACTTTCAGCATAAAAGTTAACAATCTGGATTCTGTAGAGTAATACCCAGCCCCAAAGAACATAAACATAGGCCTTGCTTAGATGATTTACAACCTCATCCTATGCAATGATACAAGGGCTTTGCTCACCGAAAATTTCCAACCTCAAAAACACAAGCCGTTTCATCAAGTGAAGCCGAGACAAGGTAATCCCGATTAGCAGACACAGAAAGAGACTGAATGGCATCAGAATGCCCATTGAATGTTTTTACACATTCACCAGACCGGCTATCCCATAATCTCACTTTACCATCCACACAACCAGTAGCCACATACGATGCACCAAGCCATGCCAAACATGTCACTCCTTCCTGTCCACATGGCAAAATTCCTTTATAAAATCATACATAAGAACAAAAATTTGCAAATTCAAGTCAAAATAATATTATAATTGCAACCAGAAAAGTGAATGGACATACGAGACACTCGCATAAAGCAAGATTCCAACAAACCTCATGCTCACAAGTGCCTCGGGGTAAGAAATGCTCTATATCCCAGATCATCAGTTTTTTATCCATGCCTCCACTTGCAGCCCAGGAATCACTGACAAACAATTTTAAGGGACAAAATCATTGATGGCTCACGTCAAATTTAAGAAAACAAACTATTCATAATTCCATTTGTATAGACCATTCATATTTAAGCAAGGTTTGGGTCATTGTGCGCTACATTATTCCTTCGAAATAAGTAAAATTATCTATTAACATGGTGTTTATCCTATAAATTGAGTCACTGAAGAATAGGTCAAGTCTAATAACATATCACAATTCTTGAGTCATTGATGACACTTTGTTTTTTTTCATCTTTATTAACAAACCCTTATTATATTATACCTGTTACCAATAAGACTATATTTTGGCTGTAGCATTATATTGGTTGACCTATTTTCCTCATCACCCATTCAAACTATCTGTGTGTCAAACAAAATTTCCATTGTGCACATGCATAAACCCAGAAGCATAGCATACTACTACATGAAAACGTGCAAGATTGCACATATAGGCAGGCTATGAGAAGTTTGTTAATCGTAACACACACCTTGGTGCAAAACCAACACACTCAATGGAGTCTGTATGAGAAGCAAGGGCATTATTATCAACAACCTGTCAAACACAATGCTCAAGTTTCTAAGACACCAAGCAGGAAGCTAAATTTATGTAATCAAACCCCCTTGCAAAGAAATCAAATTTGCAGCAAGCAGAAACAAATGTAATGTGGTGAAAGTGCTGGGGCCTTACAAGAATACTAGACAGGCTGTACTACGGAAGGACATAATTCTAAGAAAAACTATATTGTTTCACAAAACATAAAAACAGTAAAGTTGAATACCAGCTCAAGCTGTCTTGCTAGGTCACAAACCACCAACCAAAATTTTAATTAGTCAAATTCCATACACAAATCAACTTTTATCTCCATATATTTGTGCATGACAAAATATACCAATCTTGATCCATATTGGGGATTGGGCATCGCTCAAATTAGTCTTGTTATTGTGAAATTTTAAAATTTAGGAAAGGTAGAATTTAGTCAGAAACTAGTCTTGCTAAATGCTCTTTGATCTGATTCTCAAACATGTTCACATGTCCGTCCCCTTTATTCCTTAACAAGAAAGATGAATTTATGAACAACAGTAGTTCATGATAGTTTTTGGCAAATGATGTTGGAGGCTATCATCATTCAAATAAATTCTAAGAAATTTAGCATTAATCACTGTGTTAAAAATTTTATAAACAAATTTTTTTCTGTGCAACTATTGTCTCATACATCTTAGTAGGATATAGATAAAAGTTGAAATCATGTGCCAAATTTTAGAAACATTACTCAAGAGTTAAAAGACAGCCATAGGTTTCTCAATAATGTGACATCATACACAGGCAAAGACACAAGATAAGTAGACCACATAAAATAGTGCAGTGAATATCAAATGTAATTCGAACACGTACTCTTCCTGTGGTGATATTCACAATATGGACAGATCCATCCTTGGAACCGGTAAGAGCGAGAGTTGAAGTTGAGTTTATTGCCAAGCATGTTAACCCCTCAGTATGATATGGATGACCTAGAATGCAGACTCTAACAGGTTACCAAAAGCAAAAAGGAGACAAAAAATGAAAAATGAAAATCTGCAGACAAATGTAGAATTATTCAACATCAATATTTTATAAAGCTGTCATGACATGACATACATCAAGTTTTACCTTATGAATGTTGTCCCTACTTGAGAAAAGAGATGAAAGGTACACATAAGATGCTTTTAATTTACTTTAAAAATTGCTCAAAATTTGTCCAATACTCAGGAACCCATAAAGAGCAATTTACATACCTCGCACAACATGAATGTTTTCTGCACTTCTTGGATTCCATATTCTCAAGGTTGCATCATCAGAACCAGTACATATTATTTTCCCTAAGGTACCAAGCAAAAGGAAATGGAAAAGTGTAAACAGATATAACACAAATAACAACATTTAACAAAAAATGCACCAAGACGAAGAGAAAATACTACCATCAGGAGTAAAATCACCACAGGTTACACTGCTGCCATGACCAACAAATGTATTAAGTACGATGGCACTATCAGTATTCCACATCCAAACAGTGAAATCCTCAGAACCAGCTAGGAGTATGTGTCCTCTTGGATGCCACCTGAGCCACTGAAAAATTCATAGAATCTAATTTAGTAACTATTTACAGAAGAAAAAGCAAGAAAATTATGAATTTCGTTTTCATTTTGTTTCCAGTTGAAATTTTTTCTACTGATAATAACTAAAACACCAGTTTGTTTTCACTAAAAAATCTCACCTCAATGCCGCCTCCAGGACCTTCCAGTTGTCTAGCTTCCCAATTTGCAGATACATCCCAGACTTTAATAATTCCATCTAAGCTTCCTGATGCAAGACGGTGTCCATCATAGCTAAAAGCTAAACTAGATACAGATTCTTCATGACCTGCACAGAATTAATAACAAACTCATTTGGACATTCAATAAATTAGAAGTAACGTGATATCGACTTCACCAATTATTTTGCAAAATTTATCTTAGATATACAAATATCCATCCATAGGTACCTCTACTCTAATATCATGCAAATACCTTGAAGCTCAAAAGCCCAATCTCCTTCACCAATCTTCCAGAGAAATCCTCTGTCATCACTGCCCCCTGTAGCCACCAATGTCGTATCTGTTGGGCTGCAGGCAACTGAGTATAATTCCCCTATAAAATAATTCAAGAAATCATCAACATAAATTCCCTGGCAGCACCTTGAATACACATGACTTCAAAATTTGAAAAAGGAACAAAAAAAACCAATTCGTCAACAAAAACTTCGAGGAATATCTGGCTACTTAGAATCAGTGGATATGATTTCATCTAATTAAAGGCTAAATAAAAATCAGAATAGCAAGCAGAAACATAAACAAAAGAATAGAAATCTTACCAGTATGACCAGTGAATTTGTGCACAAAATCATCATCATCACCTTCTTCTGAAATTGTGAAAATAATATTACTACCAAATACATTAACACGCCGTAAAACTACACATCTTGATTCTTACACTATGTTGACCCAGAGAAATCATACACAAGACTGGACTCATAGAAACCTAATGAAATTGAGCAAGTTCATACCATGTTCAGATTCAGAACCATCCTCTGCATCGGGAAGATCTTCACCGTCCATGACATATTCATGGATAATGTCATGGTCATCAAGGAAAACGTCATTGTTATCGTCTTCATCATCATGAAGAGGTGGAACAACAGGATCAGGGGCATTCATTGTATTAGCTCAATTATCAGTGTAACGTTTTCAACTTTCTAAACCTGTGCACAAAGTAACAAATTGATTGAGTAACTTCGAATAGCTTCTTTTCTCAACGTGAAAAAATAAAGGCAAAAGTAGCACTAAACTCATGAGTAACAAATAAATAAAAAAGAATTAGGGGAAAGCACGGATGATTAACATGAAAACAGAATAGAAGTCACAAGTAAATGCTGAATTTAAGAGCTTCAAATTATGCGATAATGAATCGTGAATCATATTTTCATTTGGAAAATAAAACAAAAAAGAAGATGAATTACCACGATAATTAAATAAAATTGAAATTAGACGAGCTCATCTTTCAAAGCGTGGGTTCTCCTTCAGTGTTTTGAGTTCCACTTTCTCTTCTCAGCAGCAATTTGAGTTCATAGAGTATCAAGAAGAAGAGTTGCAAACGGGTCATGGATGCCCAATTACATTTTGGGCTAACCCAAATGCCAAGAGGGCTTTCAATTTTTTTATATAAAAAAATTATTGATCAAAATGAACTAGAAGATGAAAATTAATTTAAAAATCCCTTCTACAGGATGCTATTTTAATGATAAATAATTTATAAAAGTAACTTTTATACTTTATTTTGAAAACGAATTTCGCACTTTAATTCAGTATAAAAAATATTTTTAACAATAAAAACATTGTGTATTCTTTATCATATATACATTTCTATATATAAAAGAAAGCATTGCAAATTACTTTATTTTAAGTTCATAATATAGGATTTTAAGAACTATTCTAAAATAGCATGATTGGTGTCTTTACGATCCTGATATATCTCTTTTTATTTTAATTAAATTTTTCAAAATTATTTAATTTAATTTTAGAACTACAAATAGTATCTATCAAAAAGATAAAAATTTAATAAAATTATGTAATTTTAAAATAATATATTAAGTATTATGAATTTCATATGAATAAATATATTTGCAAAAAAATTTAAAACTTATATTTTTTTTTATAAATGCAGATATGGAGATTTACAAAAAAAAATTAAAATTTATATAAAATCAATTAGTTTTTTAAAAATTATATATACTCTCTTTTTGTTGTAATAATTTTTTTTTACTCAAATGTTTGTTAATTTTATTCTAAATTTTAGATATTGAAGTTGTTTCTTATCTTTCTCTTTTTACTTTATGTAAATTTTATATTTTTCATAATTCATAATTTTACATTTATAAAAATTATTTTAATTTTTTTAAATACTTTATTTTAGAAGTAAAGTATTATTTATAAATACCTAATATTATACCCCACTCTAGAATAGTTTTTTTTTTTTTTTAAATTATGACCTGAATACTTTGCTTCACAAATAAAGTACTATTTATAATTTAGAGAGATTGATTATAATTTTTTTTTATCATATTTATTCTGTTTTTATTTTTTATCTTCACTCTAAACCTTTTTAATCAACAAAATCTTAAATTTTTCAACTTATATTTAATAAACTTGTAACATATAAAGAATAAAATTATCAGCAAAGAGTGAAAATTCTACGCAATTACTTTTCTGACCGTAGGAAACTCATTAGCATACACCTCCAAGAGCATGAAAACGATTTTTTTTCTATCCATTTATCATTGAAAAAATCAAAAGAGAGAGGTATACGCCTATGTATCACCTAACCCAAATATATAATAATTTATAAAAGAGGAACTATATTGAGAATATGAAGTAGGAACAGAAGAAGGTGATGATGTGCATAGTTGTGCTTCATGAATCTGAATATTACGTGTCACCCATATCGATCCACGTGGACAGAGTCTCAATGTGACAAGAGTTTCTTGCCTCTTAAGCAAGAAAAAGGAGCAATGTTCCCTCATCTTTCTTTGAATCTAATTTCCATTTTATTTTCAATGTTCTAAGCTCATTGCAAACTATCTTGAATTCATTCTCAACATGTCAATGCTTCATTCCTTCTTCAACAAAGCCTTTAAAGCCTCCAAATGGTACTTGTTATCCTCAATTCTTTATCTACACTACACTTAAACATCTGTTTATGTGCTTTAATTTGTTGTTTTCCATTTTCAGTGCAACCTTGTTGAAACTCACAATTCCACGTATAAAGTTGCTGAGAAACAGAAGAGAGGTTCAGCTGAAGCATATGCGACACAACATTGCTAAGCTACTTGAGGCTGGTCAAGAAGCCACGGCACATGTTAAGGTATAACGAAAATGATTTGTAACATCAAAATGTTGTGTCTTTTGATTTTAGAGTGTATTATTTAGATGCGTGTATAAAAAAAGATAAAAAGAATAAATGAAAGATCTAACTAATTATATATAATACGATGTAGAGTGTCAATTGTTTTATGATCTAATAATGGAACTAAAGTATAATTCCCCTAATTTCCATGTGATATATATTGTTTAGTGTTGCTGTTGACTTTTTTGTTTCAGAATTTTGAACATGTTTCATGGTGGTGCTGTTGTTGATGATGATACAGGTGGAGCATGTTATGAGAGAGGAGAACATGATGGCTGCTCATGACATCATTCAACTCTTTTGTGAACTTATTCTCTTACGCCTTCCGATAGTTCAATCACAAAGGTTTGTCAAGGAACGAAACAACAATCATACAACATGTACATGCATTGATAAAAGTTAAGATTCCAATATAAAGCCTCTGAGTTTTAACTTTAAGACAGTGTTTGGTAAGCTGAAAGAGTGATGAAGCTCCATCTATATGATGATCTACATGTTTTACGATTTGTTCGTTGTAAACAGAGGAGGGTTGTGAAGAGGTCTTAAAAATTACATATATCCTTGGGATTTAAGAGTTTTTTTTTTTTTTATCTCCAAATATCTAATTTTAGAACATATAATCTTATCCTCGAAGCCAATGCAGAATTTCTATATTGATATCTTTTCTTAGGTTGTTACAGAATAAAAGAAGCATGGCTTATACTATTTTGTCTAGATACTCAGTCAAGCTAGTAGTGGGTGAAAGGGTTAAAATCCTGAATGGTTGTTGGTGCAGATCCAATCTTGCACTTGACCAGTGTAGAAAACCTGCGTCAAATTATAATGCTGATTAAAGTTATGAACTTGCTTAATTGAATTCCAACCATTGTTTTCTAATTATATATCCAAATTCTCAATGTTGTTCAGGGAATGTCCCCATGATTTGAAGGAAGCAATGTCTAGTATATGTTTTGCTGCACCAAGATGTGCTGATCTGCCAGAGTTGATGCAGGTTCAGTTGCTATTTGCTACCAAATATGGAAAGGAATTTGTATCTTCAGCAACAGAACTAACCCCTGACTGTGGTGTTAATCGCCAGGTAACATGAATTTTCATCTTCTACAGATCTTTTTTTTTTGTACAGTTATACATACCCTTATTTATCATTAAGGTTAACAGCTATTTTCCTCTATGACATTCTCCATGTGAATTGCAATAGCAGTTAATAGAGCTGCTGTCAGTTCAAACTCCTTCAGCAGAAAAGAAAATGAAGCTTCTAAAAGAAGTTGCTGCTGAGCATAAGTTAGACTGGGATCCAACTGCTTCAGAAACTGAGTTCTTTAAAAATCATGATGACTTACTGGTAAGTATTTGATAATTGATAGTGTTTAATATTACTAGCCAAATGGGGGGGAAAGGACTATGGTATTGTTACTTATCTTTTTCATACTTCATTATCTTATGTGCTCTCCTTGTCAGAATGGCCCCACTCAGTTTTCAAGTGAGTCAAATTTGCCGCTTCATAAAGAACATCCTAAGGTATCAGTATGGCCAAGTACAAATGTTGCCACAGCTTCAGAAGTGATTACACTTTCTCCGGCTATTCTACCCCATGAACTTGATCTTCACCCATCAAGCCATTCTGGATCACTTGGATCAATTGTAAACAAAGATAAACCTCACACTTCATTTGGTAAAAAGGAAAGTAAAAAGTCTGTGCCATTCCTCTCACGTCCATCAATATCATGTGAATTGTATTCTGAAAGATGTGGTGACTCATCTCCCCCCTTATCAGAGACAAGAACTGAAGCCAATGTAGACTTGCAGGATGTGTTGGCTGCTGCTCATGCTGCAGCTGAAACTGCCGAACATGCAGCAGCTGCAGCTCGGTCAGCAGCTAGTCTTGCTGAAGCCCGTATTAGTAAGCTAACAAAGAAAAATAATGATGTAACAGATAGCAGCTTTGAGAATCCATTCTATGAAGGTGTTGCTAATAAGTCTAAAACAGAAAGGGAAAGACATTTCACTGAGCAAAATACTAAAGATGACTCTGATGGTGGTGGCACAAATGATGTGAAAGTGGAACTTCATCATGCCTCCCCATGTTTTCATTCATCTAGTTTCCCTTCATTTGACACAATCAATGAAGATTTTGGTCCTTCCCTACTTAGTCATCCTGAACTGGATGACAAATCCCCTTGTCAACAGCCTAAGAGTAAGAGATTACCTTCAATGAATGATGAATCAAGTTTCTCATACTGCAACTTATTCACCTCACAAGACTCAAATATTGGATTTCATACATTCAGATAATAGTTATTCCTGTTATGATTGTGACTGACAATACTCATCCTTATGGATTTATGAGAATTTCAAGTATTGCTTATGAGTGGGTATTATACTGCTGCATAATTTACTTATACTTTTTTTTTTATTTGCATATAGCATTTGATTATTAAATTTTCAGTCGAGATAATACATATTATGGCTGGCTTTGCGTGATGAAAGAACTTCTTTCAAAGAACTGCATTTTTTGGTGCGATAAAAGGAAGAAAGGAATTGAGGGTATTTATTTGCTATATAGTTCAAAACCCTCCTGTATATGCTGAATTATTTTGTGGTGAATTCATATTGTATTCGAAATAAAAGTATTCAACTTCATGCTTCTCTCTATATGTAGTTTTACAGAAAGCAGATATACTTTCCCATGCAAAATAATGGCGGCACTAAACTACTGTATGTAATAATGGTTACCTTGATGCAAATTACAGTGTCAAATATTATCGTGTGTAAATTTCTTTGTTAAATTTGATGTGTATCATGTCATTAGGCTTGTTATTCATGTTTTATGATAGTTGAGTTAGACCTAAGATACGTGTATCATTCGGCATGTTAAGCCAAGTTCTACTTAAATAGATGATCTGCTTGTGTTTTGCTTTCCCTCGTGACATTTTGGTGAATTCATTCGTTCTAGTTAAAGACATGGATAGAAGTTCCAAGATCAAATCATGAAAGGAATTTACTTAGGTTTAAAATAGAACATCTCTCGAAATCTCTGAAGTAAAGAAATGATTGCCCCTTTCTTGCCTTTACGATCAGTTCTTTTCTGAACACTTTAAAATTTGTTGTTGGTTTCCAAAACTTATTCTGCCGAATCTTTAACGAAACCTTAATATTTCTTAACCTCCTTTTTAATTTATTAATTTTTCCCTTAGAAATAATCTTATTTTATATTATATAAACAATTTTCAAATCAATTCACTGACCTTACATTCATCTTTTTTCCCTTTTCACTAACTATTAGCTGGAATCATTCCACACAATTTACCGTTATGTATAATGTAAGATGTAACCCATTTGCACTCCGCTCTTTGTAAAAATATATAATTTCAATCGGTAAACGTCCTTAAATTTCTATTTATGTTAATGATTCTATTCGTGTCACATGAACACTACTAAACGGTTAGAAATATCGTTCGTAGGAAAATTCGAATTTGCCATTTAAATTTAAAAAAAAAAAAAAAAAACTCCAGGAAAAATGAGCATCTGAGCAAGCTATATAGTATATAAGGCAATTCGAATTGAAATGACTAAATTTGATAACTTTATGATTTATTAGAAAAGTTTTAGAAATATCATCATCATCAGTCTCTGACCTAGCGAAAATTTCCTTATTCCTGAAAGGGGTGAGGTTCTTTTGGTTATTACTACATCGACAATTGAAATGGGTTTTTGGCAGATGATCCACATTCCACTCCCAACTATTTTAATAAAACATACTCATAGGAATGAGATTAAGGTATAAATTATAGATTGAACAAGTATAAAACATGGGTGTACAAAAAGATTAAGCTGCCATTGTTTCATCTAAGTAAACATCACTTCATCAAATGCAGCAGATGATACAAATTGCAACTTGACAAAGCGACCCCTATGCACAAATGTAAATGAATATAATGCAGTGAACTTACATGAGATGTAATCAGGATATGGTACTTCAAGGAACTCAAAAGGAAAAAAGAAAACTTTTTATAGTTAAAAAATAAGTCATAAATAATTCGATTCTTTTTTCTTAAACTTACTACTGTGCCAGGGTCACCTTGGACCAGATAACTCAACTGCATGTAGATTCTCGGTCGAGTCGACAATCCAATCAGAATTGGGATGAGGGGCCAGCTCCACCTCCTGGCGAAGAACCTCAACTTTTTGCCACTCATCCCACCTTTCTGCCAAGCCATCACCTTCAAGCATTCTCACCACTTCTGACATCTTAGGTCGCTCCATAGGGGAACCTTGTGTGCAGAGCAGTGCAACCTGGATTAACTGTTCTACCTCAGCTTCTATATAGTTGTTATGTAGATCAGGATCAACCAACATTTCAAGCTTTTTCTCTTTCAGAAGTCCTTTGACCTATGAAAATACTCAGCTGTATTAGACTTGGACATCTATTACAATACTGAAAGGGAAACTTTACAACATGAAAGAAAGCTTGCTTTGGAAAAATATTCAAGATAATGCACAACTATTCATATAAACAAGTAACAACAGAAATCAAAATATACTTGAATACATGTGATTCTTGTCTCGGCAGAGCTTGAATGAATGCTTGACTAAATAAAGAAATGCCAATGTTCTAAGTTATGATTATACTTCTTTCCAATTAATGAATGCATTAATTATTCTACCTAAATTCAGAAAGTGCTTATCCAGGCAGCATCTCTCTTTCCATAATGACAGCTGCTGACATATTCCATTTAATGTCATAATAACCTTTTCAATAGAAAGGTAAAAAAGCTATTCCATATTTCCAAAGCAACACACAGAATGTTGTACCAGAGGAAACACAATATGACAGGCACATCATATTTGTGCACCATAGATGGACACAATCATTCTGCCAAAGTCAACAATGTAACTGGCGGTATTGTAAAGAAAAACACTCCATTAATTATTGAAGGACGGCATGAAATGTAAATGCAACATAACCTGTAATTAACAAAAACACAAGGATACACTTTTACACTAAACATACCCAATCAAGCAGCATAACATCATCATCATTAGCAAGCCGAGCAAGGTCAAAAGCTCTCTGTCCAGTGATCAGCTCCAGAAGCATGATGCCATAACCAAAGACATCAGTTTTTTCTGAAGATTTACCAGTGGATAGGTACTCAGGAGCTATATGCCCAATTGTGCCCCGTACAGCAGTTGTCACATGGGTGTCCTTGTAATCCATAAGTTTTGCCAATCCAAAGTCCCCAACGACAGCCTCAAACTCTTCATCCAACAATATGTTTGCAGCTTTCACATCACGATGAATAATCTTTGGGTCACAATGATCATGCAAATATGAAAGACCCCTTGCTGATCCCAAAGCTATTCTTTTTCTAGTTGGCCAATCCAGGGGTTCTTGATGAGCAGGACGCTCTGAAATAAAGCAAAAACAAAATCATAAGACAATAATAAACATTTAAAGATGAAGAATATAACCAGTATAGGAGAGGGTCAACAATACAAGCAAAATTTACTAAGAATGTGTCACTATACAACTTAGGGTTTCTGTATGTTTGGCGTTAAAGCTAAAACCATTTCCATAAATAGGCACTTCTTAAATTTTTACTTTTTTTGTCTCTTTTTTGTTAAAGCATGGGAATTTTTTAAATACACTCCAAAATAATAAACTTGAGAATCTTTTTCCAGGCTTAAAGGATAATCAAATTTAATGGTGTAAGTTAATGGCAACTAACATTAGATTGAAATAAATTAAATAAAGATGGCCAAAATCCTGTGCTTTTAAAGGATATGTGCATTTATTAAGATAGGAAAAGAGTTCACGCCCAGGTTTTAAACCAGTGAAAGATCTCTTGGGATTTGCATGCTACAAGTCCCTCTCAAAACCACAGGTGTACAACTGTATAGCTTGTTCCCCTTTTAATCATTATTAATTGTGCCACAGCTTGAGCATCAAATAACCATAACACTTCCATACCTACTTCAAGAAGAGGCTAAAGTTGGAACTATGGAAGAAATTAGAAATAGTAACTACGACAATGAGAACTTTGTTCTCAGAACTGGGGCCCAGATAAAGGAATGAAAGAAATAAGAGAATCAGAAGGACACGAAGAATTGCTAAAAAACATAAAAAGCAAAACTGAGAATATTACCGTTAACTCATTGGCATCTTAAAACCTAAAATCAAAGAACTTCATTGAAAAAAAAAATATAAGAGTAGGCACTTTCACATACAAAAAGGATTCTAATTTTCTTTTTTACAGCCATAGTGGCTTCCACAAGAAATTACAAAAATAGAAGATCTACCTCTTAAGCACGACGCAACACTTCCATTAGCCATGTAGGGATAAACAAGTAGCCTTTCTGTTGGTGTCATACAGAACCCCCGCAGACGGAGGAGATTTCTATGCACAGCCATGCTAATCATCTCTACTTCAGTCTGAAACTGAAGCTCTCCACCAGGAGTGCGCTCCTCTTTCAATCTTTTAACAGCCACCAATGAACCATCTGCCAAGCGTCCTTTGTACACTTTACCAAATCCTCCCCTCCCAAGAATATTCTTATTGCTGAAACTATCTGTCGCAACTTGCAGTTCTCGTAGTGAGAACCTCTTAAGCTGTCCAAGATGGACTTCAGGATCCTCTTCAGCTGCAAATATATGCAAGAAAGTCAAATTATATCCCTTTAACAAGTCCAACCAATGTGATAATGCTCACTTAACTAGGATCCCTTACCAGGAACGTCAAAGAAAAATTCTTGCGGTTTCCTTCGACGCCACCATGCAAAAGCAATTGCAGGTGCAGCAAATAATAGAGCAGCACCTGCTGCAACTCCTCCAGCTATTGCCCCAGTGGCACTATTACCTCCTGCAATTAGATATAGAGGAAGGCTGGATCATCATTGTTTCTTTAATCTTCTTCAGGTTTATCATTGCATACTTAAATATACACTAAAAAACCATTTAAGTTAGCACATACAAATCTTGAACCTATTAGCAGATATAACTGACCAATGACTTCCCATTCCAAATGGACCAATGAAGAACTTAATCTTCAAAACATAACAGGCAATCAACAGCAAGTCAGGAAAAAAGGAAAACAACAGTCATGCCTACGTAAAATAACAGAACCTGTTTACAAAGAATTGGAAGAGCTCCTAACATGCTGAGCAAAAAAATCATGATATTCAGTCCCATCACTAAAGAACAGTTCATTTATGCATGCATAAGTGTGTGTGTGTGGGTGTGTGATGAAATATGATCAACCACTATAAGCCACATCCATAATAAAAAAATTGACATGGTCCTCATCATGAGCTTTATGTTACAATCTAGGCTCAGAAATTACCTTTAAAACCAAGAGCAATTGCAATAGAACAAATATTACCTGGGGGAGAAATTGGGGGTGGAGGGACAAAAGGAGGTGGAGGAGAAAATGGAGGAGAGCCAGGACAAGGGTGCCCAGTGACCGGGCCACAAAGATCCAAGTTGTTTGCAAAACTGCAAGAAGAGAAGCACAATCAGAAAAATTTTACAACCCAGAACCAATGAATGTGACAAATAACAAAGTTCAGTAAGAAACCTGATAGGAGTGAATAATGAAAAAGAGCCATTATCAGGAACCACGCCTGATAGACGGTTATTAGACAAATCCCTTCATTTGTACAGTAAATTGAAAAAAAAAATATATTAGCATTGCAATCAAATATTAAAAGAGAGAAGTAATGAACATATTTTGAGATAAAGTAGCACTCACAGAACTTGCAGAGATGAAATATTAGTCAATGTCATGGGAATAAGACCCGTCAGACTGTTGTTGTTAAGCCGGCTATCCTTAGACAGACATTCCAGGAAAAGAGAATTAAAGATCTATCCTGATACCAAAAATTCAAGAACAGACGAAATTGACAAAAACCAAACCGAGCTTTTTACCCTTCAACAGAAATATGATAGCTATTTACACAAAAAAATCTTAAGAATGTCCATAGAAAAGATCTAGAAGAACTCACAGGAAACGCAATTTTGACAATTTGCCCAATGAATCTGGGATAGGGCCAGTGAAACGGTTTAGGTACAGATCCAAGCTCACCAAGTTAGTAAGATTCCCCAGGTCACTTGGAATAGGACCAGTAATGTTATTGCTGTAAAGTTCCCTATCATGTAAAACAATATACATCAAAAAAATATGAAGATATAGGATATTTAAAGCAATTTTGGTAAAATCAGCATCTGCCAAAATTTCTGAGTATACCCCATCTTCTGAATAAGAATATTCCAGTCACAAACAGATACAGTTCTTTAAAATAAATGAGAGATAAAACAAAAATGAAGTTTATTTCTTTCAAAACTTTGAAAAGCACACATAAAAATTGATTCATATAGTTGACTTGCATAGCAACTGTAACCAGTAGAATACTATTTTCCCCACAGTAATCAGATAATTATAAGGATTGATTCCATTGAAACAACTGGGGACTAATAATTTAAAACCAGGATGGAGCTGTAGGCAGATGATCATTGTTATCTAGTCTAGTAGTCTAAAAGAATGATAAAATCCTGTTGATAAGAAAAGGAAACTTCAAATTACTGCCAACACACAATGTGATCATCCAGCTGATAATTCATAGAGGCAATAGTCAGGACCCCACTTGAGAATCACAATAAATCATTTATAATCAGAGCTCCAGATTTTTAAGGATGAGGATCTATATTACATTAAGAGTATGCCAGTAGAAAGAATGTTGTTTCAAAATAACTTCAGCTCTATAGTATGTTAATCTCTCTATTTCACCTCTACAAAATTGAAAGTATCAGAACTTGAGACACATCTTGATACTTCAAATGCAGTTACATATACTGTATATCATGTGACCTTTAAGATCCTACATCAATAAATTGTTTTTAACACCTTCTCAAAGGCAGTTGTCAAGGTAAGCTGGTAAAATCAGGACCTAAAAGATTCAATGGAATAATACACAGCCAAGAAAATCTCTTATGAGGGACTGCTAGTTCAAGAGGGTAGTGTGGTTGTGCCCAAGGTTATATTGGTGGAAGAAGAATCTTCTTGATCAATCAAAGCTAGAGCTAGAGCAATCAATAAGCAGGGTGTTCTGCTCTTCATTCCATCAATAACAATCCAATGCTACTAGTGCAATAAAAGATTTAATTATCAAATAAAAAAACAAACAAGGAAAATTAAGTAATTGTTGTCACATCATTAACAAAGGCCATGCAAAATTTCAATGATGTAAAGAAAAAGAACTTTGGAACATCAAATAAAGGGATAACATACAAATACTGCAAATTCTTGAGCTGACCAAGTTGTGGAACAAGTTGACCAGACAAAGCAGCATTTCCCAAATCACTGACATCAGACGAAAGTAAATATCAGAAGCAAACATTAGATAAGCCATCCTTTATGAAAAGAAGCTGTTCAGACAGAATGAGCATGTGTGTGACAAATATCAATGAACAAGCCGCTTACACCCTTATGACACTATTATCATTGTTGCAAGTTACATGAAACCATGTGCATGGATTCACAAGTGTAGGATCCCAACTTTGCAAAACATTATTAGGATCTAGTAAATTTGTCCTCAGACTATGTAAAGCATCACCTGTTTCAAAACACAAGAACATATGATCAGGTCCTCTAAAGATCAGAATACACTCACTTGCATATCATATCCACACCGATGATCACCTTCAGTTGTAAAGTTTAAAGTTAAAGCAGTTAGAAATAGCACGCACAAAAAATACTATACCATATAGATTGAAGCAATGCACTTTAAGTGCAATAAATTGATTGAAAAATTCAGACAAATTCAGTAGTAAATGCGCACAAACTCAAACACGCACCCATGTGCCCCCACAAACTGAAGCATGCACCCGTGCGTGCACGCACAAACTGAAACATGCACCCGTGCGCGCACGCACACATATATTCCGGTGCGTCCAGTAGATAAGGGTGTGACACCCGCACGTATATTCTAGAATGTGCATTAGGTTAGGACTAAGGATTTAATGAGCAGAACAGAGGCGATCTTAGGAAGGTCTGGCAAATTGCATTAATGACACTGTTACTAGCCTAGCCATATAAGTAATCAATCAGTACTTTGTTTGAATTCCAGAAAGCATAAACCATATGCAGGGCACCTGATAGGATAGCCAGATAGAAGGCATTGTCTTCAAAAGGCACTACATGAGTCAAGATAATCTACGAGGACTTGTTATACCAAAACAAATAAAGATGTCATCTGATCACATCTACAACATCCTTTTTCCAAAGGCCCACAAGCAAAGGATGATAATTGAAACACAAAAGAGAGCAGTGCAAACAAACACAAACATGTCAAACCTTAATACTTACCCCTTGATAAAGCCAGAAGCCATGAAAAAAAGAAAAAGGAAAGGAATCCCATTTTCTCAACTCAACAAATTCAAAGAAGCAACAAACAAAAACCAAACTGGTTTGATGACAGTTCCTTTTTTCTTTTAATTCTGTTTTACAAGGGAGAATAAATGAATCAGCTACACAGACAATAATTCCATTACCTTCCATGTTAGCAGAAATCAGCCATGGTGGATGAACCAACAAGACCCACCAAATGAAACCTAAAGCCCAGAACTTTCTCTCCATCAACCTATGTAACCAATAACCTCAGATCCAAACAATACCTCACACCCCAATACACCATCACAAAAACCCCCACACCTCTTCCCCCACCACAACCACCACAACAAAGCCAAATGACCCTAAACCCTAACTCACAAATCTCACATGCAAGCACCTCAAATCTCCCTCATTAGCACCCACCACCCCACACCCCAGAACCCGATCTCACCAAAAAACAACTCTTTTGAACAAACCCAGAAACTCAAACCCACACAAAACAAACTTTTTTCAAAAACCAAAAGGAATCAAAACATTTTCCCCACTTATGTTTTTTTTTTTTTTCCTTCGAGTTATTTGAAAAATTAAAAAAGACCTTTTCTTTCTTTCTCTCTAGCTAGCTTCCGAGGAACTACACACTCTCTCTCTCTTTCTCTTTCTCTGTCAGCGGGTGAGAGTGTTATCTTTTTTGAGTGAGGCGTGCAGTGAGAGAGTGAGTGTAGATAGAGAAAAGGAAATGAGGCTGCCCGAACGGTGCTGACCGCTGCCCGAACGCAGTCAAAAACGCCCCCGCGCTAAATCGTGGAAAGTGACGTGACTCTAACATGGAGGGGCAAAACCCCGTTTTTTGGTCAAAATGCGAGTGAGTTTGGTGGGCCCAGCATTACTTTTGTTTTTCGGATGCTGCCATGTCACACACATTTCCTCTAATATTTATTTTTAAAAAATTGTAAAGATATTAATTAAAAATAAATAATTAATAAAATATATTATTTGATATATTTTTTAAAGTTATTGAAAATAAAAAGTAATTAAATTGTACAAAATAATCATTAAAAAAATTAATCAAAAAATAAGGGTTTATCATATTTAAAAAAACATTTTTAAAAAAGTATATAAGTATTATTCGGTAATCAACAAAAAATAAACTCATCGACCTTTTTCTCAATTTAGGAAAATCTTTTCTTTCATGGGTCCCTTGCCAAAAAAATTCAACCACCTTCTTTTGTTTTTTTTTTTTTCTTCAACTAAATAAAATCTAAATTTTTATCACCAGTAATGTTGATAGGATAAAATTTTATTTTTAAAAAGTGTTAATATTGTTTTTTTACAAAAAAAAAAACAAAACAAAACAAAGAAATAAGATACTTTTAAATATAAGGAATTTGACTAAATAATGGATTACAGGCTTTTCAGGATTTTATGACATTTCAATTATTATAAATGATAAATTACTTGGTGTTTTTAAGGTCTAAACCTAGCTTAAGAAATTTGATTTTGAAAATATTATCCGTGGATCTGACTAAAAACTCACTCTGTCATTTATTCATAAGTGTGTTTTTATATTTGACTCGTATATTACTGCAGTAGATGCCGTAAATGATATTTGTAATATTTTCTATCAATAGTGAATAATTCATTTTCATCGCATTTGATGAAAACACAATTTTATTATAGATTAGCTTCAAACTTATTATATTTTTATGGTTCAACAATTCAATAGAATTACTGTTTAAGGAGTGTAATTGAAATGGATTAGTTCAAAGTTAACGAAAAATAATGTAATCAATTAAAAATAATTAGTTTTAATTGGTTTAATTTTTATAACTTTTTTCAACTTATACGAACATCAAATCACTATTTTTTATTAAAAACAATAAAATTATATATAAAATAAAAAATATTAAAATTCATCACAATTTAGTGAATTAAAAATAATTCAAATAGCCAAATACAATATAAATATTTACAAGAAATAAATTTAACGCTGATACTCACATAGATCTTGAGTAGTATTTTTTTATAAGATTTTTATTATTATTATTATATACTTATATAAATCTTTTTTTTTTTTTTTACATATATTAGTTTATTTCGAGTAGTTTGATTTTAAAATGTTTTAATTGATACTCGAGTAGATTAAAAATAAATTTTATCTTTTAGAAATAACTAATTACCAAAATTAACTTGTTATTTTATTATTGATTTGAATTAGAGTAATCAGGTTCGTAAATAGACTCTTACCGCTTACACCTATATTATTGTTACTCTTAGTGTAATATAATCATGTATGATCTTACAGGACATTCACACGTTTGCTAGTATTGTTTTGTTAATTTTTTTATTGATAAATAAACTTAAAAGTATGTTTTTAAAATTATATAACTATTACATTTTAAAAATTAAAACAAACTATTTTTACCATAAAATGTTATTTTCAATTTTGTTTTCATCGCGCAAAATTATTTTCCTCAGCAAAACCATTTTTGTTTTTTTAAAACCACACAGTTTATACTCGTTAAAATTATTTGCGTTAAACCTTAAAAATTTGAAATAACATTCATTTTTTATTAATTAAAAATTATTTTTTATTATGTATTTAAACTATATACGTAAAATTTTTAATTCTTAAAATCATTACTTACATACATTATATATATAAAATTTGTGTGAAAAAAATGATTATCAACATAATTCTATGAAAATTTAAAATAACAACTTTTAATTATCCAAATAGTAATTTTACATTTTTTTATATAAATTTACATCATATATTCATAAAAATCAATACTGTTAAGTAAAGGTAAAAAATTTAAATAGTTGATTGAAAAAATACATCTAATAAATTAAACATAATAACTCACTCATGCACTGTTTAATTTTTAACTCGTTTTAGTGTAAGTCTTTAACAAGTAATAACCAGAAATTAAGCTAATAATTCAAATGATTCTACTTTTCTTTACGATTTTAATTAAAATATAAAAATAGTATAATAATTTTCATTATTAAATCATAAAATACTACATATTAACATAAAAATAATGTTTATCATATATTTTAATTAATTAATAACAAATCTATTATTATTATTATCTGTGTCGCTATTCTTTGTAAGCTCTTTTATAAATTTAATTTAATTTTAAGAAAAAAGACACGCACCCGTAAACTTGATTAGTACCTGAAAAGTTCATAGTTCATATTAATTACTATGAATGTTTGCGAGGTTGCCATTTGTCAATACAAAGGACTAATGGAGAGTTTTGACGAAACACTTCATCTATTCCTCCCAATTATTGATAGTTGATAAAAGTGATGAAGCTTGTTTCAGATTTGTCTCTTTTTTCAGGTAAAATCAGATGTTTGATTTGTTTCCGATACAAAATTAGATATGATTTGTTAGGTTAGAAGAATAAGAAGATAATCAACTCCCAATCCTATAAATTAGGTATTCATTGAATCAAAGGGGTAACTGGGAAAGCTCCAAGTAACTGAAGCCCTCTGAATGTAAGACTATTATGGCCCCACGCTTTTCTAACCCTATTTATTATGTTATTCTCCATTCTTTATAATTTGTAGAATTTAATTGTAATTTTTATCTTTTCAGGTTATTTTTAAAATATAAATACTATAAACTTTTGTTGAGAGAATAAAAATCACTCTGAGTGCAGTGTTTTGTTATCTCACCAAAGAGAATAAAGCTAACATTAGGACAAAGCTAAAATGATATTTATAAAAATGCTTTTCTTCTCATCATCATAATGCGTTTATACTATTTTCATTTTTCTCTTTTACTTTTTTTTGTCTTCTCTGCTTTCCACTTCTAAACAATGCCTACATGATACAGTGTCAATAAATATGTTAATCAACGATGTAATATTTGATATAACACCCCAATTAATATAATATTATTCACCAAATAAATTGAATGATGTATCGAAGCAAAAGGAGAAAGATGAATCAATCTGGGTGAGCAATTTTATTTAATAGCACCAAACCAGCAGCACCCTATAAAGCTCGTAGCTGATTCTTTTACTGAATAATGATAACACAATTGACTACTCTTCATAAATGGAAAACAATAAAATAGCTAGGTTAGTCAAAGGCATGCTTGTTTAATACATTAAATGATATGATATGGTAGCGCACCGTGGTACTTTTGGCTGCTACAATTTGTTGAAACTTTGATTCCCTCTAGAAGCCAAGAACTGTTGTCATAGGGCGTTTTCTCTTGTTTTATAGGTAGCTTTGATAGCAATTTCAAAACTTAGTGCTTGTGATTAAAGTTGTCAATATACCCAAAGAAAATTCACTTCAATATAACCAGTCATATTTTAAATTCCCTTGTTCCTGTTTTTTTCATATTTTTCTTAAAAAAAATAATCTCAAATCCACTCATCTAAAAGCATTATTGGCAGATGAAGAGTGAATGTAATGTTTACAATATAATAATATATTATTATAGTAATAGGTCAAATCTGTTTAAAGCATATTTGATAACGATTAGTTTTAGTATTATATTTAAAAAATATAATATTTAAGTACTCAGTGATTACATGATTTAATAAAAAAAATTTGAATAACATATGCCCTTCAGAAGCTTAAAAATTGAGAATGAAGTTGAAGGATTTGATTTTGTTGATCTAAAGCCCAAAAGAGTGTGCAATCCTGAAACGACTGCAACAGTACAAGCAATTGGTCAGAGACATGATTTCTCTATTTCTGGCTTTATCCAAATGAGGATTCAGAGATTGATACTTAAGCTTGGAATCCTGCCAATAACTGAGGACAAGGAGATGAATGAGGGGAGGGGCTATTTCTGCCATAGCCAGAGATTCACTCTTTTTGGTAAAAATCACTGGGCCAATATATTGTGAATATATTTTTCTACATTATTGTCTAATTATAAATTATTACATTAGCAAAAGAATCAAAATTTATAATAATTAATATGTATACATGAAAATGAAATTTTAAAGAAGGGTGTGGCATATATAGATTATAGGTTGGAGGGAGAGTAAAAAGCCTAAAACATGGGAGTATGATATGAATCAAGTTTCCTTATCAAATGTGGATTTGTGTCAGCCACGTTAGGAAAAGTTTAGGTGCAAACAACACTGTATCCTTTCCGCCATATTATCCTTTATTCCTCAATGTTGACCATTTATTTAGGGGCTTAAATGGTGGAGACTCTCTTAGGTTACAACTTTTTAATCAATCTATGCTTTTTTCACAGGGACAAATCATTTCCATCGTGAAGGAGCCCATGCCATGTGACCCAAAGTCTCCAAGTGGGGGCACTTCCACTAATTGCATTTCTATGCAATTATCACATTTTTTGCCCCTTTTTGCTAAGCTTGTTAATGGGACTCATCAAAATTTTAATCTCAATTCAAGATTCTACTCTGCACACACGCACAATTGAAGTTTCATTTTGTCATTATGTTAAACACGTTTCTACTGTATTCATGTAAAACACTCGTTAAGTGAGCTTTATTCAATCCAGCTTGTTCCTTACTTTAAAACAAATTTTGGTATTGAATTAGATTTCAGGATAGAATCAAGCTTAATACACTTTTAAAACGATATTTAAAAATATTTATTTTTATTTCAAGCAGTTAATATTTTCGTACACTGTTCTCGGATACTATTTAATTTAAAAATACAAAGATATAATCTACGATTTATTCATAAATTAAATAAATTTTAAAAATATTTTATTACATTAGATAAGAATGAATTAAAGATAAATATTTTTCAAATTTAAAAATAAATCATGAAAAATTTAAAACTCAAACTTTAATTAAAATTTAACTTATGATAGACAAACTTACACTTTTTATAAATGTTTTTGAAGCTTTGGCCTTAAGATGGAGCATATATTTTTTTTCAAGAGACATTGAAATTAAATTTTCTCCCAAATAGGAAAAAAATTAAAAAAAAAAGTGTGAGTTGTAGTTAAAATTGGAAACAAAAAGGTTAGTGGAAACAAAAAGAAAAGAGAAATAATAATTGGGTGAGCGTATTTATGTATGAAAATGAGAAAGGGAGATAGGAATAATAAAAATATAAAAAGATATAAATGTTTGATATGGGGTGCTTCCAACCATGAGGACAAACAGAAAGGCTCAAGTTTGTGGTGTTCACAGAAAGAGACATTTTCATGGTAACATAACATCTACCCTTCTATCTATTTCCCTAACACCATCCAAACCAAATAATAATATCCAAACCCACTCATTTTGGACTCTTATTGATTTGGTGGAGAGGTACTTTCCCAGTCCCACGTGTGTGACTCCTTTTTTTTTTAATTTTTAATTTTCCTTTTCCCTTTGGAACTTCATGCACTGCAAATAAATAATGTTTTCTTCCATACAAAACACCAAGTGGTCGCATTCACCAGACATTCGTCTGAGGGGCCCATGAAAAAGCCTTTTGCCTTTTTGAGATGGACTACTTCTCTAATTAACTATTTGGGCCTGACCCAAACCTTATTCACATCTTCACACGTGTCTTTGCTTCCACCCTGTTTTCTGTTTCTTTCCTTCAACTTTATCAAACTTCATCTCTATTTTATTTCACTAAACACCATTCATCTTAGGTTCCATATATATTACTTTTGGCTATATATTTGTATCCATGTTACGATACCTCCATTTATCACTTATGGGACTTGCATTGGGCTTTGATCCTTTAGATGGGCTTTTCCTTGGGCTGGGCCAGGCTAAGTTCCCTGAGTTAATACAGTTGCAAAATTTTGCTAATGTAACATTTATAAAAGTCATCCCTCAAACAAAAAAGGTTTTCTCCCAGCAAAAGAGGACCAGCCGCAAAAGATATTAATTTTTTTTTGTTTTATCTGACATGTAAATATAGTGGAACTAATAACATTTTTTATATATACAAAAATATGAATTCAAAATCTTATTTAAACGATACATTTTTCATATATATAAAACATAAATTTAAAATCTTATTTAAACGATATTAAATTATAGTATCTGCTTGTTACTTGTACTGAATTCTGTTAATTAAATTTTATTATATTTAGTATTTGAAGGATTATTTAATTATATTTAATATTTAATATGCATGTTTTAATCTTTTCATTATATATTTATTGTCTACTGTTGAAATATTTTTATATCTAATGTCTCTTAATTGTTAGTGTCATAGAATTTTTTTTAATTAATAAATATTTTAAAATATTTATAAAAGGTTGTAAATCGATACAAGAAAGAAAAAGAAAACGTTGTGATTCCTTTATTTTTTCCTGTATATCTTATGTTTATCAATTTTATTTTAAATACGTATATCTAATATCTTTCAAACATTATATATGTCTTCATAATATATGATTTTTAGATTGTATCTAAAAGTATACACTAATATATCTTCTCTCAAGGGATAAAATTATGAATTGTGTATACTTTTTAAAGTTTTTTCACTTAAAATGATTAATTTATTTAAATATAAAAGACTTAATTTTTCTTATCACTTAAGGACTTTGTTTTTCTTTTAAGTAAAAAAATCATTTCAACTCTTATGGATATGGTTCTCATTGAAACGTGTGAGATGAAGGGAGATGTAAAAGGGAGAAGTAAACTACGTGGATATGGATGCAATGGATTCTAATTAGGAAGTAATTGAAAAGGAGATTAGGTGCAATGAGGACAAGAAGATAGAGTAACTTTCACTGCGTTAATGCCTATCTTCTGACATATTTGCTGGAGTAGGTAACATAGCTTTTATGACACTTTCAATTCATTCTACATGACAGCATTAATAGATACTTCCAAGTGCTACCTGCGAAGCCTGAATTACAGTCACTGCCTTTTTTTAGTAAATAGATCAATGCTAAAGATTCTGGGAGTCCAATCCCAGTAACACCCTCTTAATTCAAAAGACTGTGCAATCAACCACTCTCCTAGTTCTTTATGTTCGTTTTTCTTTTCATTTTCAAAGAAATATCGAAACCACCTATGGTGATACCAGAGGAATCTAAAAAATATATTAAATAAAAGATAAATGAATTGGTTTGCCTTCAACATATTAATAGAAAATAAAATGAAAAGTATAAAATATTTTTTCCTAATTTTCTATTTTACACACGCATGTATGTGTATAATATTAAATTTTCAAATACTTATATATTTCATATATTCTATAAGTGATCTCTCCTTTTAGTCTCTAAAGTAAGTATTGGTTATTTTAATTCTTAATTTATGAATATCTTTTTTAATCATTAACTTAAAAAAATATATTCAATTTAATATTTTATTTTGTTTTTAATATTCTTTTATATTAAATTTTAAATAAATAACGTTTAATAAAATTAAGATTAAAGTAACTAACGATCATCATTTTAAAAACTAAAATAAAGTTTGCTCTATATTATTTTTAAATACATATCTAACGTATCAAAATATATACATTTTCTGAAAACATGACATAAGACAAACAATTTTATATAATATTTTTTATTAAAAAAATACATAATTCAGTATATTATATTAGTTATTATATATAAGAAATCATATATAATAAATATTTATTAAACTTGCAACATTAAACAATATAAATGTATTAAACTGTAATAACTTATGCAATCGTTGATAAATATTCATTTAAATATTAATTATGAAATTAAAGTATGAAGAAGCTATTGAATTTTGGGAGAACCGGGTGTATTTATAAGCTGGTGGTGGGTGTAGTAGAAACAAACACTGAAAAGCATAACATTAACTGAGAGACGTAGAAGAAATAAAGGTGAAGAAGAATGGAAGGGCCATCGTCATCATCGCATGACGGAGAGAGAACAGCGACATTTTATGTGTTCCATCCATGCTATTGTCTTGAAGAAGCACTCAGAGCTCTCTTGAGGTGCTTAGGAATTGAGTCTGAAACCAAAATGTGTTCACACACAGAAGAAGAGAAAAGCTCACTGCTCCAATCTCCTTCTGGGGCAGATCCCATTATAAGCTCTTCAAGCAATACCCACAAAAGCTCCCAAGATGCTGCAGATCCACCCTCCATAACTGATCAAAGCACTGTATGCTAACTTCTCTCTTTGTCTTTCCAAAATTCAAATCCCTTTTAATTTCTTCTAAGAAAATGTTAAGAAATGATTTTTTTATTTATTTAAATGCAATACTACACTTTTTTTCCCCATATTTTTCAATGCATCTTAACATTATTTTTAATACAAATTATTATTTATGTATTCTTTAATTAATGCTTTTACAGAACTCATTAACAAGGTTTTTTTAACGTTAATCTCAATTTTTAAAATAAAATTTAAATATTTAAAAATAACAATTTTATAAATATACGATATTAAAGTGTAATAAATGTTTTTTTAAATAAATTTTTGTTATTGGTGATGAAAAGCTTAGATTGTTTACGATATGAAAAGAAAATATTTGATACGTAAAGACATGATTGGATGGATTTTTTTTTCTATTATTTCTATAAAATAGGATAAATAGATTTTTTTTGTGTTTGGAAAAAAAGATGTTTAAAATAAAAATGACTTGTTTGGTTGTTGAACACATATAACAGGATAACGGGTTTAATTACACTTGGTGCAGAATGCAAGTTTATTGGCACGTGGTTCTCGAAGGTCTGGACTTAGCCAAGGTTCAGGTCCTCACCATAATTAATATATACCATGATTTTGGTCTTGGATGTTTCATACTAGTTCAAGTTCTCAAATGTTAGTAGCTTCTCCCTCTTCTCAAATCTCAAATCCCATTCAGTTTTTTGCATTTTAAACTAGTAATTAGGTTGATTTATCGATGATCTTACTTTCTCTGCAGCAATTACTACTTAAGGTGTGGTGCTCAAAGTTCAGGACTAACTCAATGACCAGCTGGCCTTGATAATAAAATAATTTTATGCAGAATTTCCTTAGTTGTTTTAGAGTAATATAAACATAACTAAGCTAGTTCTTAATTTCTCTAGCTGTTTCAACCTTTCTTTCTTGTTATCTTTCTTCTTTGCCATTTTGAGAGAGAGCTTTATGTGTGTGGGAATTAAATATGTATGCATGTATAATATCAATATAGGAAGCTTGTGCTTTACAATTTTCACAATTGTGCTTCATACAGCGCAAGATATTATTTTAGGATCAATGAACTAAATATCCAAGTTATTTTTTATTTTTAAATGTAAAGCCTGAAATTAGGACTGGTGGCAAGGTACATATTCTGTTGTTTTTCTTTCTTTTTATTTTTATGGGTCAAATGTTGGTTTTATTTTCTCAGTATCATTATGATTTGATGGACTTCATGGGAGCAGCTTAAGATGTTAAGATGAGTTACACAATCCAATTTGGGCTCGGCCTGTTTTGAGTTTCAGTTGGGTTGAATAAAAGAAGTTCATGCTAAGAGAAAAAAGAAGTTCACATTTTTTTTTGGCTATAAATTTGGTTTGAATCTACATTTTATATTTAATTAAATAGGTTAAGTAGGTTTGAATTCGATAAAAAAAATTCGAGTGAATAAAATTATTATTAATAATAATAATTCAAACTTCAAATTTAAAACTCAAAATTCATATTTTAATTAACTTAATCAAATTGAGCTGGTTTATTTTGCCAAATTGAAAAGCCGCTATGATAATTTCTAAAATAATAGTTAACCATTGTTATTTGCCATAAGCTTAGCTTTCTTCCTGTTAACAAGTGTTAATTAATTAACATTTTAGGAACTTGTTTGTGCAAGAGGATAAACTCGGGTTTCACAAATTTCTAGATGTTTAGAATGGATATTTTATAAAATAAAAAATATTTACTTTGATTTAACGGTGTTGACAACGGACTAAATCGAAATTTGTCAAATGGGTAGCATTAATTCTCGATTTTTATTTTCAAACAATGCAATGGAACAGTTTTCAAACGGGGATGGCGAGACTATTCCTACCCCCCAAATTGCATCTTTATTCGAGTGTTTCCATATGAGCAGTATTATTTTATGTTTCGGCAAACTCACTAATTATAAAATTCGAATTCATCAATGAATCAAAAGGCTCTTGGTTTATACCATTAGTCTAGATATTACTATATAATTATTAATTAAGAATCATATGAAATTAAATAGAAACGGTAGACCTAAACGAAACCTCTAGTTGTAAACTCTTGGCTATTCACCTGGCAATATGAATAAATAAAAAACCCTAAGTAACCCACTTGTTATTTTGTATGGTTTTTCATACATAATAAAACAAGATTTATTTATCGGAAGAAAAAGAATATTAATTTAGCCTCTATAGTTCAGTACAAGTAATTAAATACGTAGAAATTTGGGTAGAAAGCCGTAAAGTATGACTGGTGAATGTAACAAGGAAAAAAAATAGAATTACTGGTCTTCCAAGTATTTAATTAATAATTAAGGTGCAAGCCTTTTGGTCTCAAGGGAACCAAAAATTAAAAAGAACAATTACCAGAATTAGAAAAACATTGCAAAATAGAAGCAATAATCAGAGATTCATCATCACCATCGTAAGCAGCATCAATCTCTGGACAAAGCCCAACACTTGGATCCAGCTTTGGAGTCGGTGGTGGTGGTGGTGGTGGAGGAATTAACAAAGGGGGTGGTGGAAGTGACGCAAAAGGGTAATGAAAATTAGTTCGAGCATTGTCAATGCCACAAATGTTGATAGATGAAAGATCATAAGCTATGGCAGCCTCTTCTGCAGTGTCAAATGTGCCAAGCCAGTGTCTTTCTTTGGTATATGGGTTCCTAAACTCAGCAGCATATCTTCCCCACGGCCTTTTTCTAACACCAAGATACATTGTAGATCGCCTAGAGGTTCTTCTAATGGGGTGTTTGTAAATCAATGGGGGAAGGTTTTCCATTGGCTTGGAATGGGACACTGGAGTTGCCTCAGAGATAGAAAAAAGAGTTGAGTTTGTATAATCTTGTGTGGTCACTTTTCTTTATTTATTTTATGCAAAATACTCTTATTATTAATATAGTTATAAGGAAATAAAATGTAAACAAAAATCACTTAAAAAAATGATAATAAACACACCTTAGTTGATGGGGTGATGGAGGAGGCCAGCATATATAGTTTAATTGGTGAAAGTTATGGTCCAAGCTCCACCATGAGCATTTGAAAGCGAAGCAATGAAGGATGGTGAAGATATTGTGTTTATATGATTTAATATTTGGTAAAGTAGGGCAGGTAAGAAGCATAGCTATCATGGAGTATATAATATATAGAATTAACTGCTCATTTGTTTCTCTAATGGCTGTTTATTCTGATTTGTTTCCCTGTTTTCCTCACAGCTGACATGATTAGAGTGAGCATGATGCGTAAATCACTGTAACTGCTGATGCATTGCCACCTTTCCTCAATTAATCTCCCCTCCCGTTCTTGACAGATTGACGAAGAATCAATTTAAACAAATAATTCTTTTGAATTTAATTCAAATACACTTCATAATTTAAAGTTTTCTTACTCTATTATACAATGTAATTATGTATACAAACAAAATTCAATACAATTAGTAGAGTTTGATTCGTTACACATACTAACTATATATTTAAAGAGAATATAATTATTTCGATAATCTGTTTGTTTATGAAAATTATATCTACAATAAAAAAGATGCCCAACTTAATCTGTTATTAAATACTAGTTGATTCTTTGTGGTGGACTGTATCAAATATATATATATATATATATATATATATATATATATATATATATCCTTACGGCATGCCAAAACTATATCAAAGGTTTAAATACAAATTTTAATTTTTATATAAATATGATTAAATTTATTTTTTTATTTGTTTTTTAATTTTAGTTGGTTATAATTTTTTTGAAATAATTTACGAATAAATTAGTTGAAAAATCCATGTTAAAAATTAAAAAATTGGTTGATTGAATTAAAAGTGTTTAGAAAAATTAGTTATGAACTAGATAATAAATATAAAATGATAGATGAAGACATCGTTAATTACTATAACAATATAAAATTTAGTAATTATATACTTAGTTAAAAAAAATATATATTTAGTTTAAGTTATGTTAAATGATTTACTATCATAAAATATTGAATATTATTTTTTGATTTTACTCTTATTTATAATTATTTTTATTAAACAAAATAAGATAATATAAAAAAGTTACATTAATATTTAGATAAATTTATAACATAAAAAAAAATTTAATAATTTTATTAATTAAATCATTTATGTTATTTGATAAATGTTTTACGACATTAGAAGTTAAATAAGTAAAAGGGAAATTAATAAAAATAACAGGCATAAAAATAAAAATTACTTTAAGTCTGCGACTCTAAAAATCAACTTTTTAAAATGCTACTTAAATTAAAATTTTAAATACTCTTTATTTTAGTTACTTTAGTAAATGAAAATATTTTTAAATAAATTTTTAACCAATAAAAATAAGTTTTTAATTGGTTAAAGAACCTTCCTAAACACACTTTTATCGTCATTTTATTAAGAGATGATGTGTATTTAGTCATGCTAAAGCCAAAAACTATTCTAATATATAACTCTTTTTTGAAATATTTATTTCTATACCTATTGCATCATCAATAAATGAAAAGCTTAAAAAAATTTAAAATTCATAAGAACTCAAATCAATATTTTTTAAAAAGCTAAATATATTTAATTACGTTTATAAGGACTAAAAGCATTATATATGTATGTTGAGAGGTATTTACTTTCCATTCTTCGGCCCCGGGGCATACTAAACGCAGTTGAATGCTTCTGAGATTGAAAAAAAGAAGAAGAAATTTTTAGTTTAAATATGGATTGGAATGAGTCCCTATTGTTCAGTCAGAGTCAGTAACTAATCGTAAATTAGAATTGTAAAACAAGAAAATAGAGTCCTCTAGTTGTGTTAGCTTTTAATAAAACAAATGAAAAACAATGCAACTTATTTCATTGACATTTTCAAAACAATAGTGACATTATTTTATTTTATACAATCTCAAGTTTCAAAGGAGAGAAGAAAAAATCCGATTAACGATGTAATAAAAAATATAAAAATTATTAACAGTTTCTTATCGTATCACATCATTTATCATTGTTCTTTTAAACTTTTCTCTTCCTTTCACTTCTGCATCTCAATTTTGAGATGTACATGGATGATTATCTTATATAATTAGCAAGAATGAATTGGGTTCTGCTTGGATTTATGAACACGGTGGCATGTGTCGCGGGGGTGGTAGCATGCGCTCTTCAGGGTGGTTACCATTTTTGACGATGAAAGTCATGGCCATACCCCAAGTGGCATGACGCTCTATGTGGCAGTGCATGAACCATACACCTGTATCATGATCAAGCAAACACTTGTGATTAGAAAAGCCACAGCTTGAATGACGAGTAAAATGAAAAAGATATCCATATCAAATTAATAAAATAATTATTAATTAAATGATAGATCAATACATACCTGGATTTTTGGCCCTGAATCTTATGGCTACCCAACCACTTTTGGGTACAGCAACAGTGTTGACATAAGAAGGGTCAACAAGATTGTAATAGAGAGGGTCTCTGTCCTTGTCAAAGTTACCAAATCCCCATCCCACCACATAGAAACTGTGGCCATGCAAGTGCATAGGATGATCTGTACCTATCAAAACATTAGTCCCCTGAAGAACAATCTCCACCGTTGAGTCATACTCAAGCACATTCACCTCTGTACCCACTGAAGGAGTATTAAGTAATGCAGGCACGTTGTTGGCAGTGAAATCAAACAACAATGATGGCACATCAGGGAAATTTTCCTCAAAAACGCCACTAATTTTTTTGTAGTAAGCATTTAAAATGTTATTGTTGGATGGCAATTCAAAGCTTATGTTGTTCATGCTTGCTGAGGAGCGCTCTCCGAAGCGGCCAAGACATTTTGCACCCTTTGGACATGGTAATACGTTAACCGAGGTTGTGAAGAATAGGTTGGTGCTAATGCTTAAGGGCACATCAATTGGGTGTTCATCATTAGCTAAGCTTCTTAGTTGACTTAAAAGGTTAATTGAAGCATAGGTGTCATGGAAACTTGGAAGTAAAGGGAAAAATGGGGTATGTGAAGAAGGATTGTACTTTCCTCTATATTCCACAATAGCAGTGGTAGTGGTGTTGTCAAATGGAATCACAGCAATACCTGTGTAAACTTTAGCAGCCATATAATAGCGATCTAATGGTTGGTTTGCTTCTAGTAAAACGTCTATTGTTTGTCCAGGAGATGTTGTGATGTAATCTACCTTCACTGGCTTCACATAGCTACCATCAATTCCTACCACTGTGAGTTGATGTTTGGCAATGCCAAAGAACAACATGTCTTGAATTGCTGCATTCACTATTCGGAGGAGATAGGTTTTCCCATAATCAACCCTAAGCTTGAAGGTTTCTGCAATTTTATATATTATCAACAAAAATTTAAATTCAAATTAACATGTAAGTAATTAAGAACTAGTCAAACATGAATGATACCAATCAAACATATATATTATTATATTATAATGTGGCTCCAAGCCTGCATACCTTTCTTTGAGCATGGGTAAAGATCACCAGGTTGGCCATTAATTGTATAAGCATCAGAAACAGCAGCATCTCCTCCAGTTCTAAGAAGATCATTGTATACCTCAACAACATCTTTCTTCCACCATTCACCTATATAGATAATTTCGAATCAAAATATCAATATAGCAAGGACCAATAGTGGTTGAACTTTTTAAAATAATAGTTACTCCAAACCCATGAATTTTTTTTTAACTATATGTACCTATTATAATTGGGACTTCTTCGTGTGGTTTTGGAAAAGGATAGGTAGTCCCATGCTTGGGTTTGACCACAATAGCACCGTGAACGGTGGCTCGAGACCAATCACTGTGAGCATGCCACCAGAGTGTACCTTCCTCTTCAGAAAATATGACCTTTTGACTGAACTTTCCACCTGGTCGAATTGGACATTGAGTGACGTATTCAGGGCCATCAGACCATGGATATCTTGGTTGGTTCACTCCATGCCTAAAATTAAGTAGTTTAAAAGTAATCGAAGTTAAATTAATTATTAATTCTATAAGAAAAAAAAATGCAAAATATATTTTTCAATATTGAGCTAACTAGCAGTGTAGCATAACCAGTTAGCTAAGTGGTTTATATACCAGTGGATGGTGATATTATAGTTTGCTCGGTTATAAACATCGACAATAATGGTGTCTCCTTTATTAGCATACAGTGTTGGCCCAGGAAATTGGCCATTTACAGTTAAGATGTTCTTCGTGCTGCAGAGTTTTGTGAAGGGGGCATTTCTCACCTGCAGTTTATTTTTTGAAAATGGGTCAGCAATACCTTTATATATTAAGACATGTATGAAATTAATAACATATATCACAGCATGTTAGTTTTGAACTCTTGTCTTGGTGCGCTGATGTTAAAACTAATGACTACAAAAGCATACCACAAACTTGTGATGCCTTAGTGCATGGCAAGTAAGGAGAACATTTAGGAATAAAATTCCTATTGTTTGTAGGATTGCGATTTTCATGATGAATCTGAACTTTGAAGTGCTTGATCTGCTGCTTAGTTTTTCAGTTTGATATGAATACTGGAGGAGCTCGTTATGCATGTACATATACTGTGGCTTGGCTTTGACATGGCTATGATTACGTGATAATATTATTCAATTGGGGGGTTGTTTTGGAATTTCTTTCACGCTTCTGCTCTACCAAGTCGTCCATGTCTCGATCAAAATAATATGACATGGATTGGATAATTCAAATTTGCACAAACAAAAAGATACACATTGCAAATGATGAGTATCTTCGGACAAGCATATGATATATATATTTTGCCTATGTATTGGAAAATCAATTATCAGGTGCCAACAAGTGGAAAGGTGAAATGTTGACTTGGTATTCTCTCTTATAAAAAATTATATTGATTTTTTTAAAAATAAGGATACATTAATTAAGAAAAGCATTGGTAATTTATAAAACAATATATGACTTTTATAATTTTTAAATTTTTTTTAATATAATTTATTAAAATAAGCTATTTTAACTTATTTTAACACATTTTATAATTAAATTTATAGTATATATAAGTTATTTTTTAAAATTATTAAATAAATACTTAATTAAATTATGTATCCAATTTTACTTAAAAAGTTAAATCCAGGATAATATTTGTTTTCTTAATACTAGCTAGTAATAAGGTCGGCCACATCATTGGAACTAATTATTAATTACAGGTAAATTGGTATATTTAACTACGTCAGTAATAAATTTTTGTGGGTCAAACTGAAAAAAATAGAATTATTCAAACTTTTAATACAATAGTCTAAGCTTAACCTTACTGATGATAAATAAATACACAATCTATTAACATTAAATATTTATATAAGATTAACCAATTAAATTATATGTTTAAAATTTCTTGTAAACTAAATAATTTTATATAAAAATAAAATATAGAAGTACTTTATTACACTACATTATTTTAATAGATAATATATTTTTAAAATATAATAAAATATTAAATTTTGATTAACATATTTAGAAATGTTTAAATTATATAAAATTTAATAGACATAATTATAAAGATAATATAAAATGATTTAATAGTTAGATTAGTGAATTTCATACTTTATAGAAAATTATTAAATAACATAAATGTTAAAATTTTAATATTTAATATCAAAAGATCTCGAATAATAATAATAATAATAATAATAATAATAACAATAACAGGTGAGCTTAATTTCTCAAGTCAAATAAAAAAACTCAAACTTATTTAGATTTTTAATTTAGTAGTCTAGATCCTATTATTTTGATAGATGTATTTGGATGATTGCTAAGGAGTCAATGCTAGCATATTTTATCAGTTCCAATTATTGACCGTTTCCCAAAAGGAGCCTAAGAATTGAAGAACCAGAAATCGTCCATCAGTTTAATAATTGAGAGCCGCAAATTCAAGTTATTCTATATTCCATCAAGTTATTTTTTATTAACCCCTATCTCTTCTTCCAACATTTATTTTCATTTTGGAACATGAATTTTTTCCCCTAATTAAGTAGTGTTTTTAATGAGCATCATATTGTACAACCCTTCTCACAATTTTTACAGTTCTCGGAAGCAAGTTTCCTTTCTGCAAGAGGTATCCTTCATCCTATGATTAGAGATAATTAACCCATTTTGAGATGTAAGGAGCACAGAAATAAATTACTTGGAGAACTGTTAATAATTAACTAGAAAGATCATGATATTGACTTGGTTCCTATTCTTCTGTCTTTTATAAACAAACTTGAAGAGGTATATATGTTGAGGATTTCTTAATTAGAATAAAAAACAATTACTGTGAGGTTTGAACTTTGAAGGAGGAACAAGGTCAAATCTCAAATAAAATCTGTCTTGTTTATGGAACCATTTACACTGATGGAATTATTTAATAATTATAATTGGTATGTGGTTTTACTGTAAGGAAACTTGACAAGAGAAACGGAATCTCGTTGAGTTTAATAATTTATAAGATATGTGGTTTCGAGTCATAAATTCAAGTTTTCATATTATTAATTTTGTATGAAGTCAAATATTGGGATATCATAAACAATATATTATCACATAGAGACTAATAAATTCAGGATTATTTATTATTAATTGTGTCTAGTCAAATTTTACGATATCATAAACAGTATATGTACTCTCACTTTAATTTCATTTCTTATCCACTTACATTTTTGAGGTCCCTATCTTCAGATTTTTTTAAAACTGTGTTGTATATGTATCATTACCTTTTACTATGTCAAATATCTATTCCTTAGTTAAATACAATTTTCTAAAGACTAATATATTAATTTGTTTGATGTAGAAATCGATGTTATTTTAAGTTTAGTTTGATCATTCAAAGATTAGTTAAAACTCTATCATATTATATAGCTTTTAAATAAGTCAATAAATTATTTTCAATCAGAAATAATTACAATTTTAGTTTGATGTAACCATTTTCTTCAACAAAAAACCTCTGTTTGAGGCATCTTAATGCTAAAACAAACAAGTGATAAACAGGTTAGGTTAAATTTTGAAAAAAAAACCCATATTAAGTAAATCGTTCTAACTCATATTTTAAATTTTAAAATGCAGGGTAAATCTATATATATATATACAAGGTAGAGCTTAGTCTAGCCTCATAATAGTAATTTTTTATATCATTTTTTCATTATTTGTTAAAATTTTAAAGAAAAAAGTTTAGCAAAAAAGCTCAAGTATCATCCCTGTTTTTACAGTGATAAAAAGAAAAAAAATTCCTTATTTGACTTAAAAATATGCAGGTTATACATTGACTGCAATTTTCTGCTACCTCTTCATATTGGTTGCGCTAAGTTTAATTCATACGTATTAGTTGCTAATAACAGCCCAATTAAAGTGCAGCAGTTACTAATTTTCTTGCAGTGATTATTACATATATCTATCTTTCATAAGTATGCATTGATATTTAAATGAATAAAAATCACTTTATTTTTCTAATTTATTAGTCTGCTCATCCCTTTCACCTCTGTATATAAAATCAAGCATAATACACATGTTGCAGACATATTTTTGTATTATAAAAATATATTTAAAAGAAAAAAAAAGTCTTATTATTACTAATTGTCCTTTTAAATAAAATTTGTGGCTCTTGATGAATAGTTGAATAAATTTGTTCTATTTTTCTATATACCTTCAATTTTATCTATTTTTAAAGTTGAGATGTAAGTTCTACTAAACACCGATGAAATTTTGAAAATAAAATTAGGTATAACTGTAAGAATTCTTCGACCATTTTTTAAAAAAATTTACTTTTTCTTTTCAGCTGATTGCTTGTCAAATAGTCAGATCAACTTGGATTTTTCAAAAGAAATTATCACCTTTAAATATTAGTCAAATAATTATACAATATAATTTATTCAAATTAGTTAGTAGCATGTGTAATATACAAATATTTTATTTTAAAAAAAATATATACAATTTAATAATTAAAGAACAAATATATTTATATAAATAATTATTTATATATAAGATAAATTTATTTAAAATATTAACTTTCTTAAAAAATTATTATAACTACAAATAATATGTATTAAAATGATTAGGATTTAATAAAATTAAAATAATAGAAATAATATATTAAGCATTATAAATTTTATAATAAACAAAATATCTTAGAAAATTTGCATTATGTAATTTTAAAACAATTTAAACATTTTCATTATATAATTTAAAGTATTGAAAAAATATCAAATTCCTTTTCGAGAATTTTTTATGAATTAGAAAAATAAGATAATACAAAAAAAAATTGTAGTCAAAAGATAATAAAAAATAACTATATAAAAAATAATACTGTACAAACTTTTTCTCATTAATTATCCCACAATTTCAATACATCCATTCTGGCATTCTCTAAAGCACGTATTTGAATACTTCGTAATATTCTAAAATAATAATATATAAAAAATATAAATTTAAAATATTTTGAATAACTTAATATAAAGAGCTTAAACTTTATATATATATATATATATATATATATATATAGGCTCTTCATTTTTATGAATTTGGACAGTGTAGAACATGTTCTAGATACTTATTAAATCTACATAAAATAGGGATGGACAAAAGATCTGATTTTAAAGGACTAGATATTCAATCCATAAAAAGAAAAAAATAGACATGAATTGAATGTGATCAATTAAAATTGAATTTAACTTCAAAAAATTGATTTTTTTTTTGTTCCTTTGAACCTTATTATCTTTCTCGCATTATAAAAGTTGTGTGCTGCAGCTTTACATATGTCACCTTGGTGTGTGTATATATATATATATATATATATATATAATTTACATATTGTGGCATAAAAATATTGTGCTCTGCAATGTACATCATAAAGGAATTCCAAAAATAAAAAAAAGTGTTTTTTTTAATAATATAACATGATCTAATTATAAATAAGAGTTAATTATTTGAAAAGTAAAATATTAATGAAATTAAATTTTTTCCCGGTTCATTACGGATAAATTTTATTATTCAAATTAATTAAAAATAACATATTTTTTATTGTACTAATTCTTCTTTTTATTTATTTTTTAATTTTACTTTAAAATTTAAAGATTACAGTTATTATTTAAATTTCTTATATTATTGTAATTAAAGGTATTTTAACATTTATGAAAATTTATTTTAATTAATTAATTAATTTTGAATTAGATTTTATTTTTATATTAATTGTTAATATTTAATTTAAACTTTTTTGACACTATACTATAAATATATTATTTTAAAATTATTTAATTTTATTTATCATTTTAATATATATTATTCATAATTATAGAGTTAATTTAAAATATTATTTAAAAAATATTATTTAAAATAATTTTATTTTATATAATCATTTATAAAAATTTAAAAATTTATTATAAAATAAAATACCTGTGTATTGCAAAGTTTCTAAATCAGACAATATTCAAACATGGTTCAAGAACAGAACAATGATCTAAAAATTATTAAAATCAGAACAAAACAGGGCATAGGAATCTTCTGAGCAAAATCAACGTTAGAATCCATTTCTTTTCTTCTTCTTCTTTTTTTTGTCAACGAATCCATTTTTGTTTTCAAAAATAGAAAAAAAAATACACTATTCTACGTTGGGCTATGCACTTTGATGTTTCCCTCTATATTTGGTCATCTTTGTCCTTTATTGGATCGTGCATACATAAAATAATTCTGTTGAAATTCACATTTTTTTAAATTTTTATTATAAAATAATTTTGTAAAGGAATTGTATCTGAAATGAACTTAACATATTTTCCTTAATAAATATATTGCTTATCTATAGAAAAGAAAAGAAAAGTTACGAATGTTGATAGTGAAATTTAGAAATCAATTAATAGTTTCATATAAAAGTTAGAAAACTAAATTTTATGAATAATATTAATATATTTTATAAAGTTCAAAAGAAGTCATAACACAAGCCGGCTTTAATTCTCCAAATAACTTAAGCCGTCTATGAAACACGAGAGAGCCTCAACAAATGTCAATAATATTAATCATACTTTAATTTTAAGAAGTAAAGGTGTTATGTTTTGACTTTTTGAGAATGTATATCGGTTTCAAAATCTCAAATAGTAAGTAAAGAATCGGAGGACACTGTATTTGACAAATTTACAGAGTCATGGTTGTGACATTCTAAGCTATCTACAGCTTTGGCTACGACATAAATTCAATTAATAATGAAAATATTAAGAGATATATAAGAACACAACCCATTATTAAACAAGTCCTCTTCTACAGTAGTATATCTCATGTTATGTATATGATCTTATTTTCGGACTTTATCTGTTTTCTCCTTCACTGAAAGTTTTCAATAACTGTTTTATTCTTAATTAGAAATTTCAACGTACATCTTCAAATTTTTTTAGAAGAGAGAAGAATATTGACCATGTCAACATCACCTTTCCAGTTGTTAGCACCTGAGAATTGATATATTAAACTATATAGGCAAAAGATAGATATATATGTACGTGCAAAGAAGATATTCATCATTTGATGATGCGTTTCTCTCCTTTTCTGTGTGCTAATTTGAATTACCTAATACACGCACTTGTATTATTTTGATCAAAAGACATAGGCGACTTGGTAGGGCATAGAAAGCAAAGCTGCCAAATGAGCCCCCATTCGAATAATATTCTAACGCGTAATCATGGCCATGTCAAAGCCATGCAATACTATATATACATGCACATAACGAACTCCTCCAATATTCATATCAAACCATAAAACAAATTAGCAGATAAAGAAGTTCAAAGTTCATTTTATTCATGAAAATCGCAATCTTACAAATTTTAGGAATTTTATTCCTAAATGTTCTCCTTTCTTGCCAGGCACTAAGGCATCATAAATTTGTGGTATGTGTTAGTACTTTTTAGTTTTAACAACTCGATGATAAAAGAGTTCATAATTAGCTGTGATATATGTTATAGTGATAATTTGTTATTTCATGCATGTCTTAATATATTATTCGAATTTAATATAGGCTAAATCCAATAATGAGAAAAGGTCTTGTGATTTAGACTTATAATTTTATTGTTTATATAGACTTTAATTCATTGTTAACTTACTAATTAGAGACTTTTTATTTATTTTTTTCCTAGCGTATCAATTTTTATTATCTAACGTATATAAAGGCAGTACTGACCCATTTTTTTTGAAAAAATCAACTGCAGGTTAGAGATGCCCCCTTCACAAAACTCTGCAGTACAAAGAACATCTTAACTGTAAATGGCCAATTTCCTGGCCCAACACTGTATGTTAACAAAGGAGAAACTATCATTGTTGATGTGTATAACCGAGCTAACTACAACATCACCATCCACTGGTATATCAATCGCAAGCTACTTGGTTATGCTAGCTAGCTCATTATTGATAAATATATTTTGCGTATTCTTTCTTATAGAATTAATAATTAATTTAACTTTGATTACTTTTAAACTACTTAATTTTAGGCATGGAGTGAACCAACCAAGATATCCATGGTCTGATGGCCCTGAATACGTCACACAATGTCCAATTCGACCAGGTGGAAAGTTCAGTCAGAAGGTTATATTTTCAGAAGAGGAAGGCACACTGTGGTGGCATGCTCACAGTGATTGGTCTCGAGCCACCGTTCACGGGGCTATTGTCGTTAAACCCAAGTCTGGAACTACCTATCCTTTTCCAAAACCACACAAAGAAGTCCCAATCATATTAGGTACATATAGTAAAAATAAATTACACGGGTTTCGAGTAACTATTATTTTAAAATGTTCGATGATCATTTGTGGATACTATATTAATTTTCTTTTGATTGGAAATTGTTAATAGGTGAATGGTGGAAGAAAGATGTTGCTGAGGTTTACAATGATCTTCGTAGAACTGGAGGAGATGCTGCTCTTTCTGATGCTTATACAATCAATGGCCAACCCGGTGATCTTCACCCATGCTCGAAGAAAGGTATGCAAGACATGGAGCCACATATAATATATAATATATATACGTTTCATCGGTATCATACATGTTTGACTGGTTCTTAATTAACTACATGTTAATTTGAATTTAAATAATTGTTGATGATATATAAAATTGCAGAAACCTTCAAGCTTAGGGTTGATTATGGGAAAACCTATCTCCTCAGAATGGTGAATGCAGCAGTTCAAGACATTTTGTTCTTTGGCATTGCCAAACATCAACTCACAGTGGTAGGAACTGATGGTAGCTATGTGAAGCCAGTGAAGGTAGATTACATCACAATATCTCCTGGACAAACAATGGACGTGTTACTAGAAGCAAACCAACCATTAGATCGCTATTACATGGCTGCTAAAGTTTATTCAAGTGCTGTTGGGGTTAAATTTGACGACACCACTACCACTGCTATTGTGGAATATAGAGGAAAGCACATTCCATCGTCAAGTACCCCTTCCTTGCCTTTGCTTCCTGGTTTCAATGATACAAATGCCTCTATTAACCTGTTAAGTCAACTAAAAAGCTTGGCTGATCATGAACACCGAATTGATGTGCCCTTAGACATAAGCACCAACCTATTCTTCACAGCCTCAGTTAACACATTACCATGTCCCAATGGTTCAACGTGTAAGGGCCCAAATGGAAACCGGATCTCAGCAAGCATGAACAACATAAGCTTTGAATTGCCATCCAACAATAACATTTTAAATGCATACTACAACAACATTAATGGCGTTTTTGGGAAAAATTTCCCAGATGTTCCACCATTGCTATTTGATTTCACTGCCAACAGTCTCCCTACATCTCTAAACACACCTTCAGTCGATACTGAGGTGAATGTGCTTGAGTATAACTCAACGGTGGAGATTGTTCTTCAAGGGACTAACTTGTTGGCAGGTACAGAACACCCTATTCACCTGCACGGCTACAGTTTCTACGTGGTAGGGTGGGGATTTGGTAACTTCGACAAGGACAAGGACCCTCTCACCTACAATCTTGTTGACCCTCCTTATCAGAACACTGTTGCTATCCCCAAAAATGGTTGGACAGCCATAAGATTCAGGGCCAAAAATCCAGGTGGGTATATATATATCTTATTAATTTGATTTCTATTTTTTATTTTATTTTAAATATTGTCCAAAGTTGTGGTTTTTCTAATCAAAATGTGTGTTTGGTAATGATGTATATAGGTGTATGGTTCATGCACTGTCACTTAGAGCGTCATGTCACTTGGGGTATGGCTATGACTTTCATCGTCAAAAATGGTGACAACCCTGAAGAACAGATGCTGCCACCCCCGCCACACATGCCACAATGTTAATTTATTCAAGCAGAAGCCATTCGTTCCTATCTATTTATATATGACTACATTTCATTTCATTGTTTATTTTGTTACATTGTTTTCTTTTATTCTTTATTTATTTATTCGTTCAGTTGTGTTGTTATTACCAAATACGGAGTTTAGATTTTACTCCCTCTTTGAAATTTGAGCATGTATAAAGCAAAATGAATGCAATCAAATAACTTTTATAGCTTTCATTTGTGTAATGGAAATCGTTACAATTTATGTTGGATAAAAAATTATTACACGTATCGTTTTATAAAATTTAATACTTAATATTAATTGAATATATATATCGGCATGTGTGTTAAACTCAGCATACTTTGAAAATAAGTTTTTGATAATAAATGCAAATTAATTAAAGCCCTGTATATTTATTTTTACACATATATTATACTTCTACTAATTCTTTTTATTGTTCAATTCCTCTCTTCCTTATTTATCAACACTTGTTATTTCTTACAATTTTAATTTTCTTTTCTCTCATTCGTCTCTTTATTTTTTAAATATGGAGTTGTGTAAACTACTTCTATCATTTTTTTAAATAAAATCGACTGTTAAAAATTATTTTAGCATATATTGCCTTCTTGTTTTTAAATTTTAAAAATATTAAAAAGCTTGCCGTATTTCATGTTGGTAGTTTTTACATTTGATTCTCAAAGTACAATATTTTAAAAAATAATAATTTTAATTGCACTCATTTAAAATATTCTTCATGAACTTATAATATTATTTTTGGATATTTATTATTTTAAAATTTACACTTTTTTATTTAATAATTTTAGGTATGGCTGCAGGTATGGATTGTTTAAATGTGTTGTTATCTGTTTGTTTTCATTATAAGAACACAGGAAATGCTGTAAATAGGAATATGAATAGGTTAGCCAGTTCTTTGGGAACTTATGGCTTATTCGTTGTTTATACGTTTTTTTTTTTTTCAAATCCTTACCAGTTGAATATTCGTTTAATAAATTTGGTATTCAATGAATGACCCCACCCTGGTGTTATGAGCTATAATAAGTATGTTTATTTTTTGGTGAGGGGTTAGACCAAAACTTTGATGATCCAGCTAACTCGATTGGGAAAGCTGTGTACTTGTATACTTTCGTATATAATGCAAATATACAATAAATTTATGAATTATTTCTAATTAATATATAGTTGTTGTAACTCATTTGCAAATATATGCAACATGTGAATGTCATTCGCTAAAATCAAGAACTGCTATTTCCTCCGTTTTTAATTCCTTTTTTTTGTGTGGTTTTTACGACATTTTTCCTGATTAAGTCCAAGTCTTGAACGATGGATTGTATGTATAAACAGCAATCCAACCTTAAACTCTAGGTTGAGGTCAAGACCATACGGCTATTATATATTTTAGATGTTGATAGTAATATATATCTGTATATCATGGCCATGCCCACCCTAGAAATTGCAATAGTGGTTTGAATAAAAACTTATCTCACTGCGTGTTTGGATTAATTTATTCTAACAGAAGAACTTTTTAAGCTTTCAAGATATCTTAGAAGACGATTATTTCCATAATTATAAGATTTTTAAACATGTACTAAATTAGTGTTAAAAATACATTGAGAATAATATTCATGAATTAAAATTTAATATCTGGCGATTCATGAATCTGAATTATAAAAGTCTTACCAATGAGTATTGTGTCGTAAAGCGATCATCCTAAAGAGAATAATAGAGATCGAAATCGTTAGGTGAAAGTTTTACGCTGAGTGTGTTCTTATCATTTTGGGTAAGCACTAATATTTATCAATTGGTTGTCTTTGTCCTCTTAACGGTAGCATTTTGTGGTAGGGACTAGGGACTGCGAGTGAAATCATTAACCTTAAAAGAGAAAGGTCAATACATACGTAGCTTTGGTTTATGCCAGTTTTTGCAACCTAGCTAGTTTGTCAAACTATAATAGCTTGTAAGAATAGGCATCAAATCCCAGTTTCCACTGATACCAAATAATTTTTAATATGAGATGCATAAAATGTATTTATCTTACACTTTAAAATAATTTCATTTTATCATTTAAATAAAACATCCGTATGAACTATATAATCCAACTGTAGATCATACGTTGTAAATCACGTCCCTTAGCACTTAATCTTGTTTTTATATTGAAAGATAGTCTTTGTGTTGAATTAGTTCATTTTAAAATTATATATATATATATATATATATATATATTTTAAATAATTTTAAAATGATCGTTTTTAAAATTAATTTTCCGAACAAAGCTAGCAATAATCAATTAAGAAGAGTGTCACTGTGTCAGCTGATCCGCAAGTTTAGTATATTATCTTTCCCGTTAACGTATGCATGCATGGAACCATAATTTAACGAATAGTCAGAATTATATAAAAAAATGAATAATAAAAAGCTAACACTAACTTTGTTTAAACAATCTTAACTATTACGCGGATAGCGCATCATCTAAGGGTTAGCAATTCATTATGGCTATAAAGTAAAGCTGTTCTTGCAGTGTTTTCCAAGAGGTTCAATCGATAACAACATCACTAAAAAAGGTAATCTATAATCTACACGCTACCTTCAGCGCAAATTGCTTGTAACAATCCCTCTTAAGTTTCATTTTAAATGTTTTGTCCTGTGTACGTAGGGAAATAATAATGGCTAGAATGACCTATTGACTTATCTTGATAAACATATTGACAGTGAAGCCGCACCAAAATTTGAAGACTAAAACTAATTAATGTACTTCAAAATCTACTCTCTTTAAATCTCTTCCCCTGCAGATACAGAACCCCTCCTACATATTCATATAAAATACAGAAACTATTAGCAGTAGGATATTATTGTGTCAGAGTTTATAACATTTTCTTTCTTGAAAATGTCGTTTGGCAAGAAACTGCTCCTCCATATTCTGTGGTGTTTCTCCTTGATCGGTCTCAGTTCCCAAACACGGAAACATTACAGTTTTGTTGTGAGTCCCATCACATCCTATCTGTTCCTAATACTCTGGTAGATATTGGTGAAATATTATTGTGTCACAAATACAATTTCCATCTTTTTTTTTCGTCTATTTTCCCCAAACTATCGTTATGAAAGGATGTATAATTCTTCTTTGAATTTCATTTGTATATATGTATCATACAGTAATAGAACAATATTTTTTGTACCACCTGGGTGAGATATTTTTTAGTATTTTCTTTAATAGTAATGAGTATTTTTGAGATGTACATGTATATAAAAAAAATATGATTATTTATAATATTACATCTAGCTTCAGATGTTAAATATTCTAATATATAGTAATATCTAAGGTATTAGCTGATGTAAGAGTTTATAATAATGGTAATACACACACTGGAATTAAGGATTAGTGGTGAAACTCATTTTCATCCATTTTGCATGATTTTTTCTCTATATCATTTTCTTAATTTTTTGTATTTTTTTTGTTAATACCGTTTTAACCCTTCCTTAAATTTTTTCGGTTGACTAAGTTCATTAAGTTGATGTTATTTTAGCCATTTAATGATGAATACTGCATGTAATGTCATTGACACCCACCAGTGATGGATACAGTTATTATTATTTACCATTGAAGTTATTGTTTTCTCATTACTTTTTTTACATATTGTTAAAATGCACAAGATATCAACGAATATATTTTTTTTTGTAAATAATATTATTAATTTTAGTTTTTAATAAAAATTAATAATATATAAAACACATACAATCTGTTCTTAAAAAAAACACACAAATTAATAAATTGTTATAACACAGGATGTTAATTAAACTAGTTTGATGAATCTTGCAGGTGAGAGAAGCCCAATATACAAGACTCTGTTCCACAAAAAACATATTAACTGTGAATGGATATTCTCCAGGACCAACTATCAGAGTCCACAGGGGAGACACAATCTTTGTTAATGTTTATAACAGGGGCAAACACAATATCACTTTACACTGGTATTGGGTTTTCAATATTAGGAATTTTGATGACCTATGGAAAATATAACATAATGAATCAAAGTTAATTAAATTCCTAACTATAATTGATTTGGGGGCAGGCATGGAGTGAAGCAACCAAGGAATCCATGGACAGATGGTCCTGCATACATAACTCAATGCCCCATCCAACCTGGAAGGAAATTTAGACAGAAGTTGATTTTTTCTACTGAGGAAGGGACCATATGGTGGCATGCTCATAGTGACTGGGCAAGAGCCACTATTCATGGGGCTATCTATGTCTATCCACAAAAGAATAGTACCTACCCTTTTCCCAAGCCTGATGCAGAGATTCCTATCATATTTGGTATGAAAATATTTTACAATTGTCATATCTCCTTATCATTTATCAATTAGCCTTATGGCCAGCATAGATTTAATAGAAACATGGGATAAACGGTGTATATCTTTTTATTTATACACAGGAGAATGGTGGAAGAGTGATGTCAATGAGGTCTTCATAGAATCTATTCAAACTGGAGGAGCCCCTAACATATCTGATGCTCTCACTATAAATGGTCAACCCGGGGATCTGTACCCTTGCTCAGCATCAGGCATGTATCAAAATTTTCTTTCAAAACAATTGACATAATCATATGATTTATCTGATGCGTGTTTGATTTAATTTATTTTAAAAACAATTGTTTATCAAAATTAATCATTTAACAATCAATTATTTATAATATGATTTATGGTGTTAACTAATTAATTTCTCAAACATCTGTATATCTTTGAAGCAAGACTCTAACACCACACTTTCTTTTGATTTTCAGAAACATTCAAGTTAAATGTAGACCAAGGCAAGACTTATCTCCTCCGCGTTGTCAACGCGGCAATGAATCTCATTCTCTTTTTCTCTGTCTCCCAACACAACCTCACTGTTGTTGGTGCTGATGCAATGTACACGAAGCCATTGACAAGAGAATACATATGCATATCACCGGGGCAAACAATGGATGTATTATTGCATGCCAACCAAGAACCTAGTCATTATTATCTGGCTGCAAGGGCATATTCGAGTGGGGCTGGAGTTGCCTTTGCTAACACCACAACCACTGCAAGAGTAGAGTATAATGGGAATTACACTCCACCTTCACCTCCTTCATTACCATACCTTCCAAACTTTAATGACACAAAAGCCGCTTTTGACTTCATTTCAAGCATGAGAGGCTTACCTCAAAGTTACCCCCACTCAGTCCCAACAAATATCACAACTCAAATAGTTACCACTCTTTCTGTCAACACGTTCCCATGCCCCAATGGAAGAACCTGCCAAGGACCAAATGGAACCATTTTTGCTGCTAGCATGAACAACATTAGTTTTGAGACGCCTAACTTTGACATTCTAGAAGCCTATTACTACCATATCAATGGGGTATTCAAAACAGGATTTCCTAGATTTCCACCATATATATTTAACTTCACTGCGGATTTTTTGCCTCTAACCTTGAATATTCCAAGGCAAGGGACAAAGGTTAATTTTCTGAACTATGGTTCAACGGTGGAAATAGTTTTCCAAGGGACAAACGTTGTTGGGGGGATAGACCATCCTATGCATCTGCATGGATTCAGTTTCCATGTTGTTGGATTTGGGTTTGGCAATTTCAACGAAAGCAAAGACCCCATGAATTTCAATCTCATTGATCCTCCTTATTTGAATACAGTGATTGTGCCAATAAATGGATGGGCTGCAATAAGGTTCGTGGCTACCAACCCTGGTATGTGCCACGGAATACTCCCTTATATAGAAACAATAATGATGTTCATTCGCGTATACAATATTTTCATTTTATTTTTTTATCTCCTACGTCGTAAAAATGGGGTGTGAATAACTTTATTTTGTCAAGAAACTAATTGCATGTGCTTTCAATTAATTGCAGGAGTATGGTTTATGCATTGCCATCTAGAACGCCACCAATCTTGGGGCATGGAGACAGTGTTTATTGTGAAGAATGGCAAGTCTTCCAATGAAACATTACCTCCTCCACCGCCAGACATGCCACCATGTTGAAGAATACTATGGACTTTCCCTGTTTTGTAGTAAACTATGATAAATTAATTGAAAATAATAAGTTACACATTTGTTTTACATTATGTTTCAATATGGCATGTATGGCAAAATTGGAGGAAAAAGTAGTTTTCCGTATACTTTGGTATTCATCATACTGTAATATTCTTTTATTACTTTTTGCACTTTTAATGTGCGGCTTTTCCATCGACATCGGAGATTTATAGTATAAAACGCAACCTTTAAGATTTTCTTTCGGCTATTGCTTTGGTGTTGCGTCTTTGTCTGGGTAATCGTCGCATGACCGTCGCAAAACCAACAGGTCCAAGTCATAATTGAAGGAAAGCTCAAATATTGTCAAACCCTAGATAGGGCAATTTCTCATCAAACACTTTAGCAATTTGCATGTCAACCCAAATCAAACTGTCAATGAAATTGTATCAGGTGGGTAGGGAAGAGAGAAAAAACCCAAAAAAAAAAAAAAGTAAAATGAAAACAAACATGCTCTTATTTTATGAAATTTTTTCTTCAATTTTGTTACCTAGGATTTCAACAACAGTCCGCAAAACATCAATTTTTTTATTCACCAAATTTCTAAATTTGTTCCTGTTTCAGCATAAACACCACGATCGAGCCAAATCCTTTAAACCGTTTCGACCTATTTCCAAAGGAACTTGGGTGGAGAATCCATTGGAAAAGAACCTTAAAGATCGTTCTTGAAAAGCATTATCAAAAGATGTATATATTAAATTAAATATTGTCATTCGACATGCAAAAATATGAAAATGTTTTGTGAATGCTATCGTTGATATTTATTCATAATTTCATGTAAATTTTTTACACTAAATTCATCTCTTGTATAACTTAAGAAGAAGAAAAACATTTGTATCATCTCCTTATATGTTCGTCATTGTTTGGTTTTGGAAAGGAAATAAATACTCACGAATTAGATATGCATGAATCATCTCGCAGCTAAGTTGATGACTTGGAATTTGAAAAAAAGTCAGCCAGTAGACTCATGGATTTCGTGTAAACAAAGGGTCTCCCAAGTCCCAGTGATTGTTGTTAATATTTCGTGGCACCGACTATGTTGAAATTATTACCTACAAAATTAAAAGGAAAGAACAATTAACTACAAGGATTCCTCTTTTTATGTATCATTGTTCGGCAAACATTAAGGAAACAACCATGTAAGGGCGAACTCACCCACAAGCATTAAGGTTTCTCACCCATACGACGAAGACAGCTGGACTTTTAAACCACAACTACAAATAATGACGATAACAATAATTACAAACCTATATGTTTTAATTTTAAAATATGAGATCAATAGTTCATTTATTATTATTTTTTCAGTTTTTTTTTTCTTTATTAGGTTACGACTTCAGCATATTCAACCAGAAAAGTCGGAGTTTGACACGCCTCGATTCGGGTCTAACTGACCAGACCAATCTTTAAAAAAAAAAAAAACAGTAAAGGAAAATTTTATTGCCAAAATTACAAAAGAAATATTTATTAATAAATAAATAACTATCAAATATTTAAAAAAATGTTTAGTAAAATTAAGTTGTTTCTTTATAAAATTTTAAGAATCTTCATTAACAAATAATATGAACTTAATCTTCATATCCCAATAAGTAATATATTAATGATTACGTTGGTGAGAGAATGACAGGGCAGCTTAGCTTTTGCAGAAACCATTGTCAAGATCTCACCTTAACCAAATTCGTCAAATAAGTAAAGTCACATTGTTGTTGCTTGAAATTATTTCATTTCTAAATAATCAAATGGACCTTAATTATTTTATAAGTCCTTTCAATGAGTTTATACTTTAATTTAATGATATCCAAAAGTCACATTAATTTTGATTAATTCAAGTTGAGAAAATTTGAACTCATTTAAAGCTCAGAAATTGTTTTTCCATTCACAAAACTTTAGCCAAAAATCTTATTCAAAGAAAATCAGACTCCTTATATATCTTTGAACTATTAAGCGTAGGTTACAACCATAAGCTCTGAGTTAAACCATATAATTGATTAATCAAGATACCGTGCCATCTACCATAACTTTTTATACTGTATATTTGTTCTCCTAGACTTGTCTTCCTAGTATTTTTTTAATATTTATTGGTGGAAGAGTGAGTGAGAAACTGAGAATGTTAGGGTATTCACTTTGTGTAAGGACTTTGGGGGATTCAATCGATAACCGACCTCGCTAGCTAGCATGACTAGAAAGATCTTGGACTTGGAAATTCGAAATAGCAAGCTCATGTTACAATGGTTTGCCTTATGTTGACGCGTCGCATAACGGCCATTTCGATACGCAAACTTCATTAATATATAATTTTCTCCGTAGAAGCTTCGTGAATTCTATGGTGTCGGCTGCGTATAAACTATAACTTCGGCAAGACACATCCAACAACAACCTCGATCTATCCATTCAATATACATTAGTTGTAACGTGAAAAAGGATTTTGCTCATCAATTTTTATGTTAATTATATTATTATAGCTATTAAACACAGAGTTTAGTAAATTAATCCCTATAATTTTACTCATATTTTTCTTTCCTTTTTCTTTACGCATATCAGAAATCGAATACTCCCTTTTACTTATCTTCCTCTGCTTGTTGGATGACTGCATATTTTATTATCACGTGATAGGAGTGTTAAAAAAGATATATATAATGTGTCCTATGAAAATAATATTTTATTCATAAATAATTTTTTTTAGAATTGCATTGTAGTGAAATTTTGTATTTAAACTCACCTATTTATCTAATTCGCTTCTAGGACTGGATTAAAGTCCTTTTGCAAACTTCAAAAGGAATTCTACTGAATAATCGTCAACCACGAGATTTAAAGAAGTTTAATGAACAAAATAAATAAATAATAATAGTAAAAACTAAAAATAAAGTGTAAAATAAAATTTAAATAACTAAAATCTCGCTATTTTTATGACTAAAATTTCTAGGATTTGTATTCTAACTGAATTAGTGATTTAAAGTTCTGAGTGTTCAACACTTAACTACTTTTATGATTGTTTAAATTAATAAAATTTAGATTTTAGTCGAATAATTAATATAAAATTTTGAATAAACTATTATATTAACTAATATTTTAGTTAAATTACTAAATTTTAGTTAAGATATTATATTATCAACACTTTTAACGATTAAATCATTACTCTAACTAATATTTTGATTAAAATATTAATCTTAATCAAAGTGTTAAGTGACCAACACAATCATTTTTGTAGTTAACAAGTTGATAATTAGTTTAATATTCATTATAGTTGTTCATTTTCCTTTATTCTCTGAATTAAGTTTAAGCAGCGCAGTCGAGGTAACTCCATATATGACCCTTTTGATTTTGCAAAATAAGAAAAGCGAAATCAAATTTAAAATTATCGCATACGAATAGGTAAATACAAAGTACTATTACAATTAACAAGGATATATTTATGTTACATGCACTAACTTTGTAGGCATAGAATGCCAACTTATTTAGTCACACATCTTATCTCACAGTAACACATTAACACAACACAATAAATTAAGAAACTAGATAAATAATCCTCACCACACAACTTTAGGAAAATTTATGATCTTCCTAACACATTTATAATTGACACTCGTATTACATATCACATGCACCAAACCTTGTAGAGTTCTTGAACTTAATTTAAGCAACCCTAGGAATAGCCACTGCTTTGAGGGGGTTCTTCATCTCACAAGACAGCTTGAGCACCTCGGTGAGGTCAACAGGGTTAGCCATGTCTTGGAACCATTGAAACTGATGAACTAAATTAGCCACCCAAAGGCTCACGGTCACGAGGCCTAGGTTCCTTCCAGGGCAAACCCTACGTCCAGCACCAAATGGAGCAAGCCTTAGGTCAACGCCCCTCACATCCAAGTCAACCCCTCCTTCACTCTTCACAAACCTCTCTGGCTTGAATACCAATGGCTCCTGCCACACATTGGGGTCGTGGGTTATGGCCCACATATTCACCATTGTTGTGGTGTTGGCTGGGACCACCATCCCATTGCTGAGCTGGACATCTGACGTGGACAAGCGGGCCCACGAAAGGAGGGGCCCAATTGGATGTAATCTCAATGTCTCCTTCACAATAGCTTCAAGGTATGGCAATTTGATCACATCATCATCTGTAACATTCTTTTTGTCCCCCACAACCCTGTCAAGCTCGTTACGAAGCCTTGTCTGCACGTCTTGGTTCAAAACAAGCTCGGCTATTATCCACTCAGTAAGAAGTGCTGTTGTGTCTGTGCCCCTAAATATCATCTCCTGCACGTACGTGACCAAAGCCAATAAAACTCACTGCTTAATTTAATATTTTGACACAATAATTTGGCATTGATTCTAACAAGTGGGATTAAACAGAACTAATGAAGGGAAGTTTAATGGACACAGTTTCTGTCATGTAAATTTTACGTTTATTTGAATAAACAAATTAATCGAGCACAATAAATTCTTGTTATATAAAAAATATATATATAAATTTCATCATATATAAAATTTATTGAAATAAATTTTAAAAAAAACTTCTAACATGTAAGCAAAGATACTGTCTGTGCCTCTAAATTAAAACATAAGAGCATCATATTAACAAACAACAAATTATTTTGAACCGTGTCAAAACCAACCTTTTATTTGAGTAACATATATATGCTAATAAAAGCTTAATATATAAATGTTGTGTTGAAACTCGCCCTTTATCTTAATTAACTAGACACAACCTATTAAAAAATATTTTTTTCAATCCATGAGGAACTAGTATACTGCTAACTGGGGGAGTGGATCAAACTAATTATTAAAATTTTGGGTGTTTAAATTGTGATAATTGTTGTAAATGTGGCTAACATATACACGTGTTGATATGTGCATGGCCAACAAAGTTTCCAACGTTACGATACGACTTAATTAGGAGTAAAACACAAACCCATAAAACGGCAATCATGTCATCATCTTGGAGCTTCTCATTCCCCTCCAGAGACAGCAGCACATCCACAAAGTCCGAGCCATCAGAAAGCTTCTTGAACGGAGCCATTCGGTGCTCGTCCAAAACCTGCTTCACAAATTTCTTAACTCTAGGAGCAAGAGCCTCACACCGTTCCCGAAGACGAAAAGGGTCATAAAAGAAGCTGATCCAAGGGACATAATCAGACCAATTGAAAGCTCCCAAAATCTCAAACCCTTCCCTCACCATGTCACGCAGCTCTTCAACCTCGTACCTATCATGGCACACTTGGTCGTACCTTTTTCCGAAAACCGTGCCCATAACGTTGTTAAGAGCTGCATCTTGGAGGTGTTTCCTTAAACAAACAAACCCATGTTTGGATTGTTCAAGACCCATTGAGCGCACCATGGCGGCGCAGTCTAGCAAGCGACCGGCCTCGTGCGCTACGATGCGCCGCGGGGAGAAAAGGTGGGTTGAAGCAACCTTACGTAGCAAACGCCAGTAGGTGCCGTTTGGTGCGAAGCCAATGGCACGGTTGAACATGAGGCTCTTAGCGGATTGTTTAATGGGACGGTCTGCAAAATGGGGTGAGTATAAGATTTCACGAGCTATGTGAGAGTTTGAAGTTATAACTACAGGGGTTGACCCCAAACTGAAAGCCATGAGTTTTGTGGCGGTTAGAGTTGAAGCCATGGAAGCAAGGGTCCGGTGAGGCAGGCCATGGTTCAAGTTCAATAAGATGCCCAAGATTGGAACTCCATTGGGACCTGGTATAGGGACCTTGCCCATTTGGTTCCTGCCATTTCTCCATGCTACACCTCCTCCTCCTCTTGGGAAAGCCCATGTCAAGAACCCAATGAAGAGAAGGAGTGCAAATATTAGGATAAGCAAGAGTGGGTTGTTGAGCAAGTTTTGCGTTCCTGCTATGGCTGCAAGTGTGAATACCCCCCAGTTACTACTGTCTAATGACGTTGAAGGTAACCCCATTATAGTAGCTACAGAAATGAAGGTAATCAGCAAGAGAGTGCGTGAAAGATATTGGACGATTGTGAAGTGCAGAGGAGACAGGGGAAGCTTGGTATAAATAGGCGTCCATGCATGGTTGGAGCTAGTTTGGATGGTGGGGTAAATTTGATACGATATTTTGTTTCTCTAAGAAAAATATAAAATGAATGATGATATTCTTACATGTTTATGAATCAAAATTAAATTTTAAAATCGGATCCTTGATGGATATGAATTTCGAGGCATATATGCGTGTGTTAGGGCGGGAAGCGAGGTCCAATTACGCGCTGCTCAATGCCTCAGCCTCACGTGGCTACGAGCTGTTCAAGAAATGTATCACAAATCTCCCAACAATGCAACTTCAATACTCATTCCTTACTAAATATATTACCATTTTGCTAACAAGTGAACTACGTTAGCCTTTCTTCCATAAGTTTATATTTTTAAGTTACTCTCGGTTTTAATTTTTTCTTTTTATTAACTATCCATTCTCTTCTCTTCTTTTACTTTTAAATTTTTTTTCTTTCAAACTCTTAAATAAAGTCTTAAAATATTAATAAGAGAATTAAAAATAAGAGTCTTTTTATTAAAAATGTGTTAAATCACAAAAATATGTATTTTATTTATTTTAAAAATTAAATTTTTAATAATACTTTTAGGACCCTAATTAACACTTGTCAGAATACTATATATTTCATTTTAGTTTTATAAAAAAAATATTCAATTTTATAATTTATAAATTATAAAAATTATAGTTTTTAGCTTTTGGTGAGAAGTTAAAATCATGTTATTTTTATTAACTGTAGTAAATGAAATTAAATAAAAAATTATAAAAATAAAAAACTATGATATTTTTAAAATTGATAATTGACTTAGATTCGTTATAATGGCACTATCAATATCAAATATCAACATTGAGTTTGGGATTATTTATATTTTATCTTTTTTTTTGTAATTTCGTAGTTTATTAATTTATTTTTATTATTTTTTGTTAAACTATTATGTTCTTTAATTTAACGTTATTAAATTATAATATAAAATATTTTACTTTAATTCAAACTTTATAAAAGTCTACTAATGAAACAATACAAAGAAAAATTGTAAACAAAAAAGTTATGAGAAAATAAGTATCTTTAATGACCATACTTGATTCAGACCTGAATGGGGTAAATCAAACGATAAATAAAGTTATAAGAAAATAAGGACTAAGTAAAATGTTTTAAATTGCAGATCCCCTTCATGTAAATTAAATGGTATTCTTCAGAAAATCAGAAATAATATAAAATAAGTTTTAAATATCATAATATTATATATTATATCATAATTTTAATTATTTATTTATTCTAAAGCTCACACTAATCATGTTAAAGTAACTAGAATTCTTAAATAATGTGCTCTTTGATTTTTTTTAAACCACATATATAAAAAGTCAGATTGACATATTTGAACTGATAATATATTTACAATATATTAAAGTTAACTCTTTTAACCAAAAAATAAATAAAAACCATTCATAATGTTCAAATCTAAATCCATAAAATAAAAAAATAAAAAAAGGTACGCACCACCTGAATTGATCACATGTTAGGAGCTTTTTGTTATCCTATGAATGTTAGTAGCTCTCTGTGTTTAAGAGAAAAGGTTAGTAAGATGAGACATTTCAATTTTTTTAATTAAGACATTATTACAAATTTTAATGAAAATGTACTACAATATTTATTGATAGATTATCAAAGAAAAATCATTAGTAAAAATACACTCACAACTTTTACAAACATTACAAATTTATATCAACGTTATACCAGGAATATATTAAATTTCTCTTTTTTACAAATAAATATGTAATTACCAACAAACTTTTAAATATTAATAAAAAAGTTGATATATATTATTAAAATATAAGAAATAAACACACATTAATATATCAAATTTTGTTATACAATAATTAGATTTACAGAAATATGTCTAGTAACTATAATATTATTATTTTTTATAGTACATAAGTATATTAGTTGATGAATATAATAATTTAAATGTTCTTTTATCCACTACTAGCTTTAGTAGGATATGCAAAGTATTTTATTTTAATATATATATATATATATATATATATATATGTAAATATATTAATGAATAAAATTATCATTAATATTAAAATTTATAAAAAAATCATTTTAATATAATTAATTTTATAATCATAAAATACAACGTAATAAGGAAATATTTATTAATATAAATATAAGTATTTATGAAAATTTTAGAAGTTTATTTAAATTAATAAAAAATTTAACAAAGTCTATTTTCCAAAATTTAAAATAAAAAATAATTAAACTAGTTATAGCAAGAAAAAGTAATTCACAAATCATCCTTCTTTAATCTTAATTCTAAAAAATATAAGTAACTAACTATGAAATAAAATAATTTTATTTAATGTCTTACTTTCTAAATAGAGTACTATTATTCATTACCAAATATATATAAAAGTGGATCATAACATGTTATGGTACAAAAATTATATATATTATTACAATATTTTTTTTTTATTTATATCACAATTATTCTTCACTTAAGATAATTACGTTCAAGTTGAGTAGGATTACTATAGTTAGTTTTGTAATATTTTAAGATAAAATAGTATGTCATTTAAAATTTTAAAATTACAAGTATTTTTAAAATGTTTAAATTTATAAACATAAGTAAAATCACTCTTTAAAATTATAAATGCATGTTTTATTATTAATTTTAACGCAATGCCCATTCTGGCTGAGACCTTCTTTTTCAGCTTAGTGTGAAAATATTTTTAAAAATAAATTTATGATTTTATAAATAATTAAAATTAATCTTAAAGATTAAGTGTTAGTAATATTTTAGATTTTAATAAAAAATATGCTAAGTATAATAATTTTTTTTAAAAGTATATATTCTCTCCAGACTCAAATATAAACAAATTTGAACTCAAGTAAATATTTAAAATATAAGCAAATTTTAATTGATTTTATTTTATGTAATAAAATTATTTTTAAAATACCATTTATTTAATTTAAATTTCATTTTTAATAACTCATTTTATTTTTGTGAAACTAGTATTTTCATTTGAAAAAAGGTCCCAATAAAAAGGAAATTTAGATAATAAAGTTATTTTTAAATGAAATTAAGAAAATTAAATAAAATTAACTATTATTCTTAATTAGAAAGGAGTATATTATTACAATTGTTAATAATAAATTTTCTAATTTACTAATTAATTTTTAAGATATTGATTAATATTTACCCGTATAAAAAGTGTTGAGCATCTTCATGCATGGAAAAATGCTAATTGAAAACGACCCCATCGCAATTAGTGAACCAAATCCAACGCTTGGCTGACAATCAGACACGTTACTGTTCTTAAAATTTACATTAACAATGCTTTCTTAAATTTTAATTTTACATATGCTTATCTCCCTTAAATATCGTATTAAGTGTCAAGAATCAAACTAATCTTATTTTCTTTCGAGCTGTATATATGTTCTTGATTTACGTGTTTATTAAGAGTTGATTTGCTTACAGGTTAGCGCTAAAAGTAAGGTTCATCGCTTGCATTTCAAGGAGAATGTTATTTTAACACATAACCGGCTCATTTCCCCATGAAAACAAAGATTTAATTCCATTAAAAAAAATGTAAAGTAAGAAAATAAAGATATTTAGATATTACTCGAAGTTAATTATATTCATAAAATATTTAAATTTAAAATAAAGGAAAATAAAGTTTTATTTTTTATTTTATTTATTTTTTTAATTTAGAGGAGCTAAATTTTTAATTTAGATATTTTTTTTAGGAATAACGATACTATTTATTTATTTTAATCATTTTAATACTTATTTAAATAAATTTTAAATAAAAATCAAATATATTTAATGTCTTAAAAATATAACATTTATTTTATTTAGCAAGTAGAAAGATTTGTAAGATGTTGGAAGAATATTTAAAATTATTATTGTTTTACCATTGAACATTTGATTTTTATAATTTTAATACAAAATATATTGTTTAATCAAATTTCTGTAATTTAGATTAATGTATACATATATTTTAATTATATTTAACAATTTAAAAAATATATAAAAGCATTTTATTTAAATTTAAATGACGAGCACTTATACCTAGTGTCAATGCAATATGAAAATTGTACTTCTATTTTGGAAATTGGAGAAGTTTAATGTGATCTATAAGTAATTGCTTCTTGATATTAGAGCGTTAACATGGAAATATATCGATATTCGGATTCGATTCATTACTCAAAGCGAGCTTGTGTGAAAAGTACTTATATAGCCCAATCGGATAAACATTGTATGTTTGTTTATTGACATTAAAAGAGTAGGCTACTAGTTCTTAACTTGAAGGATTGCATGCTTTGGACCAAAGTCTAATTGGCTTGGCTTCTCTTTTGTTCTACCAGAAACCATTCCTTCTCATTATCTACAACAAAGTGGTCTATTTAGTAATGAAAAAGCTATACTTTTTTTGTTTGCTGGAAGCATGTGGTCCCTCTGGTTGACATGCAATGGAGTTATCTTTAGGATGATAAAGATTAGATCCTGATTATGATTTTTCATATAAGATTAAGAGTTCTTTGTATGTTTCTAGTTGGTGTGTATAAATTTAATAGGTAGCATTAAGCAAAGTTGTTGCAAATGATATACCTGTTGACTCTAGTGTACTCATATTTTATGAATCTTTATAACTAGTTCTTTAAGAATATTAGTTAAAGAATTAATAAATAATAATTTTATTGAAATTTATATTAAAATATATTTAAAAAGTATAAGAATAAGTCTATTTTTAATTTTTAATTCTTTAACCAATACTCTTGATTAACATTTTTCATATTTTATTCATAAATTTATGACTTTTTATGTATAAAAAAAGTGCTAAGATTCAAACAAATAAAAAATACGATAGCAAATAATATGTTACTAGCAAAAGCTCAAATTCAAAAAGTAGAAAAAATATGAAGCTGATATTGTAAAGAAAAAGCTATTAAAATAATTAGCTTAATCTAAACTTTAATACAACAAAAGTATTCATAAAACGAAAGTATATTCTTATGCAACATATACATTAAGCTTTAGAACATGAAATAGCATGCACTCGTTAACTTTGGCCCAATAAACAAGGTTTAAATTCCACGAACTTCATATATATTTGCATGGGATTTTGATTACACTGATATTGGAATAGCACAAAGAGGAGCAAGCTTCTTCAACGTTATGCCATACTGTTCACTCATGTCAAGCGTTTGAGGAGTAACACCCTGAGGAAGCTCCCACTCAAAAGAGTGAACAAACGCAGCCAACATTAAAGTAATCATTCTATTAGCAAGTGGCAAACCAGGGCAAATTCTCCTACCACCACCAAAAGGCAAATACTCGAAATCCCTGCCTTTGAAATCTACATTGGACCTGAGAAACCTTTCAGGCTTAAACAACAATGGGTCATCCCAAAACTCGGGGTTTCTACCAATAGACCATGCATTTATTAGAACTTGGTGTCCTTTGTGAATAGTGTACCCACTTACTTCAACATCATATCCTGCCACATAGGGCAAGAGAAGGGGTACAGGTGGATGAAGCCGAAGAGTTTCTTTCACTATTGCTTGAATATATGCAAGTCTAGGGATATCCGATTCTTTTACTTCATTGGAGGTGCCACTGCCAATTACTTGATTCAGTTCATTTCTTGCTTTTTGCATTACTTCTGGGTTGCGTAGAAGCTCTGCCATTGCCCATTCTGTTGTTGATCCTGAAGTGTCACTTCCCGCTATAAACAAATCCTGTTTGGAACCATCATCATCACACTTGGTTGTTTTGTGGCTGTAGAAAAATTAAAACAAGATCTTGCATGCAGTGAGCTTACTTGCTACACTACGTCAGAATTTATTTCAATATTCGTCTTCGATCGTTTAAAAATTTATTAAATTCCCATCAATCCAATTCAAATTCAAATTTAAATTAATTATAGCCATTGTTCACTAACTGAAGTGTATCAAAGTCAGCTATGGTCCATGGCATGGTCGTGCAAATTGATATTAAGCCCAAACCACTTCCTAGGTTAGATATATATAATACTTATGTCATATGAAATCTACATGCATGTCGGGCTTACGGGTCACTTAAGCATATCCACTAAGGGAATCTTCTGAACTTCCTGTTTCTCGTTTCATTGGTCGTAACATTCCGTGTCCAACCTTAACCACTATCTTGAAAATTTTACTAGGAAAATTTCAACCGAGTGTAAATTGAAATATAATCTTAAAATAAAATTTATTATTCAAACAAACTTAAATCTTCCACTTCTCAAATATTATATCTAAATATAAAATAATTTTGAAAAGTATTCACTGAAAAAGGAGTATATTCGTTTGTCATTACCCAATTCTACACCACTTAGTACACTGAACAATGAAGAGAAAAACGAAACTCTTACTTTAATTAGATTTAAATTAAATAAAAAGTTTACACTGGGTATAAAAAATTTTAAACTTAGATTGGTGTAAAAAAATCCTGCTCTATATATATATATAACGTCATATTTTAAATAACGCATTCATGTATACTTATTTTTTATAAAAATTATAAACAATAAAATTTTTATTTTATCTTTTAATAAAAATGGCTCAAAAGCCTAAAACAGAATAGAACCTAGCCACAATGTCCAGGACAATCCTGAAAACTGAAATCTAAAATCTAAATTCAAGAAAGACAAAAAAGGGAGAGGAGGAACCTTAAACTGAGAATAAAAAATTAGAAAATCTAGATCTAATTTAGCTAAAAATTTTGCATATTAATTTGCTTTATCAATTTAAAATATGATATAAAAAAATTTATTTTCTTATTTCAAATATTTTTTTTATTCCTTCACTTACACTCATTGAAAAAAGTTTCGTTTCTTATTTTACTCTCTTTCACATCAGTCAAGAATTATTATTTTTTCGTTATGTTTTAAGAGTATAAAAACTACTAAAAAAAATGAGATGTGAAATGAATATTGTTTTAAATAATTATTGTACCATTCGTTACTACTCCTTTTTGGCTCACGCCTATTTTCCTAACCCTTCAATATTAGATAAACTACTCATATAAAATATTTATTAGGTAAACTACTCCTAAATAAACTAGAAAAATATGCAGGACGAAATCATGCTTATGGTAACTGAACTACTGTGAATTTTAATTATAAATGTTTAATGGATTGTTTTTATACAAGTATTCTATTAGTTAATGCATATATTATTTAAATAAAATAAAAAGTATGTCAAAAACATTTAGCTGCTGTTCTTTAGTTTTTGCACAACTAAATGTTTTAATGATGTTAATGCCTGAAATAGCAGGTTTAGTATACATTTAGTTAAAAATAAATAAATTTAATTATAGTTTAATTGATTATAAACTATTAAATATAATTGATATATACGTATAAATTAGTCTGAAACATATATTTTTATATTAAAATATAATTTTTTTATTAAAACTATAAAAATTAATTTAATAACTTTTATTTGGACATTCAAGCCGTTATTAATAACATTACACTCTTTTAAAGCGTTTTCACAGAAATTGACTTTCTTTGTGATTATATAATGATAGGGAAGGACCTAATTAATTGCGGAGAAAATAGCAATTTAAAACATCTTCAAAGTGTTGATAAAATTATTATCTTTTAAAATGATATAGTAACCTAGATATATATATATATATATATATATATATATATATATATATAACAATAATTGAGGGCTATTTCTTAAATAAATAGTAGTAATTACGTATACATTTGAGATGGAAAAATCAAAGAAAGGATATAATTAAATATCCTAGCTAGCTATATTTATCATAAGTAACTTTTTTTTCACTGTAAACTTACAATTTTAATGTTTAAATTTAAATAATATATAACGTATATTATTTATATAAAATTTTGTCGAAATTAAATAATATTTTTTATTTTTACATATTTCAAACGTATAAATGTGGTATGCATAAATAATATATTAAATCATTTTAAATTAATTTCAAATTTTGTAAATATAGTTTATGTAATTAAATTTTTTAATAGTTAATTGTAAAATAAATTATCTAATAAAAAGTTAAGATGTAGTGTAATGATAATAAGGTAAAATTATGAGTTACCAGAATCAATGGCTTAATGCTTTGAACGGTGAAATCAGGAGCGTCCCCTTGTTGACAATGATCGAGCAACACGTCCAAGAAATCACCGTTGGCGCCACCGCCACGCGAACTCTCTCTATCCCTCACACGTTTCTGAATCATGTCATCAAAAATTTCATGCAACCTCACGTAAGAAACAGCCACGTGTCTCCTCACGCCCTGCAAATCAAACCTCTTCAGCACCGGAAAATAGTCCGAAAGGTTAACCTTCCCAGCATCCTCCATGATCCTCCACACCAGTTCCTTCAACTCCCCCGCACTCTCGAACTCAGGATCCACCATGTCCTCCGAAAACACCGTGTTCGACACAAGGTTCAGCATCGTCGCGAACGCAAGCTCTCCAATGTTAACTACGTTTCGTTTCGAAGCTTGCTTCTCAAGGTGTTCAATCAGTTCCTGCACTTTGCGCTCCCGCAAGTGTTGGAGGAGGTCCAGGCGTTGATTGGTGAAAATCTGGGTGGTGCAGATGCGACGCCGGTTGCGCCACCGTGGGTCCGCGGGGGCCCACGCAAGGGTGTCACCGACGTTAGGCTGGGCCGCTACGGATTCGGGAATGGGGCGGTTGGCGAAGGCTTGGTCGTTCTTTTGGAGGATTTCTTGGGCCGTGGCGGGGGATGAAGCGACGGCCACGGTGACAGAGCCGAAGCGGAGGGACATGATTGGGCCGTATGTTTGGGCCAGTGAGGAGAGGGAGCAGTGGGGTTTTGGGCCCAGCTGGTGGAGGTTTCCGATTATGGGGAGCCCGGTTGGACCGGGTGGTTGGTTTCTTTTACCGTGGCGGTTCAGAAAGAAGCGGGTGATGAGAATGGTTAGTGTGACTAGTAAAAGCAAGGTCTGGGTTTGAAGCTCCATTATCATCAATTCATAATCATCAATTATCTCTTATATCTACTTTGTGGTGGAATATCTTATCATTCAGCATCATGGCCACTCCTGCATACACGTGGATGGTTGTGACCTTGATTCTTTCGTCAAGAGGAAAGTTTGTAATATGTTATTTTTCCATTGTTAGATAAACAAACTTTATTAAATAATAATGACAAATTAGAGGATTGAGTGTGAGATTCGTATCAATTTTTTACTGTTGACATTTTTTGTAATAAATTACAATTCTAATTTACTTTTTTCAAAATTCTTTTATAAATCTATAATCAATAAACTATATAATTTGAATGTCTTTCTTTTGTTTTATTTTATGGATTAAGAATCAGTTTCCAAATCTAGCTGAAAATGATGTATTCCTAATTTTGATTAGCATCTTGACAAAACATGAAGATGATAACCTCACCCAGGTGACAGACAGCAGAAATCATGTAGTGTGTTTTCTCACTTAACTTTAGTAAATGCTATTATGTTTCTAAACTATGTTGCATAATTTTGTAATGAGAATACTGAGACACGCGTGCGCAATGCACAGTTGTAACTGTATTGCTGTGGCAAACATGCAATAGTTTTCTGAAAAAATAACAGCAACAGTAATTTCATATATTAAGGGTGACTCTGTTTCTATTTTAGTTTTTAATTTTTAAAAATTGTATTTTAAAAAATTTATAAAACTACTTAACAAAAAAAACCAACTTTAACTTTTTACGCTGTTTACACCCACTTAAAAAAATATAGTTCTTTCACATCATTCTTTGATTTTTCTTCTACTTTACTTTTATACTTTTTGCAAAGTACCCTGTCAATAAAAAAAAGAAAAGAATCGAGGGTAAAAAATATATATTATTTTATAACGAAGTAAGATACATATAAAAGTAATCTATATTTATAAAATAAATTTACCTTTTATAGTAGAGATAGAGAGAGAAAGAATTTACCGAAATAAAAACAAAACTCATTTACTCATCCAAAGAAAATGTGCGATAATAATGTAAAAACTTGGCCTGCGTATTCAAAAAAATACTATTCTTATGGCTGTAAACAATCACAAATATATATATATAAATATATTATTTTCTCTCTTTTTTTCTTTTCTATCTCTTTCCTTTTTAGGATGTACGCACTTCTCTTAGCATGTTAAAGTTTGTCGGTTATCTTTCACACTAAAAATGCGTTTAAATTTACAATTAAATAACTATGTTTCCTTCAACCTTATTAATTATAGTTTCGATATTGAATTTATAACTATAAGTTTTTGAACATATTTCCAAACGCACGTTAAATATACCCTGACCTGGGATGTTGCAACTGTATGTTCTTACTCTGGTTTCTAGGATTGCAAGTATGAAACTTCACTTATTGATTTAATTAAAAATTCACTTGAATCTTTAGCTACAAATGTCATTTATTTTTGTTTTTATTATATTCTTCACTGTGCTCTATTTTCTTTATAATTTTATAAATAAATAAAAAAACATGAATATTAACCAATTAGAATGGTAGCATTGTACAGTCTACAGGATTTCCACCACGTGGGAGAAATGAATTGCTCACAAATACAAACAAACGTAGAACGAATCTTTATTAAGAAAAATGGTCTCACCTGAGTAGTAGTGTACAACCTGTTTAATTTACTCCTGAATCCGAACAGGCTCAAAACCCCTCTGAATTGAAGTCTTCACAGCATCCAAAACTAGTTGAGTTTTCCTACTAATTGTGGGCCACTTCTTATCAGGCTTTGAGTTTTTGAATTTGATTTGTGCCACCAAGTTAGCAAATTCTCTAACCAAAAGAACCTCCTGAGGGAGATCAGTGTTCACTGTGTGCTTGCTTGGTTGTTTAGCCCACCCAGTGACAAGATCATCAAAGCTTGTTTCTGTACCAGCCATAAACGATGCCTCCTTCTCATGATAAGGTATAACAAAGTCATGCACATGTAGAGTTCCTCTTGTCCCAATGGCTGTTATATCCATTGTCAAGTTCGCCAAGAAGGAGCAATGGAAGGTTGCTACTTTCCCATCTTCCCAATATAGAGAAGCCCCACAATCCAATATGACCCCATCTTTATTAAGCACAGCTTCACGAGATGCTACTACTATTTTTGGCAATTCATAGTTAGCTGCCAACAGGATTGCCCTAATACAATACCACCCTTGATCACCCAGAGAACCAAGACCATCAAGATCAGCCTTCACACGAATGTTGTTCTCCAGATAATCAGAATCAGCAGCAAATGTAAAACAGGTGCGAACCTACACAGCCCAGAAGATGCCACTTATCAAATGCATAATCAATGTTTTATAACATAACTCAATATTCTAGGAATGCCCTTTTGAGTTATTCATTCAACAGTGACAACCAAATATACAAAAGCAACTAAATAATTGCAACTGAAGCGAAAAACCCCAGTTAAAGCCCAGTTTATATTAGTCAACAAAACCATACAGCAGATAAATGGCACAAGAGCTATATTTGGCAGAAGGATGAAATATTAATAAGACATTGGTTACTTCTCTTGAAATTACTTTAACCCTCTGCTTTCCAAATTTAAATTCGAAGCTTTTCACGACATTCCCCAACAAACAAGGCCTTAATGTCACAATACTACTAAGGATTGCATTATTCAGTTGCTAACCCATTTTTTTATTTGAACCGTCAGAGCTCCATTGTTAGCAAATAGTTACCGCACACCAAAAAAAGAAAGATTCCAACTTTGACTCTCATACAAAAATGGGGTGTCCAAAAAATAAACATTTTCGAATCATAATTTCTTTTTTTTAAAAAAAAAAAATTCCCTTGCATTGGTCAATACAGTAAATAAAAAGCGGAATGAATGGATGACATACCGATTTGAGGTCACCAAAACGGTGCGCATCGTTGAGGAACTGAGCCATGGCATGGGTGCGGGGGTTATGGACCCACATGGTGTTATCCATGAACTGCACTCCATTGGATTCACAGGCCTCAAGAATGCGGTCAAACTGGGCGACATCGAGGGCCACGGGCTTCTCGAGAAGCAAGTGCTTCTTATGCTGCGCCGCGAGCACTGCCCACGGGAGGTGGAGACTGGTGGGGAGTGGCATGTAGACAGCGTCGACGTCGGGGTCCTGAAGAAGTGCCTCATAGGAGCCATAGAGTTTGGCGGTGAGAGGGACGGCGTTGGCGGCGGCGAATGCTGAAGCCTTGTCGAGGGAGCGGCTGGCGACGGCGCAGATGGCGGCGTTCGGGGCGAGGGTGATGGCGCGTGAGACCTTATTGGCTATGTCGGCGCAGCCAACTACACCGATTTGGATGAGTGTTTGGGCCATTTTGGGTCAACCAGTAATAAGTGCAGTGTGGTCAATGATGTAAGCAAGACAGTGAGAGTACTGATAAGCTACAGGTGGATGACTGTTTTAAACCCAATTTCTTATTTAATTCGTTAAAATTTACCCCTTCCACATCTTTTTATTAAAAATAATATTTTGGACCAAAACAATTAATTATTACCTTTTCTTAACATGTATTTTAAGATGTTAATTAAAAAAAAATTTAAAATGCAATATAAATTTATAATATGTAATTATTTTTTATTAATTTTAATAAATTAATTATTTTATCAAAAATAGAGAAATTAATATCACATGTTTTATTATAAAAATAATATTTTATATAATATATTGATTGTAGTAAAGCATTGATTGGACTTATAAAAGTTTATAAAAAGAGAAGTAATCAGGAAATAATTTTATTGATACCCCAGTAAGTTTATAATAGCATTTTTTTTTTGGAGAAATCAATAACTTTGCTCAATCTTTTTCACTTTTTGTAATTTCACCTTTTACAGTGAATAAATTGTAACTGAGATGAAAATCAAATGAACAGCTGAAAAAGAGTCACAATAAATAATGCTAATACAATAATTGCAAGAACTATGTTATTGAAAACTAATAGATAGATGCATTATTTCACAGTAAAAAAATTCTGAGAAGCCAACGCAATTTTATTTGGTATATTTTGACTCCTTCCATAAACAACCTTTACTAACCCCTAGAGATTTTCGTTTAAATTTATTCTATAAATATTTTATGTAAATAGTTAAATATTGTTGTTTTAAAGATTTATTAATAAGTTTAAATGCATTTGTTAAAGAAATAAAAAATTCAGATAAACATTTTTATATTTTTATGACTAAGCTTTTTAATCAAATGATGATATATATACATGTGTATGCTCTCTTTATATATATATATATATATATATATATATATATATATATATATAAAGAGAGCATATATATGTATATATATATATATATATATATATATGTTAGTATTTGATTAAAATAACTTACTGACTAATTAAAGATACAAAAAAAATCTAAATTTTATCCTAAAAAATATAAACGAAGATTATTAAAATAGCTGGATTCATTTACAACTCGATTTTTATATACCATGGCATCACACCAGGCCGCAAACAGCTCCTAATGCTAACCATTAGAAGATTGAGAAGCCAACATGATGAAATTCTATATTGGAAACTAATTATCTGAATCAATTTACTGTATTATTAGATCGAATTAGTATAAAATTTACTTAATACTAAAAAGGGTTTTTGAAAATGGCCAAAAAAAGTACTGTTATTGACATTTTTCTTTATATTAATAATTATTTAGTTAATGAAAAACTGAAAAAAATTATTTACATTAAACATTTTAAAATTTTCAAGCATTTATAAACTTTATTCGATTAAAAACATCTGATTACGTTTTTGTAAAGGTTATTGTCTCTTAAATCATGCCCGTTTCCACCCACCACCAGCCAATAGATTATAATTCCAATAAAAATTAGAAGAACTCCTATATAAACAAGTATTGGATGCAAAATTGTTACATTGAACAATAAAAATAAGAAAGATTGAAAAAAGGAATATGGTTTCTTTCACTGAGAAGCAAGAGACTTTAGTGAACAGCTCATGGGAAGCGTTAAAGCAAAACATTCCTCACTACAGCTTTGTGTTCTTCACCTTGTAAGCTCACCATGTCTCTTACTCTTATGTTTTCCCTTTTGTTGTTTGTTGTGTTTAGGAAAGAGATAATGTGCATATATACATGTGAGTGAGTGTCTTTGGTTTTTGATTTGATAAAAAAATTAGAATAGTGGAGAAAGCTCCAGCAGCAAAGAACATGTTCTCATTTTTAAGTAATGGAGTGGACCAGAATAATCCTAAGCACCAGGCTCATGCTGAAAAGTTCTTTGAAATGGTAAGTGCATTCCAACATAAAATTATAGCTATTGCATGAGATTAAAAGAGTATTTTGTATGAGCAAAAAAAAAAGTATTTTGTACTATTTAACTCTCTTATCAATTAACTAATCTGTATAGTATATCGTGTTATATAAAAAAATTTTATATTAGTGTAAATTTAAAAAAATTTACACTTTCGTTTAATTTATATTTAATAAGTTATAATTTATTACTTTATCAATCATTAAATATAAATTAAATAAAAAATTCAGATAAATATAAAAGTTTTTAAACTTATCCTAATGTAAAAAATGATTTCTCATATATCATATTATAATCTCACTGAGTATATTATAAAATCAAATTAATTAACATTCTTGATTATATTATTTGTCATGCTTATCATATCATATGATATTTTGGAATTGAAGACGCATGACTCGGCCGTTCAACTTCGAGCAAAGGGAGAAGTAGTGGTGGCTAATGCCACATTAAAGCATTTGGCTTCAATCCATGTCCAAAAAGGAGTCACCGATCCTCATTTCCTGGTAAATAGCTAAGACTCCTAGAATATTACAATAAATGCCATTGCATTTATTAATTTTATAAAATAATAACAATAAATAAATAAATAAAATAAGATTCCTAAAGTGTAAAAAAAAAAAAACAAAGTAAGAAAGACCCAATAGACTTGCCATGTTTTTATTTATCGATTCCCATTTATTAAAGTCAACTTAAAAATTAATGTATATACTAATAATTCTGATAATGAAAATACCAATAATATTTAAAAAAAAATTGAAAATTTAATTTTAAATAAAAATATCAACGCTAAACTAACATTAATTATTTGTAGGTGGTTAAAGAAGCACTTCTTAAAACATTAAAGGAAGCAGTCGGAGATAAATGGAGTGACGAATTGAGCAATGCTTGGGAAGTTGCATATGATGAACTTGCAGTTGCTATTAAGAAGGCAATGGCATCGACTTAGACACATTGCCATAAAATTTAATAAATAATGTTATTTCACGAAATTGTTAAACAAGTTCCTATTATAAATGTTGTCTAAAATAAATTAATGTTCCTATTATTAGCATAGACTTACATGAATGTTACTCTCAAATGATAGTTTATATATACAAATAAATTCAAAATAATTTACATGTTTTTAAAGATTTTAATTAATAAGCTTATTTAAATGGAATAGGAATGCTTCTAGCAAAAAATATTAATGATACTAATAATAATAATAATAATAACAACAACAACTGACGCAATTGGTAGACAGTCTTGATCTTATTAACTAAGATTAAATTCCCACACAAAAACATGAAAAAAAAAAATATTGAACTCACCTCAATGATCTTCCATCTAAAAAATTTAACTATCAATCAAAAGATGTTCTTTGTTCACGAAAAAAAAGAAAAAAGAGAGTAAAATACTGTACACAGTATCCTAAAATATTTTAAATACTTTGAAAATAAAATATTTAATGGCATCTCATTCCTTTTAAGAGTCAAATATCATTTTCAATAAAATAACAATTATATATGCATGTAACTACTAGCTTTTTAATAAGTCAAATATTATCCTCCTTTAAATTATTTTATTTGCAAATTTGAATGGGTATTCACAATTCCTTGTTTACCTAAAGATAATATTCTCCTTAGGATTGTATATTTTGATTAATATTAATATAAACAAATTTTTATAGTAAATTAAATATTTGAAGTTAGATGTATAAACAAGTGTAAATACGAACCTTGTTAATGTGTAACCAAAGGAATATCTCAATTGTTGGATGCATCAGAAGCATGAAAGCTTATTTGGCTGACTCCCATTACTGTCCTCCAAGAGATTCTTTTGAAAACACATTATATAAAAATGATGTAAACTGATTTTTTTTTAATTAATATTTTTCTGAATTGATATTTTCACTAAAAATTTATTTTAGATTATTAACTGACAAAGTATAAATATTTTAAAACAACAGTAATGCCAAACACAAACTAAATGTTTGTGATTTTTAAAATTCATTCATCAATAACAATAAAAATCACAAATAGATAACGAAATTTTATTATATAAACACTGCTAACAGCAGAAGCTCAGGTGTTTAAATTTTAATTGGACATTATTGACTTTACTTCTAATCAAAATTCAGCTACATTGTTTTTTCGATTCATCTGTATTTTTTATGAATATTTTTAAAAAAATGTCATACTTTTTAGGAAGACAAAAGATTCGTTCTTGTATAGTAATTAAAGAAAACTCTTAAATTTTTATTCAATTTTTTATCACTATAATCTTCTAAAAAAATTTCACCAAATTGCTCTCAAATTAATCATTAAAAAACTATTTTTGTAAATTAGAGGAGGACACGTGGCTTAAAAGAAACTCTGGATTGTAAATTAGCAGATAAATAAATAACGCATAGTATGTACTTACGAGGCACATGGATAAACTAAGGTTCCCACATCATACGGTTGACATATGACAATGGCAACGCAATCTTATCTTCTGAATCTTAACTCTTTTCATGTTCATGCGGGAATCAGAAGTAAGTTTTGGGTTTATGCTTATGCTTTGCATTCTTCCATCAAAGCCTGCTTCACATGTTTTTTGTTTCAATTTTTCAATTTTATAGGATGGCAATGCCAACCTTCAATATTCAAGCCTGACAGTTTTGGGTTTGGCAACTGGGTAAGCATTACTATCTGGAAATTTCTCGTGGCCATGCTTCCATTAGCTGAGTTTCGCATATCCAATAACAAAAAGATAAAATTTGACTTGGATATCTTAGAGTTTGGAAAGAAGCATAGAAATTGTGCTATGTTATCTTCTTGTCACTTTGAAAGTGCATGCTCTATTTGATAAAATGCCCAAGCAAAGTGAGGAATTTGATTTTTACGGTTCATAGGACAAGATTGAAAGTTTAAAACATACATTCGGCCTTTGTTTGGTGCTGTTCCAACATACGAGTATTTCCAAAACCTGGTCATAATTATTTAATAATCACGATGTGGATTGGGTTAATGTGAGATTTTTTTCTCTGATATGAATTTTTAAGTTTGATCATCATCAGCAATAAAAAACGGGAATTTCAATCAAATTCGCATTTGCAGTAGCTTATTGAATGGATGTTTTAGATATTTAAGATTAAGTGGGACAAATGTAAATTTACTTTTGAGTTATTGGGGGATTTAGACATCGGGTAATTTCTTACGATTTGGATTCAGATAGTTGAAAAATATAAAGAGTATCCACCAATTGTCACTCCTAATTGCTGCTTACGGTGGTTTATGCGGCTACCATCTAGAGTTTATGCGTCTCAAGATTTCAACGATTCCTTTCCTTCGTATTTTTGTAGGATAAGGTTGTGTTTTCTTGGCATCTTTGCAGAATTGGGAGAGCTCAATTTTAGCTAATGATTTGGATTTCTATTCCTGCTGTATTTTTTACATTTCTTCATATTGTAGACCTGTACTGATGAACTCGTCTTAAACTGGCCTTGTGCCTATTTTAAATGACGTGTTGATTAATGCTGCTACTAAAGACATTTAAGTTATTATCTCTATACTGTTTCTATTTGATGTGCCTACATTCCTTTGTGTTTTTAAAAAAATTCCTTATGGCCGGTCTTACCTAGTTACTTGGAAATAAATAGACATTCTACATTAAGTTTAAACAACTGATAACCTTTGAACCAGGTATTTTCTTCTAATTTGAGATTTTAATTGTTGCAGAAAAGTTCTAAGTATACCAATAAAATAAACGTCAATGGCAATTCTGGAGGCATGCAATGCTGCTCATGCTACACAGATGTTGGAGCTTCTGCAGGCATAACAATATCCTCCCTATTGGATGCGGCTACTATGCAGAAATCTCTTGATTCAGATGTAGACTTGAATACTCTCAAGCTTAGCATACCAGAAACTTTGCACACTTCCATAGATTTCACGGCAGGATTGCTTCTTGCTGATCTTGACCCTGCTACGGCAAAGTTGGCTATTGGGTTTCTAGGCCCCTTCCTCTCAGTGTTTGGTTTTCTCTTTATCTTGAGAATAGTCATGTCTTGGTACCCAAAACTTCCAGTAGGAAAATTTCCATATGTAATAGCTTATGCTCCCACTGAGCCACTTCTCATTCCTACCCGCAAAGTGATTCCTCCTCTTGCTGGTGTGGACGTTACTCCTGTGGTCTGGTTTGGATTGATAAGTTTTCTTAACGAAATATTAGTAGGTCCACAAGGATTACTAGTTCTCCTTTCCCAACAAGTCAATTAGTTTACACATTTGGTATTTGTGAATGACATATTTTCTATCCGATCTTGTTGGATGTATACAAAAAGATTTTTCACACCCCAAAATTCCTAAACTCATGTATTTGTTTGTGACGAAGAGAGAGATTGTTCTCTCCTTCCATTTCTTTCAATGCGGGGTAACAAATTGTCGAAGCGGCTTGCGTAGTCAAGTGGAGTCTTCTTGTCCCCTATGTTTCAATAATAAACTAGACATCATATTGATAAAGTCTGCACGTGGGCAGGTTTGGGAGTGTCTGCATTTACAGGACACGATAAATCTATATTGTTTGCTGAGACCTGTTACATATTCAGAATGGCAAGTATAATAGGTTCCTTTGCTATATGGAAATGGATCATATCCACCAGGCAAAGCAGAGAGAGACATAATAGGAAAATTGAAGAAACCAAAATTGCTATGCTGTCTAAATTAACTTGTTTCAGCGATTAAACGCAACTTGGTGCAAGAGAAATATATTCAAGCATACGCTTATATATAATAATAGCTCAAATGACAAAGCAAAGATAGTCAAGCCCACACCACAGGTATTTCAACGGCAAAATTTTTATCGTTTAAATAATTATTGTACAAATTATCTCTTCTAAAGGATTTTATATGCGGCCGTGTGGAGCTCCTCAATGCTACATTAAATATTTGGACAAGGAATTAGAAAACAAATTATAAAAAAAGCGACAGTGCTGAAAAGAATTTTGATATTCCGAGTCTAATCTACAGCAAATGCTAATATACAAGTTGTTGCTAACTGCACTGTTCGTGAGTTCCTGACTGTTATGAAGGCTGCATCTGATCTCGCCGAAGAGCCTGCTGGAGCTGAATGACCTGCTGTTGCTGCTCTGGTGGCAAGGAACTCAATTGCTCAGGCGTTAGATTCAATACTTGTTGCAGCAAAACAGACTCCACATTAGGTGGAAGCTGAGACTGAGCAAAGAAAACAGGCATAATTAAAATCGCTACGTTAAACAATTAAGATACGGTCCATTGTGGTTAAAAAAAATTGAAACAGTAAAAGAAGAAATATAAATCTCAAACATTTAAAGGTGCTTTCAGGCAAAATTCATACTACTAAAAAAAGTACGAGTAAACATTGGATTTTTTACATGTATAAATGACAAATTTGATGCCAACTACCTATGCATAAAAAACCCCTCTCCTATTGCAGATTTAGGTCAAAACAGACCAACTCATAACCAAGGCAGAGTCATGTTGATATGATTCCTAAAGTACAGACACGATCAGTTCTTCCAATCACTAGTTCCAGACCAATTACGGGTCATATTGGCTACAGGCTAGTGACGTAAAGATCGTAATGATGTCAACTTTGACGAGAATTCTCAGAAATATTAAATGAAGAGATTCCGTTAGCATAAATTTATCCACTTAGTGATGATATTCCAAACGAAAAAGAAAAGAAACCTTTTTAGTATAACTGTTGGCTGCATAAATCAAATATTTAACTCCTTAAATATCAGCAATAGTAGGCAGCCTTTCATTGACATAAAACTTTATTTCAAAAGTATATTAAAACCAGTCTATCACCTTACTCATCCACTTCCAATCAAGTATATGATATATCTAAGCATACACAATCTAATGTTAAATTTCAGACTTTTAAGAAACAGGCAACAGCAGGCAATTCTGAAGTATATATTCCTGACATCATTTTTCTATGCAAGATTAGACTAGCCTTTTTAGCAACCAAATAAAAAGATATTCAAATTTCAGAATACAGAACCTGAAAAGAGATGACTGTACAATAATTTTTTCATCCAAATTCAAACATACCAATAATGAATCACCAAATTAATTAAAGAATAAGAAAATTATTCGCTGTCATTTGTCATCCATGAATCACCAAGTCACAAATACCTGAGAAGATTGTTGCTCAGATTGCCGAACTTCTGCTTTAGGAGCTGCATGTGCAGGCAATGAGCTACTCCCAAGGATATTGGATGATCCATCGGTGACAGGCATGTCTGAAATCCCTGCAGAAATAGAGGTGTTCCGTCCCTCATCCAACTTCATGAGCTTTGATGGGCGAGCAAAAGACTCTGAAGAATCACGAATCATAGTTTTAGCTGTTGATACGGAGGGGCCAGGCTGCTTTAATGAATGATGTTAGATTCTCTGTTTTAAAAATATAAGCATATAAAAAAATAGAGGCGTAACCAGCTCAGCAGAAGTTTAAAGAAAAACAGGTTCTACACAAAGAAAGCATCATAAATTAAAAGCACATAGCCAACTACACTGAAGAAATAATTTGACACTTCTATGCATAGTAAATGTTGTAGACTGTAATCCAGAAAAGATCTCACAAGAACTTCTCTCAATGGATCACAACATTAAGAGGTGATGACATTTGACCATCATCTTATCACTTGTTAATAAAGGTAATCTTCTAGACAACATGATCATAACTTCTCATAATCATAAGCAAATACATCCTATATAAGAGAGGTAGCCCTAACTATGATGAACTATTCTTTAATATTAATAACTCTCTTACACTTGCAAACAGCCTTGTTGACTTAAGCATCGCAGTGTTCTTTACAAGTACACCCCCTCACATTCTCAGATTCTTTCCAAGGATCAGGTAACAACAGTATATAATGTAGAAAACATAATGTAGATGATGCTTTAATAACAGGTGCTTTGGTGGTTTTCTTCATCATAAACCACCTCTTTTAATGAACCATAAAAATTGGATCAAGATATGAATGAAAGAGTGTATTATTATTGAAGAACCCCCAACTCTAATCTTACCCAAACGGGGTGCAACACCTCCCTCTCTGCTTTCTCTCCCATATTTATACTAATTAATAAGTAATAACAGTTTATTATTTTGTTATTAGTTTCCCTCTCCCTATTCATAACAGATTCTGTTATTCTGTTGCAGCATATCACAATCTTAAGGTCTGATGATGCCCTAATCTTATTTCTGCTACATAGACTCTAATTATTGGAGGATGTCTATCATCAATACTCTCTCCCTGAAGTTTCACCTTGTCATCAAGGTAAATAACTATAGCAGCTGCAAAACAAATTTCTATTGGTGTTCCATCTATTCAAAGCATGATGATTAAGCCAACTACACCCTGCAGCCCAAAAATAGCTTTCACTCCTCATGGGTCAAAAACAAATATGTAAGTGCTCCCATGTTACTCTAGCACTCTCATTTCTTCCACATTTTTGGCCACAAAACAGAACATCTGGGACTATAATTATACTAATATCCCATAACTCTTCGGTGAACTGCATTACAGCAAATGGTTATAGCTGACGATTGTTGTGATCTTCCACCTTATTTTGCTTCTATGGTGGGTTGATTGTGCTACCCATTCCCAAAACCTCCATTGCGACCATTGGATTAGTCCTTGGCTCTCCTGGTGTACTTAACATCTGACTTCCCTCATATTTCCCCTCCTCTTTACAACCCACAAACAAACCCATTCCGCCAATCGTTTTCCCATTAAATCCTTTTTTTTTGTCTGAACTAGCAATATTAGTTGACAATCAAGTACCTGTGACTCTGAATCTGAGACAGTTGCATACAATTTGAAGTTTTTAACTTGTACTATCACACTTTATTATTGTGGTTTGCTTTATTATGAAGTCAGAATGCTAGAATTTTATTACTTCGTGGAATTATACTTAACTTGAACACTATGACTAGGTTTTTTAAAATCAATTTATGTAAACTTTTACAAACAAGTTTATGAGTTGAGTCTATAGACCCTCGAGTGTGACAACCTTGAACAAGATTAATATTAATGACCAGCTGTGTGCAGGCAATATATGGCCTTTTCTCCAAATGTTTGTTGTGTCACAAGATTTCAGAAATTGCCAATCAGCGACAATGTGTTTGGGATAAGGTTTTAGGCCCCCTATAATTACTACCTTGAGGACAATATGAGTAAGGGGAAGAAGAGGAATTTAAGCTGTAACAATAGCCTATGTGGCAAGGAGTGTGTGTGTTGGGGTTGGGGGGAATCAGTTAAGAGCCAGGGAGGTGGCAGTCCATTAAAATTCTGCACTGTTCTCTTTTTTATTCTGTTCCACATTTTTCTGATTGTATCTTTCCTTCTTCCTCTGCTGATCCTTCTTCAATATCAGACACAGGACAAGAGTTAGTGTTATATAAATAAAACTAAGATTATACACCAGGTGCCTATCATAAGGCTTCAGCAAAGTGTTGTGTAGCCCAAAATTTCATGACCCTAAAATAAGAAATTCCAAGATTTTAAAGTATACATATTCTCATCTACAACTTTTATGAGATAGAGAGATATATTGAGCATCCTTATGGTGTGCAGATAATGGAATAAAAAGACAATTCACTGACAAATATCTAGAGGGAATGGAATGCATTGTTTGGTTGATGTGTTTTTCTCCTATTGTCTGGTTTTTGTATTATCTAGAAGTTAACGTTAAACTTGAATTATAGAGAAAAACTTCAAAATCTAAGAATTTTCACTTGAATAGAAATAAAACAAAATACATGAATTGTAGGTTTAGCAAAAAACAAGATGAGAATCATGTGTTAAAAGTTAAACTTGGAGATTATATTATACCACAAATTCTCCATTTCAAGTACTTGGGATTGATTATACAAAATGATAGAAAAATTAATAAAGATATTAGTCACAAAATTCAAGTTAGGTGCTTAAAATATAGAAAGACATCAAAAGTTATTTGTGATCGTAAAGTACTTATCAAACTGAAAGGAAAGTTTTATCGTACTGAAATACGACTAGTTATCTTAGTGAATGTAAAGCCTTAAAGGAACAACATAAAAAAAAGTGAGTGACAAAAATGAGAAAGTTAAGGTAAATGAGTGAATACACAAGAAAAAATAGGATAAAAAATGATAACATACAAGAGTATATTGGAGTAACACCTAGAGTGAAAAAAATGGCTGAAAATCATTTAAGGTGGTTTGGTCATGTGCAGAGACTTTTGGAAACACTAGTTAAGAGAGTAAATTGTATGACTTCTAGTCAGGTAAAGAGGGGTCAAAAGAGTCAAAAGAACCTTATACAAAGTTATTAAAAAAGATCTTTTGATTAACCAAATTTTTCTCACCTCAATTGTTGTTATTGTCGTCAGGTTTTGTATTCTCTATTATTCTGTGCCACCGACATCATTTTGTTTCTCTAATCTCTAATACAAATTGCTAATGTCATAATAATAATAATAATAATAACAAAGTGCATAAAGCAGAAGTAATCTTCCATAGAGAGAAAGGTGGAGCTAAACCAGTATCATATGTTCTAATACTAACTTTCAATCCAAAGAATTTAAAAAAAAATAAAAATCTACATCTGAGAACCATAGAAAGTCACACAAATACAAACAAAATTTGGCACCTGAAAGCTTGTATCTGGACTAACAATTTGGATGTTATTACGTCCTACAGTTGAGTTTCCAACATGTGTGGAATGCTGTAACATAGAAGCATGCATTTTCTGGTTCAATGCAGTTGAAGTTGCCGGTTGAATTGGAGGCCTGACAGACAAACTGCCCAAAGACCCCTGGGGACGCACAGAAGGAAGCATTAAATTAGACTGCCCTGACAATGTTCCTGGCTGTACAAGGTTGCTTGGATGTTGCTGAAGGGGAATTCGAGGCTGCACTGGAGGCTTTGGAAGTGCAGTTAATTGATTTGGAGCCAAAGGATTATGAGGTATGGTGCTGACTTGGCCTTCATGAACATAAGGTGTCAAACCAGCCTGTAATTTGCTCTGCCCATGAGGAGGAAGGCCAGACAGAGTTTGAACCAACGTGGGTTGACCCACCTGACCTCCATTCATTGAAGACTGTGAGTTTTGATCTGAAACCATCCTAAGGTTTGGCATTTGTAACTGCAAAAATTATTATTAAAATGAAAATTAAAAAAGATAAATTGATGGAAATAGCTGTAAAATCTAGAAGGAATAAGCTTAATGAGCAAAAGATCTCAGTAGTCTGATTAAAAAATAATATTAATTTGATATTATATAAACCTTAAAAGTTCATAATTGTTTACGATTATTCACTGCTACTTTAGTTGATGTTATATTTTCAGTCCTAGAGGTATCTATAACAATTAGGTATTTAAGCATGTCAGCAAATGGCCTTTTGTGCTTGTTTGCTCAAGTCATTTCAGTTGTTTGGGTTATTTATTGGACCTCAAGTTTTGGAATATTCTTCATAACATGTATTCCCTTTCTCTTTATTGTAACCTGCCCAGACCTATTGTTCTTCACAGGCAGTATGAAAACACACAACAAAATATTAACTGATTCTTGCTTCAAACTGTCCCATAATATGAAAACCCTAATCTGCAAATTCACAGGTTCAGTTCACACAGCCTTGGAAGTTGGAATTTATTTATAGCACCCTAAATCAAGGATCACAAAGATTTGGCATAAAGAATAAATGGAATCAACATCAAGCAAAAAGGTGATGAAACAAACCACTTGAGCAGTCACCATTCCTAGCATTATCTGAGCCTGCAAATACAGCAAATTGTGAACATAATGATAGAAAAATTTAATTTTGCATTACATAGATCCAACGAAACTGAAACATAGATTTGGAGGAGAGAAGAACATAATCCCCAGAGTTTATATTCTTAGAAAGTAACAAATTTGTTCTTTATATAGAACACACTGACAAAAATATAACTTTGAAGAGAGATCAGCAATATTTTGATTATCAAATGAAGACATAGACTTGCACACCCACACCAAATGGAAAGATTTAAAACAACACCCTACACAATTTACAACTACATATTTTCTTTAGACAAGTGTCAAAAATAAGGATTAAGGATGGAATAGTCCTAAAGGAGACAAAATATAAAGTAAAAGAAAGAAAAATTGCATTTGGGCCATAAAAAAAGGCTTCTATCTTAAGAAGCATGGGTACAAACATAGGAGACAAATACAATATAACATGGAAAAGGGATACAACACGTTTTAAAAAACATAGGACTTAACACAGCTATAATATAATGTATAAAATTAACATAAAATAAACATTTTAAATCACAAAGAGAGAATTAACATAAAATTAACAACTTTTATGCCAGATGAATGCTTGAGCAAGTCAACCAGTGACACATATTGGTCTAGTCAGACTTGTTAAACCTTTCAACTCACCAGAAAATTGTAACCATATTGTTATCCAATCACTATATATCATGTATAAGATGAGAAAAAAGGAAACCGACACCTCATGGATTGGAGTACCAATTACTGCAAAATAAACCCCTCCCTTCCCCTCCCCCCTTCAAAAAAATGTAGCAAAGATGGAAAAGGAAAGTTATTTGTCTTCAAACCATCTGATCACAGTCCCCCTAAATTCTAGTTCTATCAAGTAGAGAGATCTCTTACAAAACTCCTATGAATGACATATAAGACCAAAAAACACCAATAGCACATAGCCACATTTAAATTGAAAATATGAGAAGATTGTACACAATTCACTCTTCTTCTGCCCAAGAAAATGTCTTAACCATATCTGTCATATTTTAGATTATTCTCCAGTCTTCATTACAAAACTATCTTAATATTATCATTTTTATCTCATCTGTTCACTCCAACGTAGTTATAAATGGGGAAATCAGTATATGGTCTTTCAATACACAAGCTGATATCGAGTACTCTGTCAAAATGAACAGCTACTAATACCAGAAATGACACCTATATCATACAAGCATATGTAAAAAGAGACAAGTTTGTCATCAAAGGATGTGGTGCTTGGATAAATTCACAAAGGAATTGATAAGGTAGGAAAGTACACACCTGAAAAAGAGCCTTGGGCAATTGTGGCCTCGAAAGTAACAACTGGCAAGCCAGTTCCTTGTTCTGTGTAGCCATTCCCTGTCATCATTAAAAGAACGAATTAGTCAAGAAAAGAGAAGATTATCTAGGAAGGTGAAGTTAGCTTTACAAAACCGTTACCTTGAGCTCAGAGATAATCTCAGTGAGCTGACTCCTGGACATTTTGGCAAGGTGCAGAGTTAAAGGATCATGTGCCAACGCTGACTGACTCTGCAAACTATTTTGATTTGACTGGATGCCAAATTGAGCACCACCTAGAGCTGCTGTCATGACAGCTGCAGCTGTTATGGCAATATGAAGACCAATAGGTTGATGCTGAACCGCTTCCCCATGTACAGCTGGGCCACCTACTTGTTTGTGAGGATCTTGACATATAAAAGAAGAAAATGAAAAACACAAGACAAAAAAGACAACACAGTGATTATGTGTGTGAGGTGATAATTTATCATAACATATAAGAAAGCAGAGAGATAAAGAACCAACCAGCATTTGTTATCATTCCAGGCCCACCACGACCCTGCACCAAAAAAAAAAAATCAATATAATTTGTGATGAAACTGGAATTTAGCAAATGATTCCTCTATTTTGACCTATTAAAGCACAAAGAACTTGGGGAGGAAAAACAAAAATAACAAAATCTTTACATTGCTTTAGAGTTAAAAAGCTTGACACCTTCGATTGATTGCAGGCAACTTGATTTATTTGGTCAAAAATTTTAAAAAGTAATAGTTAACAAGTAAAAGACATGGGTCAATGTAAGATTAAGAATAAGTAAATAATTATTTCCCTTTTGGTTTCATGTTGATCGAATATTATGGTTTGAAAAAAGTAAATGTAACGAGAAAATCCACATCATCCCATCACACGACTTTCAGGGTGTGTCTAATGGTTTAAACGTTAACTTCTTCCAGGTGATTTACTGCACTTTCGTTAAAGAAATCATAGCAAAGATTTGGGAAAATAACTTGCCACTATTTCAAGAAGTTTCGACAATATACCTGTTCTCTATTTCTATCATTCCCTTTATCATTTTCAGCAAAATCAACACGTAATTGCCGCCCATTAATTTCATAACCCTGAAGATTTCGTCGAGCACTTAAAGCTGTCTCTTCATCCTTATACTCGCAGAATCCATAACCTTTCGGTTTCCCAGTTTCTCTATCAATAACCAATCTGCAGATAAGGACGACGGAAATGTTGGAACCAAATAAACCATTGGTAAAGAAGCAAAAAATAATTCCAGGAAATTACGGTGAACTGTGGTAACAAATAATTAAATCTAAGAAAACTCCTATATAATAAAGAGCTTAACTTTTTACAAAATTACCTAAATGAGACTACAGGGCCAACCTCCTGACAGATTTCAATCAACTGTTCCTCCGTGGCATCATACGGTATATTCCCAACTGCAATAAACAGAATCACAAATTTCAATCTGATTTAAACTATGAACATTCAAGATTGCAACAAACATGGAGCCAGGAAGATAGAAAGTTCAAATAAAAAATAAAGAAATCAAAGACTTCATTCCTTCTAGAAAGATATTCGATTAGCAAACACTCAATAACAAGAAAAAGTGCAAAGAAATGAAGAAAGAGAGAGAAAGAGGGATACCGAAAACGCAGCGATGCTGGGATTGAGAGGTGGCCATGAAATCAACAGAAGAAGAAGGGCCCCATCTTCTTCCTCCTCAGAATCATTCTTTGATCAGAAACAGAAAACAAAAATTTGCGTTTCGATTCGATCTTCTTCTTCAACAACGACACTGTTAGTGGGAAGGGTTTTTTATTTTTATTTTTATTTTTTTTATAAGCCCCACAACTGTAATATTTCTCGTGCACTTGTTTTTATATGACTAATATTCGCACCGGTCTCAACGTGCATATTTTAATATGCAAAATGAAAAAATTAACATAGTCAATTCAACCACATTAAACTTTCTTAAATCAAATTATGGGTGACTTTACTTTGGATGAGGCTTGGCTGGTCATTCGCGTTAACGTAAAATTTGTTGAAATTTATTTTTTTATAATTAATTTTAAATTATTAAATGTAATTGTTAATTTAATTATAATTATAGATTTTAGATTGAAACATGTATACATTTTTCTATTCAAATCTGACTACACATATAAAACTAACTAAATAATTTAAAATATCCAAAGCATTCTTTCTAAAATAAAAGAATGAGCTTGGAGAAGGAATCACACATTTGGAACGAGTTCAGGGTTAAAATAATTGCACGTATATTTAGAAAGAATTATAAAAAATTACTCATGTTGAGACCCATATGCATTTAGCTGAATGAATAAAAACAAAACATATTTTAAGTCATTCTTGTAAGCTTTTTAAGATTTAATTCAACTATAATATAAGGTGACATGTTACCGTAGAAATATAATAGTAAAAAAAATATAGTGTGTGTAATTTATTTATTATTACATTTATTATTTTTTTATTACAGATAATAGTTTGGAGTTGGGTCTAATGCAGACTTTATTAAGACTTGTAAGGTTAATATGTTGAGAAATGAAGTAATATTCATTTAGCATCTATTGCTTAATATAGTATTAGTGTAGAAGAACTTGATCAAACGATTAAGAATTCCTTCAAAAACTTTTGGTTTGTGTAATATTAAAGATGAGAACATATTATATCGTTTTTACATTGCGATGTTTCTATGAAACTGTAATATATGGTGTTTAAATGATTTTATATCACTTTATGCTTAACTAAAAATTTGAGACATCACTAAATATGTATAGAATCTAATGTAAAAAAAATAAATGAAGAGAGTTGTAATTGTATAGGTTATTTGGCTGTAGCAGAATAATATTTTCTTTAATAATAATGTGTTAAATATTAGTAAAATATTTGATTTTATTAAATATTATTCTTAGAAATAGCTTGCAGCAGAACCTTTGAAAACATTGATAATATATGTGAATTGGACTAATGATCTTCTAAAGTATATTGTAAATTCCCTTTTGAGTTGTAATAAGCTAAAATATCTTTTGTACTTTATATTTATCTTTAACAAAATGGTGTTTAACAAAAAAAAATCAATTATAATATCAAAGAATCCGTACCTTTTTTCACACTCCGCATAAGAATGTAAAATGGGTGTAGAAAATATAGAAAAATAATAGAAGAAAAAAAAAGTAAAAGATGTAATAAATAATATAATAAAAAATATTAAAAAGAAGTGAGTGTAAAATAAATTATAAAAAATATATAATTGTTAAGAATTTTAAGGGTTCAATGTGGGACAGCTAAATTATTTAGAAAAAAAAAAAGGTTAATTTGTGCTTTTTAATTTCTTAATTTTAATCGATCTTATTTGTAAAATCTGTAAGTAAAATAAATGAGAATTACAATGAAATAAAATAGTGATAGGGCCAAATTTCCTAAATTTTAGACATAAAATATTGCAATTGATTAAAAAAAAGTTTTAAAGCTAAAATTATACACAACTTAAACTAAAATAGATAAATAGTGTACATCATTACACTAAGATTTTTTACTGTATCTCTTCAAAGAAGGGTCGTACTCATATATGAATATATTTGGTAAGCACTAGGGTTTTTGGTAACAGTATTTTTCGTAAAGATATTTTGAATAGATTATAGACGTTCTTATTTATAATAGGTTACACGTTGTTAAAATTATATTGTGTTTAAATTTAAAAAATATTTAATTACTTTTATTTTTTATGTTATTTAAAGGCATATAATTATTGTAAAGTTCTTTTAAACATATTTTAATTACGAATGCTATTAAGAATCGCAAAGAAACAGGTAACGGTATTCATTAAAAAAAAAAAAATTCAATTTTTGTAAATTAAATTTGGCTAAAGATGTAGTGTTCAATAACTAAAAAGCGATTATTGTTAGCTAACTAGTTGGGATACGCATGGCTTGTACGAATTATTTTTATTTAATAATTATAAGGTTTAACCTTTTTTTACTTTTTATGATTAAATTTATTTAATTTAAAACGTTTATAGTAAAAAAAAATCAAATATTTTAATTAAAAACTATATATTAAGTACTGAGTATTGATTTGTTATGATTTAAAGCATGTAAATAATTATAATAATGATTTTGTATCTTATAAAAGTAATAGACATCTAAAAATGTTAGTTAAGTTCTTCAATTGTCCACTGTAATATTTACTGTATTAATAAACATATATATAAAAATATAAATTTAATTTAAATAAACTATCTGCGTAAAAAATTATTATCATTAAATTAAATTATAGATTATTATATCAGTAAGAATTATTAATTTGTATAATAATTAGTACAAAATTTATTATAATTAGTTAATAGTATAAAAATTCTTATACGCACATGTACTAATTGATATAAATTGTTACACAATCTAAGAGTGATATAATTTTTTCTATAATAATATTGCATAAAACACAAGACATGAATTGGCATTGTTAAAAATTGCAACTTTTGTTTTTATTGTTGCAACCCAAAAAGAGGGGAAACGAAAGAAACTGTAGATGCTGAAGTCTTTGTGTAGAGTACTTGAATTCGAAGAGGTATTCTCAATCGGAATATGTCATGTACGAAGGGTTCTTCTTGCCACTCTATCTGAATTGCAAGTTCTAATAAGCTACATTAAATTTACAAAACTCCATATTAAAATTATATGTTGATTATAAAATAAATATTTATTAATACTTAATTTACCCAAATTTAATAATGCATAATTATGACAATAAGGATCAGACCCATTGCTCCTTGCATGATTAGATAAAAGGTACAATGATAACCCTTCTACAAAAAATAAAATAAAATTTAAGCGTGTAGAATACCTTCACTAAAAAAACAATGCAAATCAATTGATTGCAAGTGAAAAATGGAATCCTTTGGTGCAAAGATAATGGTGTAAAAAGGCTTCTATGAAATTTCCTTTTTGTTTTCTTTAATTCATTTGATCAAGTCATTTTTTGTTAAAATACTCAGCATATTATTGCTTCATTAATGCACTAATTCATTTTTATCAAACCATCAATAAACAAATATAATTAATATACTATTTTTTGACGAAAAATTGACACAATATTTTGCTACGACAACAAATATTTCATATTAGAAGGAATACATATTTGGAACTTATCAATCTACACCACCACAAGGCCGACAAACAGTTGCCTTCAAGGATTCCCCAAAATATTAACTCATTTTAATATTTGCTACATATTCTTTGCTTCCTTAGGTTTCTCGAGAGTTGAACTTCACTTTCATTTTAGATTAGACTAAAATCCAATGAATGAAGGAGTATTTACTCTATCAAGGTTCCATTGACTCAACCACAATTAGACCAAATTCCAACCAATGGCAATTAAGTATATGTATTCAATATTATATGAACATATCAAATAGTAAATTAATATGAAATTATAAAAAAAGTTACATAAAAATGTAAATTTAAACTAAAATAATAGTCTTATAAAATATAAAATTCACAATAAACAACTAAATAAAAACAACCCATACATAAATTTCATATATAAGCAAAAAAAAAAAAAACAATATTTCTGAAACATTGGTTCAAACCGTTTATTTAGACCTGTACTTACCTATTTTTAATCTGATAGTGATAACTTGATCAATTCTCAGATAAACCAATCAAAACAGTCGGTTCGGTCCAATGTTCAAAACTATGCTATTTACTTGCAAATCAGAGATTCAGGACACATCTATTTATCAAGAAGTATGAACAATAACAATATTTACAAACAAAAAAAGATCATTACAAGCATAGACGTTTAACTGGGCCTAAATATACATCATCATACACATTTCACATAAGGTGATCTAGATCCACGTACAATTACTCTCGAAAACAAAGTGCTCTCTTCAGGTTAATGAAAACAATACAAGGCATGGGGCTAAACCAAACTAAATAAACTAATCCGAAAATAAGATTAGACAAGATTAACAACTAGGTGGAAGTTTTGTGAATGAAATTGCCAATTCGCCCAGCAAAATCCTATACAAGGCCGATTAGGCTCTTACCCTACACTTGATCCCGACTTCAATATTCACAAAGATTTTTTTTTATTTTCAGAATATGTTAGAACAACACTGTTTTAGTGTTTTCATTCATTCTGGGTAGATCCCAGATATAATATACCTAGAAGCAAAACTTCAGATTTACATATTCAAGGAGAGATGCATCTCCCTAATAGTCTTAAATTTCCAATAGAAACCCACATGAAAGCACATAAAGCAATAATAATTGAGAAGAAAAGGAATGAAAGTCCCTTTCTGCCTGCTCTCTTCACAGTTGCAGTGTCGTTACCTGCAGCAAAGTTTGTGTGTTTGGTCTTTACCCTGCTGAAGCTAGACATTCGATTCAAAGCTCGGTTCACCAAATCACTTTCAGCAGCTGATGCAGGAGTAGTAGGTATTGACTCAACAAAGGCCCAGAGAGCAGAGGAGAATCTACTAGTAGCAATGTCTTCTACGGTGCTACTTTGATTGTTATTGCCTTCGGTAGCAAAGCTGACAGATTCACATACAACACCTAAAACATGACCAAAAACTACATTGCATTAGGGATATCTATGACATTTCTTTTAGTTTTTACAAAAGAGCCACATGAAACTGGCTTAAATCTTATTTTCCCAGTGGGAATATGTGATCAGAAATTTTAATTTAGGTTTATAAAGCGCTCTCAAAATGGCACAAAATTTATACTCCAGAAAGGTTTCTGCCATGCATAAAAGATGGCATGACAACCAGGAGTGGTAAACTGTGACGAGCTCAGCACAAATGAGATGGGAAGTTTGCGTCTCCACCCAAATCAAAGAAAGTGAAATAATTTTTTGGCAGTTGAGCAACACTGTGTCTTGTGCTGATGACTATACCTGGGTTCGATGGAGATAAAGAATCAACAAAGCCTTCTGATGGACTGAGGGTGTTTCCGTCACCACGCATCCAGAATTCACCATCGGTTTGATTGGCATCCTCTGGATTGGGCAAGAACTGGTAATTTTGATTTTCAGTATTGTTGTAATGGGTATTCAAATACACATGGGAATCTGTTTCGTGAAGAATTGGCCCCAAGTCACGAAGAAACATCTCTGCATCTTGGAACAGATCAAGTTCACTTAACCCATCTTCATACTGCAGGTTCTCCACGGGCTTTTCCACATTCGAAAGTGCAGGTTCAGTATCAACGAGATCATTAATTTCCAAGAAGCCATCCTCTTGAAAGTCAAGCCCCTCAATTTGAATGTTGGGAGCAGAAGAGACCTCAGATGCTTCAGAAACATGCAAATGAGAAGTATCTGACTGATTGAAGTCAAAGCTGGGCTGCACATCATAATACTGACTGTTAGAATCAAAGATTCTGCTTGGCTCAGGGAATATCATAGCCTCAGAGATTTGATCCACGACAGTACTTTGTGTTTCTTCTGTAACAACCTACATGATTTTAGGGAAAATATTAGTCAGTGACTTTCAATGACTGAAGAAATCAAATGAACAACAAATCACTAGCAGCTTTCTTAAAATTTAATAGAGGGAAAAAATGAAAGAGAAGATCAATACTACAATCAACAAACACTAGAAATTAGCAGACAACTATGTGCACATTTAAAATAGATACTGCCTTCCAGTTTCTTTATTAATAGTATTATTTTTCAGAAATCCAAAATCACAAGTACAGCTGATTTTCAAACATTTTGAACCCCTAAATAAGCTGCAAAATTTTGCTGTAAAATGAACACCAGTACGCAGACAAGAAGATCAAAACTTTGAAAAGATGAAATGATTACATATTTAGTCCCTACAGATAAAGGTTCCTACCCGCAGCCCCAACAACCAAAAAGAAATAAAGACGGTGAACTAAATCAATAAGAACTTAAAAGAAATTTTGGGAAGATCACACACCTGAGGAAAGTCAGGATAACCACCCACATGCTGCGGGTCAAGGACAAGATCATCATCCAAGATTTCTTTAATGATATCAATTTCATCATCAAACAAACGTTGCATCTGGTCATTAACAGTCTCGGTGAGAGCATTAGGAGCCTCCCGATCAGCTGCTTTATTATTAAAATCTACAATATCTTCATCTGCCCACTCTTCTTCATTAAATGGTGCACCGTACTGTTCACCATTTTTAGGCCCAGGTCCACTTTTCTTGTAAACCTTGTAAAGTGCATAATAGTCCTGAATTTATACAGAAACCCAAAAGTCAGTAAATAATACTACCAGGATCAAAATCAGTAAAAAAAAAAAAACAAATCAAGAAATTTAAAGCAAAACTGTCACTTGAAGTGATACCTTAACACCCTGGCATCTCTTGAGCTCCTCTTCATCCATGGTGTATTCATGCATGACCCAATCAGTCCGCTTACCATTAGGAGCTCTGCCTACATAGTAAACGAGTGTCTTTTTCACTCCAACATCCCTAGAATTGCACATCACATTACGATCCTTTCCTGTTGCTTTCCAGTACCCGTGTTTGGTTGCTCGATTAGACCTTCCACCATTAGGATACTTCCTATCTCGGTGACAGAAAAAGAACCATTGCCTATCTCCAGTTCTCAGTATAGATAGCCCTGCCAAATATTACAAGCTATGAATTAGCAAGTAAACAAGAAGGAAATAAGGGTAGTCAAAATCTTATTAATCAGATTAAAGCAGCGTGGGATTAAATGACATACGGTTAGCAAAGCACCAGCTTCATATCCTAGCGAAAAACTAAGTAATTTTTGCATAAGAGTGGCTAGAAATTTAGAACTCCATCGCATTGACAAACGACACTGAAGTATGAAATTTCAATTGATGTGAAATGCCCCACCAAAATATCAACAGGAGATATCAAGAAACATGAAAAATAGATAAAGCCATGTAACGAAACCCAGCCACAAGAGGAAAGGCTGGGGATCAGTCTTACATCCAAACAGAAAAGCAAACAGATTCACAGCATCACTCATCAAATAAACATGAATCACAACCTGAATCGCTTAGATCAACAAATCAAAAGAACCAAAATAACACACAACACCTTATTGAAGAAAACCCAAGTCAACGATTGGTACTCTAACCTGAAAAACACATCCAAAGTTTCATTTGATAAAAAATAAGCATCGATCATAGCCAACATTCACAAATCTGAACATTCATAGCCAAATAGACAACTTATATCCGATCAAACAAACAATAAAGGACAAAATCAAAAGAACCAAAACAACACACAACCCCCAACCAAAAGTCATCGCCATAACAATCACCAACAAGAAAAAAGGATAAAAGGGGAGATGAAATAAGAGTTTTAGAACAAGAGAAAATACCAGGCAAATCCTCGGGATCCCACTTGTACACATCAGTTTCGCGAATCACGTTGAGATTCAGCTTCTTCCCGCAAATCTTCCGCTTCAGATAGTACATCACCAGCTCCTCATCCGTGGGATGAAAGCGAAAACCCGGCATCGACGACATCATCTTGCTGAAACAATCAGCGGAAGCAGGTTCCGAAGCCTCACCCATTCTCGATCGGAGCAAAAAGAAACAGCCCTCAACCACCCAACACCAAAAACCCAAACCTTTTTAATCAAAACCGAAAACCCAAAACTATATGACACGATTCGAACCTCTGGGTATTCTAAACCGGCAATTGAATTCCAGAATTAAAAAAAATACCCTAATTAGGGAAATCAAAATCCGCAACCCAAAAGGGATAAGAAGCAAAAACACCAAAGTCTTCGAAACTTAAAAGTCGAAAAACCAATAACCCACAATTACATGATACGACTCGGACCTCTGGGTGAGAGGATTCGAATACCTAAACAGAGAGAGAGCGCTTAAAACGCGTTTACGAGAAAAATTGAAAGGGGTAAAAAGAGTTTTTGATTGGGGATAGTGTTGTGGTCAAAGAAGGAAGCTAATAGCAGTGGCTGCGAACCTTCGTCGAAGGGAGATTTGGTGCATCTGAGTGAGGGAGTGAGGGAGTGAGCTCATTAACGAGATGTGATTGCGTGGGTCTTAAGCTTCCATCATAGGAAGATGAACGGTGATTATCGTTCTGGAGTTTAAGGTTTAGTCAATGGTTTCACGTATGTTTGGGTGTATGTGATTAAACTATTGAGTGTGAACATTGGCTTCGACTTGGTATCACACACTCCAAATCATACTTTGCCTATCTTGACACGTGCAGATGATCACAGTGGTTATTGTTGACTATTCTTCACTGTAAAAAATACAACAAAATAAAGAGTAAAAAAGAGTGAACATTTACGATGAAAGAAAAGTAAAAGAAAACATTTTTCAGAAAATAATTGAAAAGAATAAAAAGTTTGAATTATTGTTTTTAAAAGTTTTTTAATTTCTATTTAACTAGACAGTAAAAAAATATATCCGTATTTTTTTCATTCTAACTAGATAAAGCATTAATTTGGTTCTCAAAAATATTATCGTATCAGAAAGATAAATAATTATAGTTTTTATAAAATAAAAAAATTATTCTTTATACTAAATAAACAAAGGATTAAAATATTTAACAGTCATATTATTCTTTGATTATCGGTTGTTATGCAATTAATTTCGTAGAATAGTTAGTTTTAAAAAATCAGTAAAATTTTATATAAAAATGTTTATACCAAAAGCATGTTAAAATTAGATTCATAATTTAGTATAATATTTGGTGTACTCTAGATAAACCAAATAACAACAAACTCAAAACAATTCAAATATTACAATATAGTTGGTATAATAATTGAGTTACAACATTTTAGCTTGTTTCAAACAATAAATAATAGATAATAAATTACACAACCTATAATGTTAGCATGACACAGCTTATAAACAAAAATATTTATTTTGTATGCCATTCTTTTATATAATAATAATAATAATAATTTCTCTAGGAGTTTACCAAATCTGAGCTCAAATTCTATATGTAAATGTTTTTTAAAGTCTTAATAAAAGAAATACATAATTATTTTTGTGTGGGAAAATTATAAATTAGTCTTCAATGTTTAGTGAAATTATAAAAACGGCAGTGTATTTTTTTTTATGCTGATGTCAAACAAACGAAGTAGTATATCACATGCAAAGATCAATATGTACAAATTTGTTTACATGAATCGATGAAAATACATGGATTAAAATAAAAAACAATGATAAATATCAAGATCGAAATGAATACTATTTCAACTTCAATAAAATGATAAGAACTAATCTATAAACAATTTTTGTATGTTCAAATAAAAATATATGTAAGAATTAACTTAAAATTACTTAGTATAAATCAAATTTATAACTTAACCGTAATTAAAATAAGATTAGATAAACGATGCAATATATATGACTTAAATTTTGATTGATAATACATATACATGATTAACACTCATTTTTTTAATCATCGTGAGAGGAATATTTACAATGCATTGTCTAATATATTTTAGACAATGTATTGTAACAAGAATATATTTTAACACTGTTTTTACTGATAAATAATGTTTATATTAAATTTATGGCATTTTTTTACAAATTTAAAATCTTCTAATGTTATTTTTTATTGCTTTTTTATGTTCATGAATTTTATATGTATTTTTAAAAACATTTTTTATTGCCTTTCGTGAATGATGTAACATATATTTAATCGTGTTATGTATCATTTTAAAACATTTAATTTTAATTTAACAACATTAATATTTTTTCATCACACCATATTATCTATCATATTTATTATCTGTTTTCTTATGCTTCTCCCTCATTAAATACAAATACCCTTTGAAATATCTGTATTTTTTAAAATTTTTAAAATTCATAAAATTAAATATTTTTTTTTCTAAATGACTAAGAATAAATGAAACTAATATTTATGAAGATTAAAGATATATTTGAATCTACAATGGTTAATTTTGCTTTTAATTAAGTGGGCTATAGTTTCTTATTGAAGAGATGTTAAGTGGACTTTAACTGATAATTAATAATATAGTTAAAAATTGCTAATTTTCTATTTATAGAAAAAAGGAAAGAAACAAAGAAGACATGGAAAGTAAAACTTTTCGAACGTTGGCGATTGAAGGAAAATTTGATCATGACCACGAAATTGCAACACGTGTATTCATCCCCATTTCTAACTTTTCCAACAGCAAAAATTAGGTCATGGAGGGGCCAAAAAGAAAATGTTTCAATCATTTTCGTGTCTCCCAAACACGTTTCTTTTCTCTTCAGAGAAGGGAGAGAAGATAAAGGGGAAAAAACAAAACAAAATTAATCAAAGTTTGAAATAAAAATTCAAACTTTTGAAGATTTTTGGAATCTCACAACTGTCACCAGTGTTCATCCATTCAGATTGGGCCCTAGATCTGATCGAGCAATGCGCTTTTCTACCCGAGGAGGGTTTCGTGGCTGAAACCGTTTTGATCATCTGGTTGTTCTGGTAAGCCATTGTGCCAGATTCTGTTCTGGGTTTGTTTTGCATTGTTGGAAAGTTTCATGCTTTGAGTTTGGTTTCTTATAATTTCAGGGGGATTCTTAAAGTTTTATAATTCTAAGGTTTTGGGAATTGAATGTTATCTAATGAAAAATTTCGTGGCTCTTGTTATTTTTGTTCATGTTGGGTATTTGCAAAGGTTAAGAATCATGCCAACATGTGGTGGTTTCCTTTTTAAGTTGTTTTCTTCTTTTGTCTGCCCAATAACTTGACAGTTTTGATTCTCATTTTCAGGGAGTGAGGGAACTTGTCCAAGTTAAGATCTTGAGCTGCAATGCAGCATTGATTTCCTGAGTTTGCTCCTGGGTTGGGTTGTTTTGCTTAAATTTGACTTGTTTCAGATCAAAATTTATATAATGGTTTTTTGGGAAGAATATGTGAGCGATGAAGTAATGGGCACATTTGCCCCTATTGTGCTTTATTGGGTATATGCTGGATTTTATCACTTGCTTCCACCTTTAGAAAAGTATCGGTTGCATCCTAAGAGAGACGAGGGAAACAAGAATTTGGTGCCCTTTTCAACAGTTGTGAAGGGTGTTTTGCTTCAGCAGCTTGTTCAGGCAATTGTTGCACTCTTCTTGGTCAGTCCTTCTGCATTTGAATTAATTTTGCCATTTACATTTATGTACTAAGCTAAATTGTATAACCGTTTCATAGTTGAAAACTCACTCTAGTTTTCAAATTTGTGCTGCATTGCTTGCTGTTGCTTTTCTGCACATCTGGTGTTAGAGGCTTATAGCATTTTCTAAATGAAACTGTTATTCCATTTTCTAGTTTCTATTTCATTCGTTTATCCCCAACTCTTTTTGTTGTTCGTGTTGTGCCTACAGTTTTTTGTATGACTTGCACAGTGATACGGCATAAGTTATGAAAAGCTAACATTTCTGCTTTAGATAGAAGGTGTTACTTAATACTTAGTATACCTTTGGCCCAATTTACATGACTATTTGACCAAACTCCTTGAATATCCAAGATGAGAGCAAAGAAAGAGTAGTATTATGAAAATGGAGCCAGAAAAATAGAAGAGCCCAAATGACTCCACCATTAGTGCAGTGCAGACTGCAGATTGATTTTGATAATATGTAATATATTTTAAAAATACCAAATGCAAAGCACATGTGTACACACACTCACACACATGGTTTTTCTAATGTATGCTCATGGGCATACAACAAAAACCTATGTATGGTAAGTTTTCATGGGAAATCATAGGATATCACAAGATTCAATGCATTGATAGCATTAAATGCTAACTTACTATTAGTATTTATTAATTTCTTACTGTGTGTCCTTGGGCACATATTAGAAAAATGGATGTGTTATTTCCCACCAGGTTACGAGTTTGATTTATTAATCACAAAACAAAATTTTTTTACAAACACTGAGAATGATCCCTATTTTTTTTACATGATATACAGCTTCAAATATGAACTATTTACTGGGTATATTTTTGGCATGGGCAGGGTGACATTGTGTCTAGATGTGATCTACCACATTGCATGGTGTAGCATATTCATGTGTGATCTATCCAGTTGCTGATGTGTGAATGGTCTGATGTTGCATATGAACTGCCATTTAGACATGTTAGGTGGCAACTAAATAGTGGTGTTGATTTACATGCATAGTTTCTTTTTTAAAATATTGTTATGTAATTTAATAGTTGATTTTTTGAAAGGATTATTCTACTTTATAATTGTTAATTGAATATTTTATCTACAACTAGGTTTGACTTTCATTTGAGACGCTGCTTTTGGCCTTTCATTGATATAATTATCCATTCATGGGAATTTAAGTTCACTCTAGTAAAAATTTTGGTCTGAATTTATATTCATTCTTTTTACTCCTGAGTCCTGACAAAGAAGAATAATATTATTAGGAAGAAAGGAGAGAAATTACATCTGAAAGCAATCCAAGAAACTCTTCTAAAATGATAATCTCTATGCAGCCAGCCAAAATGGCTCAAAATGCAAGAAATCAGTCTAATTTTTTCGTATATTAGAAACAGAAACAACCGCTAGCAGAGTTCCAAAGAGAAGCCACTTAGGTACAGTTATTACATAAAGATGTAGGGTGTAGACATTTCAGCCATATGCACCGTAAAAATAACAAACTGCCGTGAGTTGTGGGCATTTTGACTTGTTTTTGAACTTGGTGCCCAGATATTTGGCAATAAGCTAGGCATAGTTTGTTGTGCTGATGACACCGATTGTTTATTTGTTGACCTTGTGGGATTCTGTGCTTATGCTTGAGTTTTATGGGAAAAGAAGTGTCTTCTTTTTTATATGAAACTAGCAAATATGCCTGATGTGTTAATTTCTCTTTTACTTTGTTATGTTAACTGTTGAAGCATCAATTTTCAGGAACCATTTCAGGCAAGTTAATAAAGCTAATCTGCATATTAAATTTTAAATGAACCCTGATAATTGCTCTAGCTATAATTCAAACCCCTGGGCTTTTGTGTCCTCTTCAAAGTTTTTTCACCCAGTAGGATAATGGTTGGTTGCTGTTGTTGTAGATCTATATTTAGTGTCAGTTAAGCGGATAATATTTCATATTGATATTGGTTATTTAGTACTCTAGCTATTGTGTTTGGTTTGGCAAACATATGAAGCCACCATGGAAATTAGTTATAAAGCCCAGCTTCTATCTACTAAAAGAGGTACAAGTTAAGAATTGAACTATATATAGGAGCAATTACATTAATAGACCTGGCTATTACTTCTTATTTCTTATATGATGAATTGTCGCTGAATATTGAAATGAACCTCTTGAAGTTGTTACACGCCTTGGAAAAATTGTAGTTGTCATATCACAGTGAGTGCATGGAGAGAGATAAATTGCGGTTGCTATCTTAAAATATAATTTTCTGTAGATAAACTTTTTACCTGTGGTTGAATGGCTTATATATATGCCTGATACAATTTTGCAGCTGACTACAACAAATGGATCTGGGGTTATAGTGCAGCCTTCTATCCCCAAGCAAGTTCTGCAGATCCTTATTGCAATGTTTGTGATGGATACTTGGCAGTATTTTGTTCATCGGTACATGCATCAGAACAAGTTTTTATACCGCCATATCCACTCCCAGCATCACAGGTTGGTTGTTCCTTATGCAATAGGAGCACTTTACAATCACCCCATTGAGGGTCTTCTACTTGACACCGTGGGTGGGGCAATCTCATTTCTGGCCTCAGGGATGACTGCAAGAACAGCTGTTGTATTCTTCTGCTTCGCTGTCATGAAAACGGTTGATGATCACTGTGGACTGTGGTTGCCTGGCAACATCTTCCATTTATTTTTCCAGAATAACACAGCTTACCATGACATTCATCATCAACTACAAGGGCTGAAGTACAATTATTCTCAGCCATTCTTTCCCTTATGGGACAAACTTCTTGGGACATACATGCCTTTTAATCTTGTAAGGAGGCCTGAAGGGGGTTTTGAGGCCAGGCCAGCAAAGGACTAGTTACCCTGTAATTGTTGAAACTTTCATCTGATGGTATCATTTTTCCTTAGGACCAGAGGCTTTACTGTAGGCATTTCTCAAGTTAATTGGAGCTTACTGGCTTTTTCAGTTCATGAAGTTACAGTAGGTTTGCCAATCCACCTTGTGTAGCATAACTATGATGATGTGATTAAGGAGCTTTTCATTATTTATTTTCCATGTACTTAAAAACATTTTTGAAGGTGTAAGTTGCTAAAAGAGTACCAGGTTTTTGCTACCATAATTTGTTATTTCTACTGTTGGTTCACTTGTACCATTTATTTATTATAAATTTTTATTGTAATCCAGAACCATTGGGAGTGAAGATATCATTGTAATTCATTTACTTTTGAATGATTAAAACAAAAATGAGTAAATATACTAGTGGCAACATGTGCTCGTTTCGCCCTTGATGGTCAGTGTGTGTATTTTTGGTGCCTAAATTTGTTAACTTGGTAACAAATTAACTCTTTCTTCTTTGTTGAAAGTGGCCAAATTTTATGAAAGTTAAACAGATTTAGATCTACCATGTTTGTTTCCTTTTTTCAAAACAATTTTCTTTGTGTTTTAAAAATAAAATATAATACAAAGTTGTATTAACTTTTATTTTTAAAAAGGAAAATAAACATAGTTTAAATTGTTATGAAATTTAGATATAAGATGATGGGGGAAAAACTAAATTAATATGGAATTCATATATTTGAAGATTATACTAGGTGTTATTTTTTGGCACAAAATTAAATATTTATTAAAGGATAATTTTCGTTAAAGACCTTCCATTAAATATTAGTACTGCCTTCGTGATTATTTTGAGAGGGTTAATGTTCTCAGCACACATAACAAGTAAACATAGAATGAGAGCTTAATGTTTATCGCAATGTTTAATTGACGATTAATATTAGTTCCTTCGGTTTCTTAAAAAACAAAGTTATTAGTTTGTAATAAATAATAAAGTTTGGGGAAATTTGAAAAATAAAATTATGAAAATAATTTACATTTTATAAAATTAATATTTTATTCAAGTTTACTTGTGTTGGTGTTTAACTTTAATTTATTAATGATTTTGATCTTCCTTGTTTTAATTGGATGTATTTATCTTCATAGTATTTTAATTACAAAAATTAAGTTTTTACCCTAACTTGTATTTAATAATTAACAGGAATATAATAAACGAGTGATGAGACATTAATTTGTATAACTCATTAATATAAAAAGAATCTGTAAAATATTTAAATAAATTATATTGGTAGTAATTATTAAATGAAATTTGAGATGAAAGATTTATTTTTAATTAATAAAATATTGTATAGATCAATTTTAAATAATTAAAATTATAGAATGCACCTAGATTAAAGTAATAAATACTAAAAGTAAAATAAATTTTATCTTATATCATCACATTGTTTTATTTCTGCTTTTTTAAAAAATGATATTTTTTATTGATTGGGGCTATAAAACTGAAAGTATTTGCCAAAACGGCATCAATTGCGAGTCCCCAGTCACAACATCTCTGCTCGCTGAGAAAACCCGACGCACTCTACCGTTTTGCACCGTTTTCCCGAGAAAATTCGAAGATGAGGTGCGTTTTTCTATCTTCCACATTCTACGGTTTGGTTCCCGAGAAAGTGCCCGAACACAATTTAAGACTATATAGACTGCGTTTCGTTTTGTTGGTATTATCTCTCTATTTAATTCTATAGTTTTCTACTTTTTTTTTTTTTTCTTTCTCTTTGTTGTGAACTTTATTTTTTTTAGCACTGTGCTTAAGAATTTTTCGATTCTCTCTGGTTTCTTGGTTGATTGCAACATTTAATTATTGATAATTTGATATTCGCACCGTTTGTTTGTGCCTTCATCGGTTGATTGTAGCTGTAGGGTTTGGGTTACTTGCATATCCTCTTTGTTTTATTCTTGTGCGCTTATTTCTTTACTCTCTCAATTTTTTTGGTTGCTTCGCGGGAAACAGAACAGAGGGCTGTTTTTTTATTTTGTACTCGAATGTGATGTTTTCTTAATTATAGTTATTTTTCAATTTAATCCATTTTCTGCCGCATAAGTTTTGATGTGGTCTCGTAATTGTATTTCTTGTTTGAGTTCACGCTCAAAGGCTACTCTGTCTATGATTGGTGATGTAAGCGATGGAGATTTCTTATATATATATATATATATATTGACAGAGAGCAATGCAAATAAGATTGATGCTCATTTTAGGTGTATGGTACTGCTTAGCATGGGTCAGGAATTTAATAGTTTTTGTTTGAAATGAGTTTTCAGTTTAAAAGAAATTCATGTCATATATATTGATGATCATAAAATCAAGGACACATTATGCTGAATTATAAGTTTGAGGGGGAAAATTAAAACAAAATTATGTTTTAGAGTATAATCTCTTCTAGATTCATATTTGATGGACATGGATCTAAAATATATTCCACTCAAGATGTTTTTCTAGTATAATTTTAATTAATTTAAGTGAAGAAATTACATGGAAGTAGGTCAGCATGATTTCTTTTCTTTTTTTTCTTGTACTTGAATTTTATTTATTGTGTAGTTGTGCAATAAGTTATTTTGAGGTTTTTAGTGCTCATTTACAGCAAAATTTTGGATACCTTTGAAACAATAATTTATATGAAGTTTTATAGAGTAAAAATTCAATGAAAGTAAAAATGTCAGATCAGAATTTTGCAATTGCTTTCAAGTTTCAATGTTTTCAGTCTATGTTGGGCTTCTGTGGCCACTGTACTGATAAAATATTAGCTAGCAGTCTGTCGTTCAGTTGATGGCTGTTTTAAGGGTGTTGGCATTTCAGACATGTATAAAGATTGGGAAGATTTCCTGCATTTTTTTTATTTTTCTTGTTTTCTACTGTAATTTGATAAAAAGTTCTTTTAATATAAGAAAGTTGTTAAATGATTGTTATTATATGATGTATTCATTCTGTATGCTATTGTTGGGGCCCTGTGACTTGATACTTGCATTAAGTTTGTTGTTTGAAAATTAGTTATGCCATGCTCTAGTGTCAGTTGCGGGAAATATTGAGCAAGATTTTCAGTATTCTAGATCCCTAAATTCCTTTGAATTTTTAAATACAGCCGCCATCCTCCTGTCAAGTGGGCCCAGAGGTCCGATGAGCTCTACATAACTGTGGAGTTGCCTGATGCCCAGGATGTGAAACTTAAATTGGAGCCAGATGGGAAATTTTACTTCTCTGCAACTACTGGTGCAGAAAAAATTCCTTATGAAATTAATATTGACTTGTTTGACAAGGTTGATGTAAATGTAAGCGATGTCATTCTTGTAATGGTTTAGTAATCGTATCATTTTGCACAGTTTTCTTATAATTTGCGTGTTAAATCTTTCTTTTCAGAATAGCAAAGCTAGCACCGGTTCTAGAAATATCTTCTACATTGTGAAAAAGTCCGAGAGCAAATGGTGGAGCAGATTGTTAAAGCCAGAAGGAAAACCTCCAGTCTTTCTGAAAGTAGATTGGGACAAGTGGGTTGATGAAGATGAGGAGCAAGAAGACAATAAACGTTAGTGATTCTACTACATTTCTCAGGATATAAGCTCGTTTTTACATCAGTTGTCTGATTTGCTCATTGTTTTTCAGCTGGAACTGATATGGACTATGGCAACTTCGATTTTTCTGTAAGTAGCAAAATTCAATATAGGTTAATACTTAAATGTTTTTGGTTTTATGAGATCTTACACGCTTGTTCCTTTTTTTATAAATTCCAGAAGTTGAACATGGGTGGCGATGAGGGACTGGATGGTGATGTGGCAGATGATGGTGATGGTAAGAGTATCTGCCTGTTGTCATTTATTTTATTTATGGGAGTGCAGCATGGTTGCTTCTTACTGTGATTTTAAATTCTTTATGAACTTCAATTTCACTGGAGTTTATTGGTCTTTTGTTCAGATGATGAGAGTGACACAGAAGAGGAGGACTCAGAATCAGCTGATAATGAGCCTGACACAAAAGACACGGCAGGCAGCAACCCTAGTGCTGCATCTGATGCCAAAGTTTAGAATCGTGGAATCGTGGACCTTATCATAGCTTTCAGTGTAGGACAAGTTTATAGCTCCCGGATTATTATGGTTTTAGGTTGGTGACGGGTTAAATTATCCTTGGTTTTTAACGAGTAGTTAGGAATATATCGGTTGCCTTTGTTTGGGTTAGGGTTAGTCTGAAAAAAAATTCTCTCAAATCCTTTTTATAAGGTATCTTTAACTAAATTATCAATTAAAGTAGTTAAAGTTAGCCCATTTTTTAGAGTAATATAACAATTTTAGACGAGCATTTTTTAGTATGCTATATTTACCTTGCTATTTGTGGCATTTGGAAAGTTTTATAGCGGCAGTGGGTTCCTTCAAAATTCTAGCCTTGGGCCAAATTAAGAGAAAACTCATCGGATCTTAAAAATATACCCTTTTTTGAAAGACAAAATTAGTTATTTGCTCTTTTAACGTTTTTAATATTTTAGCCTTGGATTCCACCTTTGATTTTTCATGATTCAGTAAGTTTGTTCATTCCGTCAGGCAATGTAAAGTTTATGATCAAATGAAACAAAATTATAAAAGCTATGTTTTAATAAAATTAATTAAAAGCTTGTAACATAAAATTAGTTAAAGAAACTACCTAAAAACTTGTACCTTATAATTAAGTGATTGAATTAGTGTGTGTAACAAAATTTGCTGAACTACCTAAAATGCATTTAATGACTGAAAAAACGTTAAAATTTATTGTGAAAATTATATAAAATATTAAGAATAATAAAAGGTTACAAGTTTTAATAAAATTTTATTATGTATAACATAGATTAGAAAAAATATTATTATAATTGACAATATGAAATACATTTTATATACTAGTTTTACATCATTAAAAAAAATGCTGCCTCCTCACAAATGCTATTTCCTCTATTATTTATTAGGGTATACTTTTGTTTTAATAACGAATATATTAACAAAGCTTTAAATTTGTTAAAGGGTATTTTAATGTCTATGAACAGATGATAAGGAACAATATACTCTAATGGATACTTTACCAGAACTAAATGACCTGTGTTATTTATATAATAATTTTTTAATAAAAAATTCTTTTTTTTAATGTTCTTATCATATATATGAGCATGTAAAATTTTTGTTAAATAATAATATACATCATGCCCCGAGTCCTTCCGGTAGCTCTATGTTATTTTTTGGTTAATAATAACAATAATGATGAAAATAAAAATCCTCTAGTTAATGGCATGAGAAATTTGGAATCCCATTGTCTTGTTGAATCATCATTCAAGTATCAACAACAAACATTGATGCTTATCCACTACAGAACACAACAATAGACACTCAAAAAACAAACGCAACTACCTCTGTAAAACGATTGCCATCTGAACCACAACCGTTGTGAAACTACCTACTTCAGATACTCTGACACAAATTACCAGCCAATCAGCTAAAACATATGATGAAAACAAATTAAAGTTGTCTCTGCTACCCCAAGTAATGGCACATCAGCTCTCAGGCATTCTCATCTGTGCTACTTCAGATGGTGGTCTCAGTGTGCAAACCATTTCTCTCGTTTTGCCAAAGTATACCTGTAACATGCATTAGCTACAGATGATTAACCAGATAAAGTATATTGCCTTATAGTTTGAAATGTGAAATGTCATAGACAAGAAGGAATCAAGTATTAAATTTAATAAACACCCAAAGGACAACTTGATCTTTGATCCCACCTTCGCCAATCAAAGAACAGGCAAAAGAAAAAGTAAAGAAAGTAATCTTGAATAAAATATGTACCTGATCTAGTGAGTTCCTCAGCTTACTCTCCATTTCTTCAATCATCCTTCCCATGTTACAGAGATGCCCATCAGCAACTGATAGCTTCATACTCATCTAAAATATAAAGAAAAAAATTAGGATTAACAAAAACTGAAATAGTTGACTCAAGTATAAAAGGCAAGAAAAAATATAGAAAACAACCACCATATAATTAATTTAATATTCAATAATGATGTGACTTTTCAAGAAAGGTAGAAAGTTGAACTTAGCATGCAAGTTTTAACTAAATGATCTAATTGTCAAAATGAGCAGGTTTTAATTGAAAGTACCTGACGTCTAATTGATCCAGACAAACTGAAAGTTCCCGAAGACTCGTTATTTGTAGTCAGAGTCAGCATAACTGTACTGGTTAAACGATAATTGGTGTTTTCTTCTTCCTCCGGTCCCACCTAAATTAAGAAAAGAAAAGCAAGACTAAGGATTACTGAAATCAACTTGCAGGAGAATAATCTGAAAAATTATTAGTAAAGAGAGATTATGCAGCTGCATTTGATGAAAATGCGTAGTCTTCAACATAAAGACACTTTACCTCAATAACATGTATAGCATCCCATGCTCCTTCCTCTAGATATCCACGTCGACCTTGCCCTGTCTTTGAGCCATCTTTAATCGTGGAATTGCAACCAGGATCACATTAGAAGAAAGGCTAAAAGGATGAGAAGTGTTTTTTTCTATCAGTGTTTACTCAAATAACAGGCTCACCTTTCTTGATTAAAAAGCAGGCTACAAAACCTTCATTGTCATCTTCCCACATGTAAACTGATGAAATGCCACCTTCATAATATCTATGACATTATCCATTAATGGTGCATATTGATTCAAAACAAAGTAGCTAAAATAATTATATTCAGATAAACAGCTAGCAGAAAACACAAGATGATCCATCTTCAATTGATTTTCTTTGACACCAGACCGAAATTAGGCAATAAGCTACTAGCAGGCAAAATGGTTGCTTAATAAGACAACTAGAAAAGCACATATGCTCTAAAGATGAGGTAAGTATAGGACCTCACTGGTCACGATATATTGCAAATATGTCATTTGCTTCAATTTCAAGCTTCCTCAATTCTAAAGAAGGGAGGGACCCATCTTCTAATGGTGGATGGTATTTATTTGACCAAGGTGATCTGCAGAGACATACAGTACAACAATAAGTTTAAAATTGTCTCTCTCTGAATACTAAACACATTAGAAGAGGAAAATGGAGTGGGGGAGGGGGCTCATGATAAATTAGTTATGGATCTGTCTACAAGAGCTAGACTACTTAGCCACAAATAATTCAATAGTGGTATTGGTCTACATTTCAAGATTAAATTTTCTATAAAATATTCAGTCATTACTAATAATAATAATAATAATAATAATAATAATTATTATTATTATTATATGCTGCAATATTCATTAAAATGCTGCAAAAAATATTGAATTTGATTTCATAGATAAAAAAATTATGGAATTAACGATATATTTCATGGTATAAAATCTTTTTTCATTTTCCCTCCCTGATTTTCTCCCAGGCGCTACCTCATATATAAATAAACATAAATCCTTTCTTCGTTAAAAAATATGTCAAGTGTTTTAAATTTAATACAATACCAAACATGATTTGGGGTTTTATTAGATGATAGATTCCTTCTGTACATACTATTCACTACTCAGTGATGATTCCAATAAAAAAAATTGACCAATAATACTTCATAAAGTTCATATCTTAATTAGCTTCAAAGGAAATAAAAGCTACTAGATTACGGTACACAATTGAAAAAAATAATAGTGAAACATGCTTGAAAACAAAGACTTAACATAATCATATCCTATACAGCACAAACCAAACCACATAGAGGGATGAATAATTAACCTGTAAGAGTCAGCATCTCTGTTATACTCACACAATATGAACTCCTTTCCACATTCAACGTCGCACAAAACCTGCTTTGTCATTCAAAATATTATAATAAATAAAAGTTCAAGCTTTGAAAGCATTCATAGTCACACAACAATAACTTCCCCTCCAAAGCCAAAACCTACAGGCGAAGAAAAAAAGACATTAACCTAAACCCCAGTTTAAAAAACACAACTTTTCTTTGAGCTTTAAACCCAGTTCTTATTTTATTTTTCATCCCCAAATTATGTTGTGTAAATTGATGAAAATTAAAATAAAAAAAAGGCCTTAAACCCAACCCAATAATGTAATGTGGTGAAAATTGTGGTAAAGAATGGAAATGAAGGAGTGAGACCTGAAGGGGCTGATCGACTTGAGAGAGGAGATCGGAAGAATGGTGAGGCATAAGGCTCAGAAGCGCTGAGAGAGCTGTTTCTGTGTGCTTCGGCGGAATCCTCCGCATCAGTCCCATCGCAGCTTCCATTTCTCTCTCTCTCTTCAAATGCACATACACACACACATACAGCGTCTAAGAGAGAAATTTTCTCAACAAATTTTCCTTTGTTAGGCCTTCCTCTTCTTTTTTTATCCCAATTTCCCTCCACTCTCTCTCTCTCTCTCTCGTTATATACATTCATAGTCAAAGAATAAAATATTAAAATTTATGTACTAAAGTAGTTGAATGTCGAGCGTCAAGTCCGCGACTTATACTTTTTTTTTTTTTTGGATAGAAGAATGTTATACTTCTAAATATATATATATATATATATATATAAAACTTTTGGATTCTTTTATTATTTTTTCTTAATAAGTAAAAGTTAATCCTTTAAATATGAGTGATTCTCCATTTTATTTTTTAATAAAACTTTTGGATTCTTTTATTATTTTTTCTTAATAAGTAAAAGTTAATCCTTTAAATATGAGTGATTCTCCATTTTATTTTTTAATTCATTATTATAATATTTTATAACGTTAAGAATTAAAATATTTTTTTTTATAATTAGAGCTTACAATTGCATAAACTAAAGTAGTAGTTTACTCTTTTAAATATCATTATACACCAAAAGTCAAAATTCCTTACAATAATATTTTTTTACATATATAAACCATCAAATTCAGATAATTTTAATAAAGCATGTTTTTTTTTAGCTCGAGCCCTTTTCAATCGACGTTAAGTCAAAACATTAAAATTTTACTCCAACATTTTATGCCTCACAATGTATCTCAAATGAAAAAGAATATTCAAGTTTGACCGTTTAGCTTTTGTATTTTAAAAAGATCGATTTTTTTTTTTTTTGTTTTAGATAAAAGTTACGTACTCAAACTCATGGTAAATTTATCATTAAAAAATATAAATTTTTATAGGTGTTGGACATAATGTAAGTAACATTTCTCTAAAACCAAAATTTAAGCTTTTGGGTGGACATGGGTTCCACTAATCAATCATTCTTGATACTAAAGGATTTCATTTTCAAATTGAATGAATCGAAGTCGACTGCGACCATGCCTATCCATACATATGATAACAAGCATAAGGCCATTATTAACCCACCATCATAAGAACGAGGTATGAAAAGGTTTTAGATGTTTGGGTGGTTCAACTTTTTCCCACATGGTGACTGCCAGATAAGGAGGAGTTTGATTGAAGGCATCCGCACCCGAGATTGGAGACATGGACAAGCAAAGTATTGGGAAGTAGCTTTTGTCTGTTTTACCAAAGTGATCCCAGCAAGTCTTGATTCCAGATAGATTGAAATGATTTTTTTTAACTGACAATTATGTAAGTTTGGATATCATATCATATATAATATTTAGTGATTATGAACAATAAAAATCATTACTTTTTCAGAAACCCAAAAGATAATTTAAAAAATCCTATTATAAATAGAATTTGATATATATCATCCACTTGTAAATTGCGAGTGTCGCAAACACAATCTCTCAGCTCCCATGATCGTTCACATTCTGCTGTTTCAGATTGCTCATCTCAAAGAATCAGCCATCAATGGAAGCCAGCCCAGAATAAGCGAAAACCATCCTATTTCCTTGAAAACAGATGAAACTACGAAAGATACAACAAGACTTAGAATCTGAGAGTCATTTGTTTAAGAATTGAATAAAATTAATTTTAAATCATTAAGTATAATTAAAAAATGTGCCAACATTTATTTTAGTCATAATTTTGTATTAAAATGTGTATTTTTCATTAAAAATCATGAGAATTATTTTTTTAACTATAAAACAAACAAGTACTAAGTAAACTAAAATGTCTTGGTGCGTTTGGAAAAACATTGGGAGCATTTATAAGTACATGCACCTCATGGAAACACGCCTTGTTTATTTTGCCAACATATTGGGTAAAATTGTGTATTCTGCATTCCAAATAATGGTTTTTCTTTTATGGAAGCATGATTTTGTTACTCTTGCATTGGAAAAAAACCAGTTGCATGTCCGTTGACAAAAATATTTCCTTAATTTAATATTATAATTTCTTTTAATGGCTTTTAGAAATCCCTTTATTGCCAACGTTACATCTAAAAGTGATTTTGTCAACATATCCAAATAAAATAAATTAAAATCATTCCACTTTAAATTCACTTTTAATCAAAATTAAGTTTATCCAAAATCAAGTTTAAAAATGCTCACTCAGAACTCATACTAATGCAGATGACCGGTGAAATCTTCATGTATTTGAGTTGATTTTGGCACGGCGTTCTTCATATGACGCTGGATTTAATTCAACAAGAATAAGAAAGCAGTCAGAGTGCAGGAGCCAAGATGTATATTCTGTGAAATAATTTGCTGTGGAGCTTAGAAGAAAACAACGCATTCACATTTAATTCGTAGCATTATCATGCATTTGAGTAATTTTTACACAAGCTTTAAAATATTGCAGGTGAAAAAACTCACGCTCAGTTGGTCGTGACATAAGAGGGACATGCGAAACTTTCTTCTTGGTTCCTTGAAAAGGCAGCAAACTTTGATCTGGAAAAGGAAGGGATATCAGCACAATAGATCACTGTAAACAGAGTAAGCAAGGTAATTGCAATGTAATTAAGCTAACACATTTGCAGCACCATTTGATAGAGGCACGCAATTAAGAAGAGCTTCATGAAAGATTGCAGCTTGAAGCTGGTAAATTTGGCTTTCATTCATCAAGTGTACACGCAGCACTTCTCCTGCATCTAGATATGCAGCAGTAAAATAAATTCAAGTAATCAAACTTCTCTCGAGTAAAAAGCCCCAATAGGAAACCAAAGAAGAAATTGAAGATTTAGATGCAACCAAAGTCTATGGCATTAATATGTTTGCTAACTGATACAAAGATTTCCGGAAAGGAATCTAAGTAGTTAGTCACCATACATACAAATCAGAAATACCTGATGAACACGTAAACTTAATATCGTCAAATTCACAGGACTGAAGAACCAATGGAACCTCTGAAGCCATAGAGTACTGGGGTTTCCTTAGGATCCTATTGGTGTCCAGTAGCATATCAATCACCTTCAAATTTAAAAATTAAACTTATTAGCTCAAACTACAAAACAAGAAATCCATATGTAGAGATGAATTGTTCTAGGATTTAATATTACAGTGTGCTGCTATTATAAAAAAGAAAAGAAAATAAATAAATTAGAGACAAGGTGAGACACCCCTCATAAGCAAGAAGGCAAAACAATTTTCCCAACAAAGATTTCAAAAAGACTGTTCCCTGTGTGATTAAGCTGTACCCTCTCATAATGTAGGATATGCTAAAGCATAGAATAAGAAAGAGAGAAATGCGATGTGGAAACACTCTCAATAGAAAAGGTCTCTCCACATCGTCGAGTGTGTGTATATGTTGAAGTGTTTAATATGAGATTGCAGCTGTTTGAGAGGAGTTTCAAAACCTCAATTCCGACATCAAGATGATAAAAACAATTATGTTCTACAACAGTAATAGAACTATTATTATAAAAGTGACATTTTGTATATTGCAGCAAAGAGAACACTGCCATTTGGTGCGTGTTGCCTCCATTAGATGCAGAAAATCCTTAATGAAATTGGCTTCAGGAAGTAAACTTGGCAAACATGCCTTATAGATGCATGCAGTCTTCACAGATTACAACACTGATTCTGTTGTACACTTTAAAAACTATAGGACAGATATAGCAATTAAACAATTCAAAATAATTTATATAAGAGAGGGTTCCAGATACCGACATTTGGAGATTCAAGACCTTTGCCAACCATGAATAGTACAGCAACCATGCAGCGAACCTGATGCCATAGAAAAGCACTACCTCTTATTTTGATTACCCAAAGTTGATTACCATTGTACCTGCACGTAAATGTAGAAAAATTGCTGACTTCAACCCAAAAACTTGCAAATTTTCCACCAATCTTAACTCCACATAAGTACAGGATATATGAAATATTGTGATAAACTACCACTTCGATAGTGGTGCACATTTGCTACATCCAATTTTCAAAAATCTGTGTTGGTTCCCTACATATTTCTTGCCTGCAAGCATACACATAAACACAAGGGTAGGAAAAATTGTCTACCAATCTTAACCTCACATCTGTGGGAGAAATCTCAAACAACGTGATGCGCCGCCTGTAGTTGTGCACATTGGCTGCATCCATTTTACAGAAGTTTCGAAAGTCATGTTCTCCTATAAATTTGTTTCCAGCACTCTCCATAGCCTAATGGGAATTATGGGACAAGAATCAATGAGATGTTTACAGTTTACATGCTTCTAAAATCTTTGAAAAATGATTGGAAAAAGAGAAGAGAAAAAGGACAAAACAAGGATCAAGAAGTTATAGCAACTGCATAGGAAAATGGTTTTCCTACCAGGATATCCAAATTTTCTCTCCAAAAGAAATATTTATACTCCCTGCTTAAGCAGCTGAACCTGTATCGACAAAGCAAACAAGAAACACAATAACCAAATAGAATAATTCAAGATATCAAGCTTCATTAAGTAAAAAAATAAATTTAATTTATTGAAGATCTTTGCAATAATAAGGTTTTAATGTTAGTAAATACACAGACAGTTCAACTTGTGTCACAATCCTACCCCAAAAATCAACTAACCAATTAATTGTACACTGCAAATAGAATAGTATGGTTTAGCTCACCAAATGAAATACAATTCCTATCAACTTAAGCTGTTAAGTGAGATGGCTAAAATTGTTATCTAGAAAAAGCATTGATTCCTGTCTATAATATCCTTCTCTATTTCTGCTCTAATTCATAACCCACACCCATGAAAGGAAAAGCTACAATGTGTCGAGTTTCTTATACATTTGTGTGAGTGGTCCTTTCAAGATCAACTCAAGCTTTCAGAAATAATTTCTCTTCAAAATAAATTCTTATCAAAACAACTATCTTATCATCAAGCTCAAAAGAGTTATTGGCATAATAGTATTCAAAATAACACAATTAATTATATGTAATGATTTGTGCAATACTAGTTTTTATTTTAAATTTAACATGTTGAATAACATGTGAATATGTGGTGGGTTGGGTAGTAAGGTACCCATCCCTTCAACTATCCCTATAAATTTTTGCAGATAAATAACCATAATTGGATCCAAACCCATTTAGTGAATAATTTCCCTTCCCATGTTTGTAGGATTTTTACATGTACATATTGGATCTAGGTCCAATTGTCATCCTTAGATTAAGCTTTTGGGAAAATGATTATTTTCCTAAATTAATTTGTTTCCAAATGTGTGCAAAGTTGGCCAATGGTCACCCTTGTAGTCAGAATTCATGTTATATTATAATCTCTCCTGCAAACCAGACCAGTCAGCATATATAGAAACTTACATATTTGAGCATATATTTACTCTGGTTAAGTTGCTTCAAATTTAGGAGTGAAACAAAATATTAAATCTCATAGTAGGGACACATAGCAGCCAAAAAGTACTTTGCTAAAAAACTACACACATATCCAGTGTTACCCCATTGCTTCGAACCCATTATGCAGGATACTGGGAAAGGAGATCCCTTGTCTAGTGTTACTTATTGCTATCATTAATCTCTGCATAATTTAATCATCATATAAGAAGGAAAGCTTTAGAAGAATGCATACAAACCTTGCATGGAAATCAACAGGAACAGGACACCAGCCCAGAATTCGAATATCATTTGGAAGGACTCGATTTAGCACCCTCACATAATCAATTTCCCCTTCTACAAAGAAAAAGGTTGGTTTTATGAAAGGAGAAATAAAGCTGAATAATTTTCCAGACAGATGTAAAAGATATAATAAAGGATACAATTGTATTTACATTTATAATTGGCTAAAACCATATGACACCTCCATCATTTTTGCATCAGATACAACTCAATGGGCATGAATCTGAACAAATACCCTAACAAGTAATCCTTTTGATATGTACACAAGGCAGAAAACATTAACTAATATTTATACAATTGATTATCTCCATTTCCCTAAAAATGAAAGTCGGGGGGAGGGTGGTTACCTACCCTAGATAGAGTAAATTTTATTTATGTATTTTTACTGCCTCCAAACAAAAAGTTTTAACTATACCTCAAGCTCTGACATTTTTAGACTAATACAAATATGATCTGGATTTCATGCTTAGAACATTCGGGCCTAACACTCATTGGTCTTTGGTGGTCAATAATCAGTATGGCAGAACTGTCATTAATAGCACCATAAAATGAAAAATGTAAAAGCTCTAACATTTTCAAATCATAATAGTGAGAAAAAGGATTATCAATAATATAATTGTCCAAGATCCATATTGCCAATGGGTTAATGAAAAGCCACAGCCTTCTTTATATTGTTCTACTTAAAGTCTGAGCTTAAAACCTTCAAAACTAAATTGAGAAATAAAGATCCAAATATCATTAAAAGCTCAACTTTCATTACTTTCCTGAATTAAACCCCTTCCCCTGGTGAAGAAAAAAAAGAAGACTTTATTATCTAAGCTGAATTAGGAGGAACCATGTCAGAATTGTAATTTTCAGAGAAAGGACTTCCCTAATTATATAGTAACAGTACGAAAAAGAAAATGGTGTTATTGACAACTTTAATCTTTAATAGAGGAGAGAAGAGAAAGGGGAAACAAAATCAATACATCCATACAACAGCACAATGGCATTCAAATCAAATATTAGCACCACAACTAGTATTGATTGTATGCAGATGTATAGTATTTGATCCCATGCCCAGCACTTGAATTTCTGTTTAAAGTTATTATATATAATTTTGAGGGATAATATGAAAAAATAATTTAATGTGATTCTGACAAACTGAAAATCTGAGAACTACTTAGCTGAAAAGAAAGAGAACAGGCTCTTTACAGAAAGGTAAACCTCTGGAAACAGAACATTTGAAGGAAAGAAAAAGAAAATAAGACTGTAACACAGGTTGGGCAGTCTAGCCCCAAAACCTATACCAATTTTTCCATAACCCCCATCATGTAATGCCACTCCCCATTTTCCCCCAATGATACCCAAATCTCCTGCCCCACTACCCACCTTGCCCACTATATCATTTTTTTAACTTCCATAAACATGCACACCCTTATCATTGGGCCTACCCTTCTTTCTTCTTCTCCTATACATGTGTAAATGATCTGTAGACTCACTTTAAGATGGAGAAGTGTGAACAAGGAAAACCAATACCAGCCTGTGTATGACAAGAAAAAACTAGGATATTGCCAAAAATGAAAATGAAACAAGATTAAGTCCTTAAAAAAGAAACACAAAAGTCAGGAAAAAAAAAGTTTATTTTAAAATTTCCTGCTAACCATATTGCTCATCTAAAGCAGCAACTCCAGATTTTCCATTATCTGTTGCAGATATCTTGCAGTTTGATCTTAGGAAAAGAGCTATCACCTGCTTCAGCATGTTGCAGTCATCAGAACCAATTAAATAATGAATTAAGAAATTGCATAAAGATCCACAAATCAACAGCAGAATAGAGCAGTATAACAATTAGAAATTCGGCATTGACGTTCAAACCAACCCACTTCAATGACCTCATACAATTAATAACCTTCCAAATTTTTAGACCATTAAAGATTCCAAACAATATAAAATATTAGAGGAATGTTAGGAACACAATTTTTTTAACACAAACCTAATTATTTACTAAATCATTGAAAAATATAAAAATATAAGAGAAAATTATTAAATTGAGAGTTGAAAAAAGTGAGATCCATATAATTTTTGTAGTTTTCAATAAATTTTAACTAATAACTAAGAGTGTGTAAAAGAGTGTGTTAATAGCATTTTTCAAAATATTAAGGACTGCATAATGCTTATATTATTGTTTTTCAAGTTTCATCGTTTTAGTTAGACGAAGTGATGAACAACAATTCTCCTAAAGAGAGGAAAGTAGTACATGGATAGAAAGTCAATGAAGGTGAAGAAAGCCCCAGCAACGGATAAATCTCCTATACATAGGTCTTCCCAAAAGATGAGGAGCACCAATGTTAATTGTAAATGTATTAACTTGTTTAGAAATTTACTCTCTGATCCTCTTTATCTCCAGTGAGGCACACCACAAAAGCACCTCATCTTTTCTTGCCCTGTATTTGCCATAGGTTTTTACTCTTTGGCAGCAAAATGATAGTTAATGGGTGTATCTTAATATAAAAATGGGAAAGATCAATTTCTCATATCAGCTTTTCTTAATCATGTGTGTATCAGTTATTACTAATAGAAATCATTCTCTTTTTCTTTCTTTTCCACCTTCATGCAGCAATCAACTTACTTGTCCAACAGCAGAAACCCCTTTGTCTGTTCTACCACATCTTGAATATTGTGACTCCTTCTTATCACCAACCAATAGTCTTGTTTTCTCAAGAGCTTTAAAAAGTTCAGACTGCAAGAAAAATGAGAAGTGATAAATAAAACTGAGCATTCACATACAGTGCCATACAATGGTTCTACAAAACTATCCTCCCAGTTGACAACCAAAACAATTCGTCCAGCACATATAATTTGTGCTAAGTATGAAAATTCCTACTTCATGGTACTCCTGACAAATTTATGCAGATTTTGAGAATTATTAGCTTTTGACTTCGAATTTGAAGAAAGCTAACCTCAACAGTTGGTTCCATTTGTGCCTCTGAAGCAAAACCATAGAACCTGTATTTACCAGGCAATCAGAAAACCCTAATATTAATTATCACATTGAATTATATACTTCTAATTCAATGAGAATCAAAAGTGTAAAGAACCAAAACAGTGAAATGATAGGAAGGGATAAAAAACAGAAAAGGCCTCAATTCAACTAAAGGAAAACTTAAATGATTATGAGAAATTCAGATCATTAAGGACCTACAAAGCAAACTCTGTAGATATATAAATAGTTACTAAAATATAAATCAATAGTTTAGAGATTGTAGCATGATCTTGAATATCAATATCCTAAAATACATTTTTCAAAGAAAATAATTTTGATGAAATACACATATCTGTCTTTTCAGAATAGATCAGAACCTCAGCAGAAATTATTAAGATGGAAAACAACAAAAAATTATTTTCCAAGTTCCCACTGGATGGGGAACAAAATAGGCGGGGGTGAAAGGCTTGACTCTCAACCTCTGGATAACACAGACAGAAGCTATGGGGCAAATTCTTATGACAGAAAACAAAGCCAGATATTACAGTGATAGTATATACCTTTTTCCAAAGTACATGACTTTTAAAGCTACATATCTCTTGCTATGATGACTCATAAACCTTGTGTTATAGCCTGTATCATGATGTAAAAGCTAATTTAAATTTTCAATATGTTTTGCTAAAATGACATCTCTCACGAGATTAAAAAAATAATGTTTCTTTGTCTTTTAAATTTCTTTAGAAACTACAACAAGTGAAAGAGTGGAAACTCATACACACAGAACAGCAGACCCAAAAAAATGCAGTTGGAGCAGAAAAACAGAAGCAAAGCATACAAATCAATAGCATGAAGTTTCTGCTGAAGAACAGAAAGTGAAGCTTATAGTTTCAAATTTCATATAGTTTTGTGAAAAAATAAAGGGGGAGAGTTATCATGTTAATGTCATCATGTATTAAAAAAAGATATTTTCTCTTAACACCCACATCACAGGTGCCACTACCAGTCCCCTAACGAAAATATTGAGAAAAGGAACCTGGCATATTCTTTATCTTCTCTTCAGATTTCCTGTTGCCTTTGTCTGATTCCACGCCTTTCTCATCTGGGCCAAATAATTTTTTCTCCATCTGCATCACAGATTTAAACAAAATTCTTTGAAGAATGCAGCTTTGTCCCCCTTGCTCTTTCTTTTTCTTTGGTTAACTTTCCAGGCTGAAAACTATCAATATGTTCCACTGGCCAAGAAGATAAAACACAGAGCCAAAAATGCTACGAAAACGCTGAAACAATTTACTAGCTAACCTCATGACTGTGGCAATCAGCAAGTTGAGATAGTAGCTTTGCATTCTCAGCTTGTAATTCCTGATAGTATGAATCACAAATCAGTAGGAAAAACCACATCGAAAGCTCTAAACTGGATTAGGCCAGGTAAAACCTTCACCACAATCTCCTTAATTATTATTAAAATAAAACAACAACGGCAGAACCTTAAGCACGTTCATTGATTTTCAGATTATAATATCAGGCTTGCTTAAACAACAAACACTAACAAAGTCATGCGTAACATACATTTACCCCACATCTACTTCCACTCTAATAAACGGGACAGTTGACAATTGACATGTTGCCATTTCCAATCCATCGATAAAATTTGCCTATAATTTTCTTGTTCCCCCTGTTCTCTCGGAAAAGAGACTGAAATTGGAATTGGAATGGACGTTGAAAGAAAATACTACCTTGACCCTGGCTTGCAAGCTGGCTATGAGTTCGGGATCACTCAGTTGCGTCGCCATCGTCAAGACACAAACACTATACCAAAGATGGGTACAGTTTTCGAACCTCAAATTGTTATAATGGAATGGAAAATAACCTTTGCTTGCTGTTAGGTTTTGTTTCGCAAATTCTAGAAATGGAAAGACAAACACGCATGGAACCTTCTCCACGTACTTGTCATTGTTATTGTACTGCTTATTGCGCGAATTGGCTTGAATTCTTACCGTGGAAATAACCTATCCATTGATCCACTGTAATCAGTTTTTAATATATAATTAAAGGTTTTTTTTTTTCAAATTTTAAGCTGAGTTTAATAAGTTTAAAATAATAACATTTTATTGAAAACATAATGCTTATTATATTTTATATTTTTAGGATGATAAATATTTTAAATATAAATATTATCTTTAATTACACATTTTCAAAAAATAAATTATAATATATCATAATTTCAATTAATAAGTTGTTCCAATTTGATCTATAATCTTAAATTAAATTTTCTACCCATCTCAAATATGTTTATCTTAAAAGGAGCGAAATATATATTTAATCTAAATTAAAAATTACAATGCGTCAAATTCAAATGAAATCGGAATGAATTGACAAAATTATAATTTTCATCATAGAGTTTAATTCTTTAATTTTTTACTCAAGTTAATTTAAATTTATTTATAAAATACTAATATGGTCTTACAATTATACACTATCCTATTAGTAAAACAATTAATAAAAAATTTAATACTAATATTTAAATTATTACTGTATTGCTTGTGTCTGAAAAAATATTATAGTTCAATAAAATAGACTCATTCAACATATTTTTTATTTTAATAAAACAATTTTGTAAACTGTAAAAAGAAAAAAATATAAACTAATTAAATAAATTGAGTTAACTACAATCACTTGCTAAACACAACTGAAGCCGGGGAAACAGTGTGCTGCAATGTCAAAAGGGCACAATTCAAGAGAAAAGCTTTTATTTTAATTATAAAATCATCACCTTATTTTTATTTAATTTTTATTAATTTATATAGAAAATAAAAAAAATTAAAAATAATAAAAACAAATAAAATTTTATAAATAAAAATAATAAAATAAAATAAAATAAATAGACTGCTCATTAATTGCTACCACTATTTTCAGAAAAGTTGAACAAAACCAAAGCTGTAGCGGATGTACTGATAATTTACTTCAGTTCTTGGGCAATAATGCTTCAATTTTGAAAGATTCTTATACTCCATTATAGTCTCGCAACTTACCACTCAACAAATGTCACATCATCTATTTCATCTATGTTAGCCATTATCGTCTACAACTTACCCATCCCATTAATTTTTCGAAAGCTTCAATACAGCAACCATAATTAACAATGAAAGCTCAAGATAGAAGCTAGTGTTGGCCCACATAATTGAATTTGATATGGCACATACAGAGTGGTGTGATGTGAGAATCTCTCTTCAAATTTTGCCATCCTAAGAAATCATTGTGGTCCTTTCTGTTTCTGTAATTATTGAAGCTAATTGCTGCTCACCCATGCGCCAAATCAAATACCAATCACCGGGAGTTAATTAACCATCATGCTAATAGAAAATGAACCCAGAAGGGGAATTCCATGACCAGAAAATCATCATTTGTTAGGAAGAACCATGAATGATATCAACAGCAACACTTCTCAATAACTCCCTAGTTTAAGTATCCAGATGAGTAAAACTAATTTTAAATTATTAAATATGATTGAAATACATACATATGTAATCTGAATCATATATTTTTATTACAATGTATATTATATATTAAAAACTCAGAATTTATTTTATAATTGAGAAACAAACAAAGTCTAAATTGTTACATATTTAACAGCTATGTACTTGTTATATTCGGAATGATGTGATACCAGCAAGATTACAATTTTACAATATTTCCACTAAACATAATTTTTTTCCACCATCATTAGAAATGCTTCGAAGCATAAAAAACAAAAAACGAAAATTGAGAAACAGTATACCGCCAAACAAGGCATACTCGCAAAACAACAGCATCAACTAAGACAGCCTGAAAGCATTGATTCACAAACCCCACTTGCTAAGAAAATCTTTGGTTCTCTTCCTCATGCGGGTGAAGACAATAACAACACAAGCCAAGATCAAGGGAGGGAAATTCACACCCGAAAAGTTTAATTTGTGAATCCACTGAGGACTTTCCCTCGAAACTAGAAGTATCATAATCGTTATGAGCACCACCCCAACCAAGATCCTAGTCACTGGCTTAAGCAACGAGTCCTACAATAGAAAGCAAAAGAAAATGTTAAAAAGAGAGAATAATCACAAATGAATTGAATCGAGGAATGAAAGAAGACCTTGGGTTCGCCGTCGACGAAAATAACGGCGCCGTTTCGGTAAGTGAGAATGGACCTTCCGGTTTTAGGGTTGAAGCGGATGGGGACGGCACGGCCAGATTGGGGGTTGAAAGCGAACATGGATTTGAGAGAGTGGTTGTGGAGAATGTGACGAACCTCTAACTGGTTGTGTTGAGATCCACCTAATTTGGACTTGAATACCGCAATTGGACCATGACCTCGCCGGAACAGGTGGATCTCCACCTCCTTCACCTCTCCATCTTCTTCCTCGTTTTCGCTTAACAGCGCTGCTTTTTCTTCCTCCTCCATTGCTCTTCTCTTCGCTTCTTTCCTTCCTCTTTCAGCAATCCTGATTAACAATCTATATACTTTCCCATGTACTACTACTAATAATAAAGTATTAATTCATGTTAACACTTTATTTTAATCTATATAATTAAAAAAAACGTTGAATGTATATTTTGAGACTGAATTTAAATATTTACAAAATATTTTTTATAAAAAATATTCTTAAAAATTACTATTAATTATTTAAACTCAAATATTTAATAAAAATGAGTTTAACATTTTTCTTTATCTTTAACTGCTAAAAAAATGTTTCCTCAGGTCTCTCTCTCTCTCTCTATCATTATTTGACTGAAATATTTGAAGTCATTAAATTTATTGATTTTAAGTTCTGGGATTTGGTAATCTTATCTGTTTTCAGAAAGTTGGAAAAATTTCGTGTTTTTTATTTTCACGTAAGCAATGTTATTGAATATAGACAGACAAAACGATTTTGATAGTTTTTATGTCAACATTTACACTTACTTGCATCTCATTGTCTTACACTGTCGTGTCTGTCTTGCCTTAATTATCTTTCTCATTTTTACAAATATACCACGCATAAGTAACGCACATGCAATTTTCAGTCACTAAATATCGTACATTTTTTAACTTTTGATATTTAAAAATTATGCTGTTTAGATTAATTTAAGTTAGTACTCAGTAAAACTATGACCATGTTTGATTATTATTTTAAAAATATATTTCTGTATTTAAAAATAAAATTTGATATAATTTTATATTAAATTTTATTTTTAATAATTAAAAACTATTTTTAAAACAGTAATCAAACATATTTTAAATCTCTTATTTTTTTTAATTTACAAGAGTTAAAACTAAAGCATTAGTTAAAGAATGTTTAATTCCTTGTCATTCAAATACAAAATAATTATATTGTTTTTTTTATTATTATTATTTCATGTACATATGATATTTGCTCGTATGTTGCCTTGTAGTTACTACATGGTTTAAGAACATACTCCTCCCATAGTTTTTTATAATAATGTTTTAAATTGATTTTTTAAAAATTACAATTCTTTTTGAGTATTTGTTAATTATTTACACGTTTATTTTTCATTCTTATTGAATGTTTATATATTCTTAACAATTAATATAATGCTGAGTTTATTTTTATTTATGTATCTATATAGGAGATAAGAAATCATATAAACTAATTATATTTATTAAATTTGATTGTTAGAAAATATCAGTGACATATTTTCTAACTTATTCTTTATTAATAATTTTTCTTTAACTTTTAGACATCTCAAATCGTATAAATATTTAAATAAACAAACAAAATTAATAAAAGAATAATAATTAACGTTATCTCAAGCTTCTACATAGACAACTACGTTAGAACAAAATTACTCTTCCCTGTCTAAATAGACTGGCTTGTTTTTCATCATTTTCAAATGTTGATTGTCGCTTTCATTATAACTAAACTAATAATAAATATATTTAATATAAAAACATTTTTACATAATAATAATAATGTTAAATATATACAACTGAAACTCTTTAAATAAACAAATAAATAAAAATAAAGATAGTAAATTAATTAAAACTTTAACTATCGACAATCTGAGAATATTGTAACATTTTTTAAAATAACATATTAACTACCTTTGACAACTTTTTAAAATCTCTAAAATATAATTAAATTATCGTTTAAAAAAATTAGAAGGAACAATTACAAATTATACATTTATCTACGTCATGTTTAATAATATTTCGTTATAATTATTTAAAAGCGCATCATGATACACGATAAAACTCTGTAGTGAATATTTTGTTATGATCTTACTAATTAGTGTCCTGATCATGATTTTGAAAATATGTGTAAAAAATGTAATAATGCTGTATTTATATATATTTTTAATAAAAATGTATAATTTTATTTAGTTACTTTGGATCATTAATTAGCATTTTCCTTTCAAATGAGTTAAATAATTATAAAGAATATTCATCGTATATTTTGATGTATTAACTCAAATCGATTTTGAGTAGTTAAAATTTAGACATCTAGCAAGTGAGAAATAGACAAACGGGGGAAGAGTTAATCGTTTGCCATTTTCATTGAAGTCGAATAAATTAATGCAAAAATTAAAAACTGTTTATCCTTTATTTATTTACTTTTTTTGTTTTTGGTGAAATTTGTGGAGTACAAGAATAGTGCAGAAAGCGATCGAAAATGGCGTCCCTTTTCCCCTTTTGTGTTCGCAGTTGACCTCTGAACCAAATCACCCAATAAATAATCGAAGAAACCAAAGGGAGCTTCTAGGCAAAAGCATCCACCGCGTTGAATCCATTGCATCCCACCGTAAGCAGCTATGTCGTTGCGTAGGCGAACCTTGCTCAAAGTCATTGTCCTCGGCGATAGCGGGTACGTTCTTTGGATTTTCCCTTTTGGTAAAACGCAACATCTGAGTTCACCCCTTTTCCTTCATTGCCATTGCCAGGGTGGGAAAGACCTCGTTGATGAATCAGTATCCTCACGCGCCGCCTCACGCGCCCTTGCGTTGGGTTTGTAATTGAATGCGTAATCGTTTCTGGGTTTGTGCTAATGTCTTCGAAACCCGTGTCTTCGAGTGTTGATTTTGAACAGCGCTGTTGCGCGTTTGGCGCGTTCATTTTGCTTTACCTTAATTTATGTTTACTTTGGAATTTTCTGGTATTTGCTTTTTGTTTAAGTTATTTTTTTGTTAGTATTAACTTTGATTTATAATGCTTTGTTATAATTATAATTATTGCATCTGTAAAGTTTTAGAGTTTTGTGTTTGAGGTCAATTTAATGATATTTTTATGGCTGTTTCTTTCCTTTTTGGAATTTAGCCCCATGTGGACCTTAACTAATTGTGTAGATATGTGCACAAGAAGTTTAGTCAGCAGTATAAAGCTACGATTGGTGCTGATTTTGTCACTAAGGAACTCCAGATTGAAGACAGACTTGTCACTCTACAAGTGGGTTTCCTATTTCAACGGTATTTCTGTATTCTTTTGTTTTTTTGTGTTGAGATTGTTGGGAAAGTTGTGTATATTGCAATATGTTGTATGTGTCTCATTGTTAGATATGGGACACTGCTGGGCAAGAGAGATTCCAAAGTCTTGGAGTTGCGTTTTACAGAGGGGCGGATTGCTGTGTTCTAGTCTATGATGTGAATGTGATGAGGTCGTTTGACACCCTTGACAACTGGCACGAGGAATTTCTCAAACAGGTTGTCCTTTTCTAATGACCACATTTGTTGCAATGTGTGGTTTGTGATAGTTTGCATTTAATATTTCCTTGTTTATAGTTCATTGTTATGAGAAAAAGGTACACATCCAGTTTAATTTAGTCATTATGACTAGTATATTAATATTATTACCATTGTAGTTTGTATTTGTATTCTAACTAAAAAGAAACTCAGAATCTTGGCATCAGCAAATGAAAAGAAGTGCAGAACTTTTAGGTTCCTTGTAATTTATTTCCATTGGTCCATCTTTTTGTAACATCGTGCTAATGGAAGAGGAAGAGAGGGGAGAGCAAATATTCATCTTTACAGCATCAAAGAATGCACCTACTGATTTGCATGCCAATTGATTGGATTTGTCTCACTCTTATGTATATGACCAACCAATAGTGAACTTCGCTAGATAAGCTTTGCATTAAGATTTATGTTCTCGCTGTGACACAGGCAAACCCCCCTGATCCAAGGACATTTCCATTTATACTGCTTGGAAACAAGATGGATATCGATGGTGGGAATAGTCGAGTGGTAGGTGGATATCATCACACTTCTAACTTTCCTTATTTTATTCATTTAAATGTTTACTTATATTATGTGCAGGTTTCTGAGAAAAAAGCAAAGGACTGGTGCGCTTCAAAAGGGAATATTCCCTACTTTGAAACATCTGCAAAAGAGGATTACAATGTTGATCTTGCATTCCTGTGTATTGCTAAGGCTGCTCTAGCCAATGAGCATGAACAAGACATGTAAGTTTCACTTTAGATTTGTATGCAGATATACATTATGATGAATATAAGCTGTAGTACTGTATAATTGAAGTTAGGCAAAGAAATAGTACTATTATCATGAATTTATTAAAATGTAAAAACGTTTATAGAAAAAAGAACTGTATTTGTGACACATTAACCTCTAGAATGTTCAGTAAGAATAAGTATGAATTTGTACTATCTATTGTCTGTAGCACTAGTACTGCATGCAGTCTAAAATTAATATACAGCTAGCATGCAATTGGTACTCACTGTTGGAACGTCAATGAAGTGCTAGAAATAGAAGATGGTTCACTATTATGCATTGCATGGCACATGCTGCTGTTTTTTGCCCAAGTTTTTCCTTGATGTAAAATATTTACCCTTTTTTGTTCTGTATCTGAATTTTTATGCAAAATAATGATTATTTTGGAGTATAATCTTTTGTTAAAAGTTGTCTAAAATTAATCCTCCTTAATTAGCTGCTACACAAATATAAAGAAATGATGAGGTTATTTGCTGGTCCAAACCTATTGCCACTATGATCTTTGGAAAGGCTTTAATTTGAAAATTTTGATCTCATTTTTAGCTCCATCTTATGAAGTCACTATCTGTATCTTATGAAGAAATTCCTAAACCTGCTCCCATCTTCCATACATTAGTGCTCTGTTCAAGTCAATGCTAACTACTTGCAACAGACACAAGACACTACATCACATTGATACAAGAATTATCCGCTTGCTTGATATGAAATCATTAATATGTTCGTAAAGATTTCAGAGATCATAGCTAACGATTATGCGAAAAAAAAAAAAAAAAAAAAAAAAAAGAAGCTAACTCTTATCTATTTTCTGCAATAAATGATTTCACAAGAACTTGATTAACCACATGATAGCCCATAGCTTAATAAAGAATATCTCCCTGCAAATCCTTCTCTTCTACAATTTTTGCAACTTGTTCTTCAACTTCAATGACTTTCTTTGAGTTGGTAGTTGGTACTATTGCGCATGGCTTCTACAGTGTGCAAACTACATTAATGATGTACGCAATAAAAGCCTTTCTCTTGATAATCTTTTTCTAGTTGCTGATTGCTTTGGAAGAGAGTTTGCTAAAGATGACGACATTTCTTCTAGCATGTATCATAATAACTGAATATATCATTTTTTATTTTTAATTGAAAATTTTATATTTAAGTAATTAGAAATAAATAATAAAAAGAAAATAAAATATTCCATGCTTTTGTCATTTTTTTCCCATTTTCTTTTGCTCTCAATTCTTGAACCAGTAGTTCTATCTTATTCATGCAGCTATTTTATAGTTGCATCTTAAACTATCAGGCCAACTTGTATTGACTTTGTAATGTCATTTCATGAGAATCTCTATTTCCAAGCCTTTTGAAACAAAGTGATTTCTTGTAGAATGACATTTCAGGGATAATAGCTGGTTTAGAAGAAGATATTCTTTGACAACTTTTTTTCTTGCGGCTTATAAAGTTATCATTTATTACCCTAAAGGTCATTTATGCCTAAATTGGTTTTTCAGGAAAATAGAATAGAGCATGGATGGTTAAGATTAGAAGTTGAAGTTGTGCAACCTTTTAAAGTTATCATGCTAATCATTCATATTCCGAGGGTCAAGATTTGATCATCTCATTTTTCAAAATAACATAATGCTATCACTTGATATTAGCTATTTTGACTGCTTCATATCAAACATGTTAACAATGCTTTGTATCAATGCCAAAAGCACAGAAAAGCACAGCTTTGATATTATCTTGGAATTGTCATACGTAGTTGGTCAAAACTATGTAGACTAGCTTGTTGCTAAGGAAATGCAATATTCAGTTCAATTAAGCTTCTCTGGTCTTCATACTTCCAGTGTCACCAAATGTTCTGTTCAGTTGATACTGTATAAAGATTGTTCACTTTTGCAAAATTCAGTTTGATGTTCAGTTATTGAAGCAGTAAACTTGATTAATACTGTGATTGATATATAGCCAAATTATCTGGTCTTTTATGAAGTTATAATCTAATAAAATCTTGAAATTTCTTCCTGCTCCAGGATTTCTCTGTTTTGTTAAAAGCTTTAATTATATTTCTGGCACTCAGAATGATTTCTTTTTGCATCTGATAGTTTAATAAGTATCCAAAACTTTATTCTTATGAGAGGATATTTATATTTTTGTAGGACATTCCAGTTTCAACTTAATTTAGTAATCTTTTCTCCAATCTCGATTGTGAATTCCAGCCAGTGATCTATTTTTTCTTTTTGAGATGAAAATCATTTACAACAAAGGGAGAAGAGTTAGACGGTGTTTGCTCCACAAAATTACATATCCTGTTTTTAGATTTAGCCTTTTCATCTTGAAAATGAAAATAGCAGCCTTTAGTTATAATCTGAGCCATGAGATAAAGCATATATGCGTATACATGCAAAGTGCCAATCATAGTAGTCAACAGCGGCTATAGCAGCCGCCACTGCAGAGGAGCAGAGTGGAGCAGCAGGTTGCTGCTATGAAGAGCTTGTAGCGTCACGTTTTAGTGGAGCAGCCATCATGCTGTGAATAGCGGCCAAATTGCAGGAGAATAGCAGCCGCTATGGCTGCTATTTCATCTCTGGCCAAAACCTGACTTTGTCCTCCCTTTTAGAACGTTGGACAACTTTAAATGGGGGCGATGTTGGAATTTTGCCCCCTTCTACATTTCTAATATCTTCTCCTTTGCAAGCCCTAAGTTCAAATTCTCATCTTTTAGTTTTCCTCTCAATTATCTCTGTTTCTGTTCTTTCTCATCTTTGTTCTCTGTGACATTCTCTTGCTTCCAGTGTCCTTTTTCATCTCCGGTGAGGCTTTTGATGCGACAAAGTTGATCTCTGTTTATCTCTTTCATCTCTAATGAAGCTTCTGACATGACTTAGACGTTTCTCAGTCATCTTATTCATCTCCAGTCATCTTTTTCAATTTCGGCGAAGCTTCCAATGTAACCCATACATATTTTGGTCATCTTCTCCATCTCCAACAAAACTTCTTACGAATTTCCAGTGATGACTAATTATCTGTTTTCTATTTTCTTTTTCTATTTTTTATTTCTTTCTCTATTTATTTTCCTGCTCTGTTTTGGATACTAATTTTATAATTTTTTTAGCATATATAAGTGTGTAGTGTTTTTGGAGTCGAGCTCAGCGCCACTATTCGATATTGACTACTATGGTGCCAATTACTATTAATTAGGGACTTTGAATTTATATATATTGTATAAGGAAATTGCTTGATAGTAATTTTTTTTTTTACAAAAACTAAAATAAATGCGGCTGATTTCTGTTTTGCTCCTTAGATTTGTGTTCAATAATTTATTCACAAACCAAATAAAACTCCTACATGAATTTGAGCAAATTTGCGCTTAAAATTTTTGCACTACATAGCATTTCTCGTTATATAGAAAGCCAAGTTGATGAATCGCTTACAATATTATAGCTCAACTGACTTTTGAATTCTTTGTTTCAATTTTGATTGCAGATATTTTCAAGGGATTCCTGAGGCAGTTCCAGAGAATGAGCAGAGGGGTGGATGTGCATGCTGATGTCAAAATACTGCATAATTTTACCCACTCTCCTTAATGCTGTAGTTCAAACTCTTCAAATTCTTTTTGGTCATATAGAGTACACTGTATGCCATGATTGTGGGAGTAAATTGTGCACCTTGAGGTTGCGATTTTGATAAATTGTACAATTTATTCTAGTCTTGTTTTGGAAAGGATGAGCTTGAGAATATTGCAGTTGCAGATAAGACATTAAATTGATGAACTAACAATCTATTCAGAAATTGAGATGTGGGATGGACAGTGTATATTCTGTTTGAATGGTGCTTAGTGGACATTAATCTTTGTGGTGTGTCCCAGAAATGAATGGTTTTTGTTTCCTTTGCAAAGCAAGCATGGTTTAGGATATATGATGTTTGCAAATGTCATGTTTAATTTAGTCTTAACGCTTACAATTTGGCTTAGAATTTGCATCAGTAAGTAAATTGAAAGTCATTCATAATATTTTGTTTGCATTGGATTGAGATCCTCTGCAATTCTATTTTTTTAAATTTGTAGATCAAAATATGAAAAGATGATGTATTTGCAACAAACAAAATTTAGACATCAAATATGAAAAGATGGTGTTGTGAAGCATGTTTTAGTGGGGATTAATCACACGACAATCAATTTGCGGTAACCTGAAGATATCATCATCCCTTATGTGAATTTTACAGACTTTTACTGGGTGTTTAAAGTAGGATATATTGTTTTCTTATGACAAATCTAAAGATATTGAATGAATTTTTTTTTAAAGATATATTTATTAAATTTTGTAATATTTATTTTTTATAATAATTTTTAATTATGTATTGGTAAATATGTGAGTAAAAAAACTAAAACATTGTTTTTATACTAAATAATAATTTTAATTTAATAAAAAATATATTATTTTTTAGATGTTTACGAATAAGTTTTGCATTAAAATAATATTTTTTAAATATAACTTTATTATATATGTTTTTATTATTTAAAATTTATATTTTAGTATTCTTTTAATTTAAGGTAAGTAGTTAGTTAAAATCATTTTTTTTTATATAAAATTAGTATGATTTGCTGATTTATTTATTTGTTATTGCCAAACTTGTGTAGTTTTATCCGGTTACTTAAAAGCGTATCTAAATTTAATTTTAAAAAAAATACTCTGCACCTATATATTTTTTTCATCTTCCTTAAACACAGTTGTACTAATATTTTTCATATTCATTTTATTTTGAAAAGAAAATGAACATTTTATTTTGTAATACAATAATATTATTTTATACACACAACAAAATGATTAGTTTGTCCACCACTAAATTTTGAAAACAATTTATTTACCTTGCATTTTTTATTTACCTTAAAAAACACATTAATTTTATGAAAAAGAATGATACAATAAAAATACTTAAAATATATAAAAAAAAGAACAAATATTAAATTATGTTATCAGGTTAATAATAAGAAAATAAAAAAATATTTTATTAAAAATAAGATAGTTCTTGTTTTATAATTTACATTACAAGTTAAATATAATTCTAAATAAAAATTTAATTAATAAATTTAGATTATGGATTTTTTATTTTGGTTACAAAATTTATAACATCTAGATAGTTTTAAAAGAAAGAGGCAAAAATGTTCCATCATCTTTCCGGAAACACAAGACTTCTGAAACAAATTAAATATATATTTTTTATAAAAAAAATAATTTAAATTGAAAGGTAGAACCAAATAACACATTTCTTGATGTTACCTTTTTCTTTTTTACTTAATTTATTGAGTTGAGTATTTTGTATTTGTATGACGTAATGGATGAGCTGAGTCCTTCTTCTGAGGCCCAATTAGTGAAGCATTTTACCCGTATCATATTGGGTTGAAACAGGCCCAAATAGCTGAATAACTTGAACCCAAAAACAAAAAGCAATATAACCCTAAACCGTTAACAATAAACCCTAGAATCCCCATCCCAGAGGTAAGTGGTTGTTTCTGCAATGGGACGTGTGATCCGTGCGCAGCGTAAGGGTGCGGGTTCAGTATTCAAGTCCCACACCCACCACCGCAAGGGCCCTGCTAGGTTCCGCAGCCTTGACTTCGGCGAACGAAATGGTTACCTGAAGGGTGTTGTCACCGACGTCATTCACGACCCCGGTCGCGGTGCCCCTCTCGCCAAGGTCACTTTCCGCCACCCATTCAGGTACAAGAAGCAGAATGAACTCTTCGTTGCCGCTGAGGGCATGTACACTGGCCAGTTCGTCTACTGTGGCAAAAAAGCCACCCTCATCGTTGGTAACGTCTTGCCCCTCCGATCCATCCCCGAAGGTGCTGTCATCTGCAACGTTGAACACCACGTTGGTGACCGCGGCGTCTTCGCCAGGGCCTCCGGCGACTACGCCATCGTTATCAGCCACAACCCTGATAACGACACCAGTAGGTAACCACTTCCATTTCTCTTCAAAAATTTAAGTAGAACTGCCAGATCTCGTTTCTCATTAGTGATGCTGTTGTTGCACTGTTGATTCAATTACTTGGAAATGGAATTTGTGGTGTATTAATTGCGATTTGAAGTGCATAGTGTAATTTATATTTTGTTGAATAGGAGGGTTGAAATTTTGGGTGAATTGGTTTACGGATTTTTTTTTAATTCTATTACATTTGGGCGCGCAGTTTTTATTAGGTTTTGTAAAGAGCAGTGCTAAATGGTATGAAAACTTTTGGCATGGGTATGGCGAAAACTGTTATCATTTTTGGTATGAATGGTTTGGATATTAGTATTAGAAAAGATAAAATAAGATTTCATTTGGCGGAAATCAAGGATAGTGGTTGTATTTAATAGTTACAATATCGTACTCTTTAGCAATAACCTTGTGTAAATACAGGATTAAGCTTCCATCTGGTGCAAAGAAGATCGTTCCAAGTGATTGTAGGGCTATGATTGGGCAAGTTGCGGGTGGTGGGAGAACTGAGAAGCCTCTTCTTAAGGCTGGAAGTGCTTACCACAAGTTCAGGGTGAAGAGGAATTGCTGGCCTAAGGTGCGTGGTGTTGCCATGAACCCTGTTGAGCATCCTCATGGAGGAGGTAACCACCAGCATATTGGACATGCTAGTACTGTCCGGCGCGATGCTCCTCCTGGCCAGAAGGTTGGTCTTATTGCTGCTAGGAGGACGGGTCGTCTTAGAGGTCAAGCTGCTGCAACTGCTGCTAAAGCTGACAAGGGTGCTTGAAGATAACGTTATTAGGATTGTTATATTTGATTGCATGTTTTCCAGTTTTGTTTCTTGGATAGTTTGTCTGTTAAACTGCTGGGGCGCGATTTGAGAACTTTTTTCCCCCAAAAAAATATGGAGCTTTCAATAGACAGGCTTTTTTATTTAAGTGTTATATGGTCAATCTTGCTTCTTTGCATGCTTTTTTATCTGGTTGAAATGGTTAAATTGCTTGTTTTGACAACTTGAATTATGTCATACCATTCATTGGTTAAATTCAATTGAATGGCTTCTCACAGTGGTATTCATTGTCGCATTTCTTTGAATCAATTGAACATGTTGTCCTTGATGTATACATGTATGTGTGAGAGAGAGATTAAACATATATCTTCAAATGCGCATATCATTCATCCTATATCTTCATGATGGTTAAGCAATATTTATTTCCTATTTTTATTTTGGCTCTAGTAAATGTTTTTAAATTTTTAGTATAATTTCTAAGGGTACAATGGTTGTCGATTATTGCTTTTGGGTTTGGCTTAATCAATTATTTGTACCTATAGATGATACAGGTTATTTGTTTTTAACTTATTTATAAATTTTTTAATGACAAGTTTTGTTAAATTTACGTTGTAAGTTGTCCTTGGAAAATAGTTTATTTATTTAGTATTTAAAATAAATTATATATCCAAGGGCAACTTTAGTGAGACATTGAATTTGTTGGATAACAAAAATAAATTTTTAATCAAATTTTCATGATATAAAACTCTCAAACATGTTAAGGAATAGCCTTGGGATAATATAATTAGACCACTTAAATCAATAAAGTATGTTTTGTGAAGTTATTTTGGTAGAGGGTGGTTTTTCGTCAAGGAAAATACTAGCATATTTTTTTAAAATGCTATTTTAAATGCACTTATTGATTAATTTTTTTTAGAAATGGTGAATTTTATTTTTAATTTAATAATTATTACTAATATTTTTATAGTTTTTAATAATTTTATTTAATAATTGAGAATGGAATAGAAAGGGGACGATTTCTCTTCCCAAAAGTATTTGGATTAGTCATATGACTAAATATTAAAATTAAAATTTTAAAAAATATATAAAGACTAAACATATAATTTTATAAAATAAAAAATTTAGTATATTTTAACGGACAAAATACATATTTAACTCTTTAATGTATTATTTCACACATTCTCTTTGAAGAATTATTTTGGTTTCTCATGTGTCTAAGGAATCATCATTTATATTAAGGTAAAATTGGATGAAGTCATTAGTAGTAACCTATTTTTTGTACTTGGGGGGCAGTGAAGGCCCTAAGCTAATATGGATGATTGGTGGCGTTTGGTTTCTCATGTGTCTGAGCTTTTACATGCTCATGATGCACAAACTTGGGCTTACGCGGGTTATCGAATAGAGGCCCAAATCCAAAATCAACAAGTGCACAATCCTACTCACCACTTCATACATGTTTATCACGCAGTATCTATTTCTACAATTATATATACACACTGTGAGAGAGAGAGGGGAATCAAATTCATGTGTAAATGTTATATACTTGAAACTCGATTTCAGAAAATACATGTATTTCTAGACTTAGGAGACACAAAGAAAAGAAAAGAAACATTACCGTACCTTATCCAAATCCACTGTAGCCTTGGATTGGAAGTGTTTGGTGATATTCAGCTTGATGTTGTGTTGATGATCACATAAACTAGAGAATAAAGTTCCCACTCTCATTATTGTCCTTTCCTTCTCTGCTACTATTATTGCCATACTCTCTCAAATCTCAAACTCAATGGCGAAAATTTCACTGGCAATTGGTTTGAGAACTCTCTTCGCTGTATTGGGAGCTCTCATGCTTGCTACCCTTCTTTACTTTCTCTTCACCAATGGTAATCCGTTTACCAAAGAACTCCTCAAACCGTACGTAACCTCTCTCCCTCTCATCCATTCTCAAATACGTTGAATCATCAACACATGTTTGCATGGATTTATTTTCCTTTTGAACAATCGAATAGAACGATCATAGATTCATAGAACAGTGAATACCCACTTTCGACCCCGTCAATCTAATCCTTAAAATACCAATTTCGTCCTTAACGTTCCTCCATTGTATTTCTCCTTGTCCTTAAGAGGTAACCAAGTGATAAGTTGACACGTGGTGGTCAGCACCCTAAACTCAAAACCAAGGGCAAATATTTCCTCCTTCTCTGCCAACTCATCACTGAAAGTGGGTATTCACTCATTCATAGGGTTATTTTATTTGAGGAGTACTAGCAATAGTATCATACTTTATTATTAGGTAAAATTTATTAAAAACTAATGAAATTTTAGGAGTAGAGTTTGTTAGGAGCGAGATGTAATTTTGTGATTTTCAATTATTTACTCGTTAGGAGTGTATTAAGAAGACTTGTTAGAAAATGTGTTAACTAACATTTTTCATTCTATTTTATATATTTTAGTTGACGCTTACTTTCTTTTTGGAATAAAACAAGTTTTTTCTCCTCGTAATTTTATTTGATTCAGGTGGTTCCTTGCAACTTTGATTGATTTCTATATCAACGTTGCAGCTTTGAGTGTAAGTCAACAACTACTTAACTTCCTTATTTTCTTCAGTGTTTTAGATAGACTTAGATTGACGATAATTTTAATTGAAAATCAGTGTTTTTGTTTTCAACGAGAAATTATCCATTTCTTAAGCGATTACTGCATTGATACAATATACAGTGATATTTAGTGATGCGAATAAACCAAAATCAGCATTAGATACAGTGAAAATCAAAAGTTTATTAAAATTCTAATTTAAAATATATATGTTGTGCAGGATTGAGTCAGTAGACTGATCTTGTGGGGTGTCTTGGATTGAGAAAAAAAGTTGACATTTTTTAATTGTACTCAACTGTACAACTTCCTATGAATGTTTGGTGCAGTTTTCGAATGAAAAATCGTCACTTGAGCTGTGTGCCCCTATAATTTTTCATGTGAATATAAGTCAATTTACCTGTATTACCTAGTTGCTTTTGTGATTTACCTGTCACTTTTCTTCGAAAGAACCGAACCAACTTGTAATTTTCAAATTTAAAATAAATTTTCCTTTAATATATGACTAATGCTTAACGGAACATTGCCTAATTGATAATAAGTTAAAATCACTTCTCGAGTGAAGTTTCAAAAGCTCTGACATACATTAATTTATCACATCAGGTATGGATTGTTTACAAGGAATCAAATTGGATCAGCTCAATTTTGTTGATAATTTTGCTTGTCTGCCTTGGAAGGTATCATTTTGCTTAACATTGCTTAAGTGGGCACATATTAAAATCAACCCGATATTATCACCTTGTCCTTCTATAAATGTCACGTAAAATAAAAATCCAACCAAATGTCATGGTTTCCTGTTTCAGTTTAAATATAGCTCTCTTATACAAATGTACATTGTACAGAACAAGTAGATTTTGGGTCAAAGTTTCTTATGTTTAATTTAAAATATAGTTGGTCTTATCGCTATACAATTTTGCATGGCACAGTCCAAGCGGATACAGGGATCTGATAATGCTATATATACTTCGTCTTTAAAATGAATTTATGAATTGCATGTAACTTTCTTTTGTGTTCATGTAAACGTTAGCTAATCTTGGTTATTTGTGTGTTATACTGACAGAAGGTCACATAGGAATGATCTTTTCATATTTCTTAAATTGGTTTCTGATAAGAGAAGCTTCGTGTACTTTTATCTCTCGTGTAACAACAGGTTTATGTTACTTAAATTGGTATCCTGTCATTTGTTGCACCAGTGGAGAAAGCTGGCAGCGATACTCTGATTTCATATTACTTTCAAAATGCAAACTGTTCCTCTGTATAAAAGATCAAATTGATCATGAGTTAGAGTATTTTATTTTATTTTATCTTGTTTATGATCATTTAAAAGAATAAGTTCTAATTTATGTTCACCATATTCTTTTATATTTGTTCAATTGTTTCAGCATTACTACATCTGCGTATATTGTTGCGCAATTATTGAAGCTGTCACCCCAAGAATCTTCACAGGATCCTATATATTATGTTCTGTTGCGGCATCCACACAAGTATGTCTACAGAAGCACTACTACAGAGTCATGTTTTCTCAACATTTTCCATTTTTTTTAACAATTTATCAGTTTTCTTGATCCATGGATAACAGAACCACTCCAGTGGCCATCCAGCTTATGCTCCTACATACATAATCTCTTCATTAGTTATTATGGAGTTTTACTAGTTTGATTGCCTTCACTCTGAAATGAATATATTGATTTTCTTCCTTGAATTAAGTACGAGGATGATTAGATTTCCTGAGTATGATCAACTGTTTGAGAAGTCTTCTTTATATCAAAAAAGGGAAAAAATGATTCAAGGTCTTACAGTCTTAGGTGAAATATATGTTGGGATGATTTAATTTTTGTTTTTTGGGTATTTGTGAAATCTATGAATTTTAAGGTGTTCATTTTTTTCTTTCCTGTTGCTAAATTTTATGATCTAAATTATTTTTTATCCTTGTTTAATAAACTATCCTTGCTATATTGTGGAATTGTTCAACACGTGTATGCGAAGAAAATGTGCTGGAGGATATTATAGAATCTAATTTCATGGTCTACTTCACTGTATGATTTTGTATATAATCTCTACACTTTCATCATCAGTTCTGATTGACTCTGAGAAGTCTTTTACATAGGAATGGTGCAGCACCAAAAACAGAGCATTCTTCTGCTGTGACTCTTAGAATACTTTTCAGCATTTTGGGTTTTGTCATGATTGGAACTTTGGTGTACACACTTGTCACTCATGGTTCTCCTTTCCGTAAAGAGCTTCTAACTCCGTAAGTGCTTTGCATTGTTACTGTTAGCTTCATTTTTGAAGTTATATAACCACGTTACCTCTTTCTTTGTGCTGTTTTCTGTATACTTGAATGAATTATTCTATTTTCAACATGTTGTATATGCCTTTATTCCTTCTTAGGTAAAATTTTCTCACATTATGATGTAATAGATTCTGTTTAGTGAAAGTACACCATGAACCTTTGTCAGACCTTAGAAAAATCATTGTTTGCAGTTTGAAGAGGCTAGGGATAAAATTGTGGATGAATGACGGTAATCTTCATTGTTTGACTTTGGTTCCAAATGCACAACTGTCATTCTTAGCTGCATTTTAAATATTTGGATTCCATACTTTCTATGAAAACGCCTGACTTGATTTCAGCAAAATTCAAAATTCCAAATACAGATAATAAAGCACGACAAATTGCTCATGTTTTGTCCCCATGTAGCTGTTGGTAAACATTTGAAAGCTTATCCATAGAATGCAGAGTGGACCACATTAATTTTCAAATTTTCAATCAACGTGGTGTTTTTGAGTCTTCATTTTCCTAAATTAAGTATTCACCAAGACCAAAGCATGTACTTTTTGTCTCATTCAAGTATGTGTTTACAACTTTTGCATGCTCATGGAGAAAATTTTCTCCAAAGTTTCAGCTTGTCCCTGTCATTTTTCTTTTAAGTGAACATCATAAGCTCCGAAATGTTTGCAGGTGGATGACAGCAACACTAATTGACTTCTACATGAATGTTACGGCTCTAGCAGTATGTCTACATTTTTTTATCTTAGCAGTTCTAATTTATACCAAATATAAATTAATTTCATTAACTTGGACAATTAAGGTTCAAGGACGGAAAACAATTTTGAATATTGTTTACGTTTATATGCTTGGATTAACATTTTTAATGATCGGAAGTCTAAAATTTTAATGTGCAGAATTTTATTGGTGATTAATAGATAGTTGGCCATTCAGTAATGACTTGTATAACAGAAAGACATCTTCCATATATTCTACAACTCATGATGAGTGTAAGTAGGGAGTGACACTTTAAAGAGTATTCAGGCCATTCCATAGATTATTTTTCTTCTTTCCAACCAAAGAGACTGCCTATGTTAAACTTCTAAGAAAAAAGTGTTTCCTCCTTTTATCTTAAACAATGTCTGATGGCCACTTTGCAACGTTGGCTCAGCATTATGAATTGGGAGGTGATTCTATAATTTTAACAGAATATAACAAGACTTGAAATCCTACACGAGATGTTTCAGCAAAGGAACCGATGAATCTGCCTAGCTAGGGATGGATGCCAACAAGCAGGAAACTCTCAAAAATCATACTACCTGAACTGAAACTTAATTTTGGCAGATTATATTGCCTCTTTAAACAGGTTCAAGAAGTCATTTGGATGTTCCTATCTGTGATCCTAGCTCATGACAATATATATGTTAAAATAATAATAATTTTCGTAGAACATAAATGTGACAAAATAGAATTCAGCTGTTGAAAAAATTGAGGTTATGTAGTGTTAAGGATTTAGGGGGGAGACGATGTATTATGTGGTTGTCTAGTTGGTGATTTTTTTCACTAACTGAGATTGCTGTGTATGCCTAGAAAATGAACTCTTTATTCAAGCATAGTGGCAAACTGGTAAATTCAAATAAAAATACATCAATCGTGCAATGACTCTAGTTTAACCAGAAAACCCAATCGTATATAATAGTGTTAGCGAAATATGCACTATCAAGTGCACTCTGGAACTACAGCAGAAAGATTTTAATAATATAAGAAATAGTAGTTTTTCATTATCAATAATTGTGAAAATGATCTATGTGACTACGGACCAGTAAACGATATGGAGATAATCAAATTTGAAATATCTGTACATGGAAGGTTATGTTCAATAGTGTGTAAGAATGCAGAAGTGTAATTTTAGTACACTAGTTTTGTCTCAATTGAAGCATCCTAACTATTCAGGCATTATCAGGTCTGGGTTGCCTACAAAGAATCTCGTTGGATTTCTGCAGTCTTTTGGATAATTCTTTTGATATGTTTTGGCAGGTTTGTTCACATAATTTTGAATTTTGCTTACTGGTTGGTGATTAAAACTAGTTATCATTAGAAAATACCTTTACAAAGAATTTTAACTAATTTTAGTTTTAAGATACATTCCAATTTCCAATGGACAACTTAAAATACTTTAAATAATGTATGATTTTAAATTATAATAAAAATTTATCATTCCCTGTGTTAAGGTTTACGCTTCACTAGGTTCTAACAATACTAACGTTTCACTTTTTGTGGTTACTTTTAAAAATTTTCAGCATTACTACTTGCTTCTACATTGCGTGGCAGTTGTTCCAGATATCTTCTCATGATCCTGCTTACCTTATTTTGGTGCGTCATGGTGACAGGCAAGTACATAGCACTTGTTTCTTTTTATTTTTTAACATTTGTATTGGAACTGAATCCTTTAACTGTTAAAGAAGTTAGTTTTTTAGTCTCACTGATACTTGAGACTTATCCCTGGTTAACTCACCGTTCTAAGGTTTAACAGTTAACGGAAGAATGATGTTCATCCAATCTTTGTTTGCATAACCTGTTTATAGTTTACTTAGAAACGTTATTGTTATATATGATAGGCCAGAAAACAAATATAATGGGCTTTCTGACGAGGCAGCATAGCAATGTTTTTCATGAACCAAATACAATAAAGGTTCATGCGGCATGTTCTTGTGAATCTCATGTGGATTGACTGGCTTTAGCATCTATTTCTCTGCAAACACTACTAGTTCTCTTGTAATTTTGGTGGTTACGTATTTTTAAGACCTAAATGGAGCAACCTGCATTAAGAGTATGAAACAATGTACTTGATGATATAATTCAAGAACATCTTGATTGCTCTTACAGTTTGTAACACAAATTTATGTTTGAAAAAATGGTTGGTGGATATGGGTTACCGAAGATACTGCAGCCTCAATTGCACTATTATGGGATTGAAGACTTCTTCAATTCTTGAAACCCGAGGGAATAGGTAATAGAAGAGAACTAGATAGTTGCGAAAACAAAGAAAACGAAAAAGTGGTCTACATAAATGCAACGATTTTAAAACTTATTTTCTTTAATATAAGGGTGCTTGGCTAAACAACTTAGTTTAGTCCTTATTTAATAACTTTTTATTAGATAAGGTTTATACCATAACTGTGAAACATATTAATATTAGTTAAAAGAAGTTTATAATAAGGTACATTAAAAAGTTTATTGAAACAAAATTAAAAATGATTTATAAGAATCACAAACTTTTTTAATAATCTCAAATAAATCCTTAATATGCTTTTTCAAATACCAACATTTACAAAACAAGTGGTTCTGATTACCCAATTATAATTAAAAAATTCCATACAATACACTGTATAGTGTGTGCATTTCAATGCCACCCACTATTTCTTCTCCCATGAATCAGGACCTATGTTACTAAGTAATTGGTTTAGTTCTGCTTGTGTATAAAAACACACACTTGGTGTTAAAATCATGCACCGTGCCATGTCCTCCTTTTAAATTGCTGAAGAAAATTCAAAGCAGAAGAGTTTAACCTACCAACTCATAATTTCTTTCTTTATATTTCCGTTGTCACTGTTTCCTTATTTTTTTGGGGTGGAGTGAAAAGAAGTTTTGTAATAGGAAAATGTTAACTAAAGTGGTAATTTTATTATAAAAAATTATTTATTATCTTGAGAATATGAAGTGCAATAAATGTTAATTTTTTAAACAAAAACTTAACTGTTTATACGTGTTTGAGCTCATCCTTAAAAATTGAGATTAGTAGTAGTACTAGTTAAGAAGAACTCCAGTTAATTGTTTTGAAATTCCACGAAATTGTTAAAGAATTATGACTTTAATTCTGAAAACATTTCCAAGAATAAAAAAAATTGTAAGTAATTGTATAAATTTCAAGTTCTAGTAAACTCTAATTCCGTGCTTAATTCTACGCATAAATGAAGCATTTAATGTATATATATTTGAAATATTCCTTGAAAAAAAAAAACTTGTAGGTTAGGATTTATTGATAGTGATATAAAATTTGACACACGTAATTCAATAACATTAAAATAAAAGTGGTCAATCACTTAAATACTTTATTTATACTTAATTATAACATTAATTTTGGATGATAAGTTTGTTAATATCAACATTTTTAATTTATTTTAAGCATATAAAAGTAGAAAATTTTATTAAAAAATATATTTATTACATTAAGATACAAAAGTAGTATTTTTAATATATTTTATTATTATTAATTACTTAAGTTCAATTTTAGAGGTTGAAGTTAACATTTTCTTTAAAAAAAAGGATTTAGCTTTTATTTTCGTAACATCATTTTGTTTTTTTACCCCTAAAAACCTCGAAACATGTTCACTCTCCCTATAACCCGATTCCTTCCTTCTTAGGTAAATTTAGGACAAAAGCCAGTTAAATGTGGGTGTCCAATTTCTTGATCTAGAAGAAAAAACCATAACAACCCCTTCAATACACTGAACCATATATTCCAATTATTCTGCTCATGATAAACATTTTGACTAATATATTTCAATGCCACCCACTATTTCTTCTCCCATCAATCATGGTATCTGTTATTGGGTAATTGTATTAGTTCCACTTTTGTGTATAACACCATGTCATGTCCTCCGTTTAAATTTCTAAAGAAAATTCAAAGCATAAGAGTTAAACCTGCAAAGTCATGATATCTTTCTTTATATTTTCAATGTCACTGTTTCCATCACCACCATTTTGTACCAAAGCCGTGATTGCTAATATCAATTTCCCGTTATTAACTGAGACATTTGCAGCTAAAATCTCAGCTTGGTGCTTGGAGAACAACTTTAAAATTATTGTGATCAAGCCCGGTCGTGTCACCGATTGAATACCAAAGAAGGCCACATTGCTAGAAACACTAACCGTCATCATTATTAGTTATTTTGATTCTTTTTTTCTGCAATGATGGATTTCAAGCATGTTTATGAATGTAAACACTAAAATAAAACCCATTTTCATGCTTAAAATTATAAGTCCTTGTGTGACTGTCTCATTTTAAAGGACAAGCCTGTCTCATCTTGAAGGACAAGCACATGCTCCTTAATTTTCTCCTTTGTTTGTTCTTAGTTATTGCTTTTTGTAACCTTCTCTATAAGGAGTGGATTTATTTGGAGCCCTAGTTCCATTTTCAAGCTTTCAACCATTTTAGTTCTCAACGAGTTAGAAAGCCAAGAAAAAGAAAACTAAGGAAAATTGATTGTAAAATAAAACTTCAAGTCATCTTTTTTAAATTTGTATAAGTTAGATTCTAGTTCTTGAAATTTTAAACCATCTCGTGGTCCTTAACTTTATATAAAAATTAATTTTAGTCTTTTGAAAAAAAGTTGCTATTGTTCTGCACTATAACATTTTATTTAATAATTGTAAATTAGAAAATTTTATATAATTAAAATATTTAATATTTTATTAATCAACTTTACTTTATAGTATATATATCACAATATTATATATTTAAGAATATTTTATTTATCATGGCTGGTAACATATAAATACGTGTCACGTGTATATATCAAATGTGTGTGTGTGTATGTAGGATCTAAGTCTTCTTTGGATGAATTGTTGCATAAGGATGCATTTAAGATTGGGCTTAAAGTTCGGCTTCCTAAATCAAGTTTTGGTTTATGTGGGCCTACAAACTTTTTGTGCAATAATAATAATAAAATATTATATTATTTTACAAGTAATTGAAATTAAATCGAAATATATCTTTTATTAGAATAATTCAATTTTATAGTTTAATAATTTTTGCATTCTTGTTTAACTAAAAAATTTGCATCAAACCCATTTTAAAATAAATTTTGTTACATATTTTACCGGTTTGAATTCATAGGTTAAATTATTATTATTTTCACTCAGTGCATCGATCTGAGAATTATTTCGAAAGATTTTATCTAATTTTCAAAGTTATTGATTCAGAAAAGTTGTACCCTTTTATCTAACTTATTTATTTGGTCAAAATTTAACTTTCCCTTGTTTTTAAAATTAATTTTTATTCACTGTTATAAAGAAGGTGATTATCTATATCCGAAATTTGATGCAGTTGAAGCACATAGATAAAGAAACAGATTATCTAACTCTCTTCTCTTATTTGAACAAGAAAAAGGAAAATCGTCCAAATTAGCAGAAAGAGAAAATAACACAGTACACATACACGTGATTTCATTAAACCTATCATTATTTCAGTGTAAATATTAAGTAAATATTAAGTAAGAGAAAATTAGTTTTTAAAATAAAATATTGTTAATCTCAGCCTCTAAAAATAAACAATCAATAATAGTAAAATTTTATTAAAAAATATTCATTGTATTTTTATAATTTTAATATAATAAGTATATATTTTGTTTATAAATATATTTTATCTTTATAAATGCTTAAATTTAGTTCTTAAAGGTGAGGTTAACAAAATCTTTTAAAATAATAAAATATAATACAAATTTTAATTTTTTAATTATAAAATATTGTCTTAATTTTTTAATTTAATTTTTTGTTAATTTAATCTTAATTGAATCAGTTAAATTTAAAATTTTGATAAATAATGAATTGTAACAAAACTGAAATATCGCAATAAATTAAATAAAAGAAATGCTAATAACATACCATAAATTTTAATTAATAATATTAAGTGTACGCATTAAATGATTTAATAAAAAAGCATCCTAAAGTACCGGCTTCCTGTAAAATTAAAAGTGGATCTTATACTTTTTTTTTATATAAATTTGTCAGTTATATTATTTTAATATTTTAAATTTAAAAATATTTACAATTTTTAGATAAATTATTAGTCTTTATTAATTATGATACATATTTTTTTAATATAACATTGCCAATAATAATTATATTACGTATAAATAAAATAAAATACTCTCTTAATCTTGTTACAAAAAAAATATATATTATGAAAAGTGAGAGATTTCCGCACATTACCTTACGAATCGGGAGCTTTCACAGTAAGGTACGTACTGATATTTCCATCTTTATTTTATTTTATTAAAAAATAAACATTTTATTTTATAAAAAAATAATATTATTTTGCACACACGAAAATTCTTATAAAATAATTAGTTATCCATCACTAAATTTTGAAGATAATTTTTTTACCATCCATTTTTTATTTTACTTCAAAAAAGGTATTAAGTTTATGAAAAAAATACATTATCAAATTATAAAATAAAAATACTTTAAATATTTAAAAAAATATTAAATGATGTTCTTAAGTTAATGATAGAAAATTAAAAATATGATAATGCAATACCTTTTAAATATAATTCAAAATAAAAATTTAAGCAATAAATTTTGTTTTCTATTTCATTTATTGTTTTTTTAAAAAACAAATTATTAATTATAATTTTTTCTATCAGGAATGAATAAAATCACGTGACATAAGTTTTGCTATTTTTAAGGTGAAAAGATATCGTCACGATATTTGTGAAATTTATAAAATTTTGACCGCGTGTTAAAATTTTACAAATTTTATATTTATAACGATAAAATTTATTTTGAAAAATAAAAAAATAAAATTTGATTAACAGAAATAGCAAAATTTATGCCACTTGGTCAGATTCATTAAAAATAAAGAATTAGTTTTGAAAAATTATAATTTAATAATTTATTTAAATAATAATATTGAAATAAAAAAGCCCAATAAAGATAGAGTAAGATTTATTTATTTTTACAGAATATATGACACCTTTGGAAATAAATATTTAAAAAAAAAACAAAAAAAACAAAAAAGGTGCACGTCATCTCTTCGGAAACGGCAATATAATAGGTAGGAAACAAGACTTTGAACGCATATATAAGCCCAATTCTTCGTCTTCTGAACTTCCCTCCTCTTTTGTTCTTTATTTCCAGAAAAAAAGAAAAATATTTTCCTAAAAAGAAAAATAATATCCAAAATTATAAAAGATCGGTCGTTACTTAATTGTTTTAACCTAGATATCCATCCACTCATAAAATCACACTCCTCATTCTTTTTTTCTCGTCTTCAGTTATTTTTTTCCTTCAATTTTTGTTTTTTCTCAGAAGAGTGAATGGCAGCGGCGATTTCTTCACCGATGATTCAGTCTGCGGGAACAATGGCTCCCGCCTCGAATCTGACAGCATTGGGCGGAGGGACATTCGCGAATGCATCGCTGTATGTTGGCGATCTCGAAGGGAATGTGAACGAGGGACAACTTTTTGAACTGTTCGGTCAGGTGGCGCAGGTGGTCTCGATTAGGGTTTGTAGGGATCAGACCAAGCGATCCTCTCTCGGTTACGCATACGTCAACTTCGGCAATGCTCAGGATGGTTCGTGTTTCTTTTTGTCGTTAATTTACGTTTTTTTTTTTTTCGTAAAATTGCAAATCTATGTGAATACTTCTGATTTACTACGTACATTTGTTGATTTTGTTGTTTTTTTTCTTATAAAAAAGAGAACAGTCAATTTAAAGTGAGTAAAAAATAGGGATTCTGAATTTATATCGTTGTAATCAAAATAATATTTTACTGAATTTTGTTTTCATGCGAGGGTAATAGGAGGGCAATGTTGGGTAGAGGCTGTTTTTTGTATCGTACATGATATTCATTATGATATTCGATAATTAGATAGGTATTTGTTACTAGTACTTTAAGCTACTATGGGTTAGCTATTGATGTAAGAGGTTTGACTGTTTGAGCCTGATTTTGAAACCCCTATGATCTCTTTACAGAAGAGAGTTATTTACTGTTTTATTGCAACTGTGCATTCTTTATTTCTCCTGACTTTTGGTAATTATATCACAGCGGCAAATGCCATGGAACTGCTGAACTTCACTCCTCTGAATGGGAGACCCATTCGAATTATGTTTTCTCAACGAGATCCTAGCATTCGGAAAAGTGGATATGGCAATGTGTTCATTAAGAACCTGGACACATCAATTGATAACAAGGCATTACATGACACTTTTGCTACCTTTGGCAATGTCCTTTCTTGTAAGGTGGCTCTTGACAGCAGCGGCCAGTCAAAAGGACATGGCTTTGTTCAGTTTGACAATGAAGAGGCTGCCCAGAATGCAATCAAACAGCTGAATGGTATGTTAATTAATGATAAACAAGTCTATGTTGGACTCTTTGTTAGGCGCCAAGAAAGGGCTCCTACAAATGGATCACCAAAGTTCACTAACGTGTACGTGAAAAATTTTCCTGAGACGTATACTGACGAGGACCTGAAGCAGCTATTTAGCCCTTATGGTACAATAACCAGTGCCACTGTTATGACAGATATGAATGGAAAATCTAGATGTTTTGGTTTTGTAAATTTCCAGAGTCCAGATTCTGCGGCTGCTGCAGTTGAGAGGTTGAATGAAACTACCATGAATGATGATAAGGTTTTGTATGTGGGGAGAGCTCAGAGGAAAGCTGAAAGAGAGGCTGAGTTGAAAGCCAAATTTGAGCAGGAAAGAATTAATAGATTTGACAAATTAAAAGGTGCTAATTTGTACTTGAAAAATCTCGATGACAGCTTCAGTGATGAAAAGTTGAAAAATCTATTTTCTGAGTTTGGAACTATAACGTCTTGTAAGGTATGAGACGAGTATTCTGGTTGTATGTCTATTTATCTCTCTATTTGTATTATATTGCATCCTTGCTTGAGTGTACCTCGAACGTTCAATTAGCCTTTTAACTTGTTGGTTTTATTATCATTACTTGAGTGAATGAAGTTATATATTGAATATATTAGGTAATGCTTGATTCACATGGGCATAGCAAGGGATCTGGTTTTGTGGCCTTTTCTTCTCCCGAAGAAGCAACTAAAGCTGTGAGTGGTTAATTCTTTTGGTTCAAAAAGGTGTGGCTAACTTTGCTTTGTTCCTTTTCATATTGGATCCCTGAGCTTTTTATTATCTTTTGTTCAGTTGAATGAAATGAATGGAAAGTTGTTGGGAAGGAAGCCTTTGTATGTTGCTGTGGCACAGCGCAAAGAGGAGAGGAAGGCTCGTCTACAGGTGATGCCCTTCCCTAATCTCAATGTTCTGACCTGATTTATATATAGCCCGATTACTTCCTTGTGAAAGTAGCTTATAGTAAGTGGGTTTGTTTTAACTGCATTTGTTGAAATCTTCACATGCGCTTTTTTATGTATTATTAACAAGGTTTGTTCTAATTTTCTTTTCTGGGTTATTTGAGTTTTGCTATTTTGCAGTACTTGTGCCAATCCTTACTGTGCTTAGGATTTTGACATTTTATGTCCCTTACAAAAAAGAGTGTTTTACTGTTGTTTTTATTATTTTCAAGCATAGAGAATATCGGTTGTTTGATTTTATTTAATTTTTCATTAAACTTGATTGATGGGATAACAAATTGATTCTCTTGCAGGCTCACTTTGCTCAAATCCGATCACCTAATGGAATGACACCTCTGCCCACAGGAATTCCTGGATATCATCCTGGCACACCAAGACTTGCCCCTCAACAGATGTATTATGGTCAAGGCACACCTGGCTTCATTCCACCACAGCCTGCTGGATATGGTTTCCAGCACCAAATCTTGCCTGGAATGCGGGGCGTTGCTCCAAATTTCATTATGCCTTACCAACTTCAGAGGCAGGCTCAGCCAGGACAGAGGATGGGATTTCGAAGAAATGGAAATCTTCAACAAGTGCAGCAAAACCAGGTAATTATTCTATAGTCTAAGAAGTTTGTGCTTTTAATAAATAATCTTATTATTTTATCACAGTTGAAAACAACTTAACATTTGGCAACAGATGCTACATCGCAACTCCAACCAAGGGTATAGATACATGGCTACCAGTAGAAATGGCATGGACCCATCTTTAGTTCCTCAAGGTCTTGGGGCTCCAATGATGCCGATGACCTTTGATGGTTCTGGAGTTGCTGCAACTTCTAATGATAATCAGCATCCAGGAGCAGTGTCTGCCACACTTGCCTCTGCTTTAGCCTCTGCCACCCCGGAAAATCAACGCATGGTATATATAAATAGGTTTTTTGTATAGAATTAGGACCAGTATTATATTTTTCACAGGGAACTGGCATTTTGGTATCTGAAAATTTTCTTCTCTCACAATTCACTCATATTGTTTCAGATTATAGTATTGTTTACTCCTTAAATTATTTTCATGTTAGTCCTTCTACTACTTTCTTCAGTGGGAACAAGCAAAATGAGTTTTAAAATTTAGAGGACAAACTGCACTCACAAAATAAATCAGGGATTATTTTACATTTCTTGCAGTTTAGTTTGTAACTACAAGTATTGTGACATTTTATTGAATTGATGAAGATTGTTGGGTGAGAAATGTAATCTTTGATTTGTATTTTGGTTTAAATTAACAGATGTTGGGTGAACATTTATATCCTCTAGTGGAGCGTCTTACAACAAACCAATATACGGCAAAAGTGACAGGGATGTTGCTTGAAATGGACCAATCAGAGGTAATACATCTGATTGAATCTCCAGAAGACCTGAAGATAAAGGTATCAGAGGCAATGCAGGTCCTGCGTGAAGCTGCATCAGGGACTGAAATCAGTGATCAACTTGGTTCAATGTCTTTAAATGAATAAAGTAATCACTGGTAGATGTGTTGCGTTCGATCATCCGTGAGCAGCACTTTTTTGGACCTAGTATTCTATAGAGTCTTCTGAAATTTTAACTTTCAGTGGGATCACTTTTTCTTTTTGCGAGAATATTGATTTGAGTTGACATGGAGGGATCCAGGGATTTGTTTTGGTAGTTTTTTTTAGCATCTTAATGATTTTAGTATTTTCAGACTTATAATTATATTTATCTTGACAACAATTTTGTTTTTCCATTCCTTTTGTTGTTTAAAATGGAATTGTGCTTTAATTTTTTATTGGGAAATTCCAACTGACGCCACCTTCTTGCTAGAAAGAATGTGAGGTTGAAATATATTCAAATATGTTACAGATCATGATTTGAAGACAGTTACTTGCATGCAATGTGAACAATTTTTTTAATTATTATTATTATTATTACACATCAAAATTTATCTTACAAATTTTAAAATAAACAAGTATATAATCTTCTGAAAATTCTCATAATTAGTTGTTTAGAATATATTATAAATTAAAGTATTTCATAAAAAAATTTATATCCATAACTGATGGTTTTAGTTATTAGTTTAATAGAACATTTTTATGACATCATATAAAGTATATTAATTGGTATTTTAGAAGTATATATACAGTAGTTCAAGAGAAAAAAAGTGAGAATTAAAACAAAATTGTGATCAAAATTAAAGAGTATTTTACAAATATCAAAATTATACTTATTCAATATTATTAATAATTAATTTGTATTTCCTGTTATAAATTCATATTAACAGATAATAATAAAATAATTATGATTAATTGTAAAATTTTTTATAAAAATATAAATCTATACTATTTTAGTTATTAAAATTTTGTATACCGTCACTCATTGTGGATTGTCATTTAAGTAAAATTATCAATTTTTATAATAATTAATATAAAATTATATCTGATATATCTTAATTACTTGATTATATAAAAAAATTGAACATCAACAATGTAAAAGAGGTAAAAGTGTAAAGAAATTTACAACAAAAAAATGTTTAATAGTGGCTGCTGAAAGAACATTCGCGTAATATACTATAACGAGTATTACCTAAAAACTTTTCTTGTGACTGTAAATTTTAAAGGGGTTATTAAAATAAATAAAAACAGAATGGAACGGGTAATAATATTGAGAAAAACCCTAACGTGTGTAGTGTGTAGTGTGTAGTGTGTAGGTGGTGGATGCAAAGCAAGGCCTCCCCATTCACTCTCTTGACAATGCATTCCCACATAGAGAGAATCCTGTGGAGCGAGGACCAAATTTCTCACCGAGTCTCTGAACTCGCCGCCCAAATCGCCGGCGACTTTAACGCCCGTTCTTCTGTGCCCGTGGTCGTCGGTGTGGCCACCGGCGCATTTCTCTTCTTGGCCGATCTCGTTCGCAAAATCGAACTCCCCATCGCCGTTGATTTCGTCCGAGCTGAATCCTACGGTTCCGGAACCGAGTCCAATGGCGCACCCACCATTTCCTTAGATTTGAAGGTCGACATCAACGCTCGCCACGTTATCTTGGTATTCCCCTTCTTTACCCTTTACTCCACGCTACGCCACTGCTTTTTAATAGTGTTATCGGACCACAGAGTTTATATATAATTTTAAAGTGTTTTAGTGATGTTTTTCAATTAAAATTTGAGTTTTATTTAAATATTTTTTAATAATTTTAAATGTGAATTTTTATTCAAATAACATTTTGATTTCAATGAAGAATAACCCTAGAAATAAAAGGTAAACTTAAACTTTATGTGATTTTGGATTGCTGCAAGTTTTACTGAGCTTTAAGTTTTTATTTTTGTCTTCTATTAATTAAAAATTATTTGATGTTTGGATATTGAATGAAATTTGTATATTACATGTGCATGTGTTTTATCATAATGTCAAGCCTTAGCTTTGTTTTATCCTCTGAAGTGCTCAGTCAAAAGGCGTTTATGTTTTTTGGTCTACTATAACTGTAACTGATTATTTTATGCTTTCGTTTCAGTTGGGTCAAAAACATGTCATTTGGAATCAAAAGGTAAAGTTTTCTATTAAAATAAGCGTAACATTGTTATTGTCTCAAAAAGAGTGAGGTTTCAAAAGGAAAGTTCACTTTTAAAAATAAATAAATAAATAAAATTGCATTTTGTAGTTTTAATCTCTGATTTACTTATTTCTATTTCTTTTTAATTACTTCTCTTGTTATTGTATTTTTTTCTCCCTCCTTTCTTTGCTAGCCCAATATATGTATTACACACCTTTTAAAATTGATAATTAGGTTGAAGACATTGTAGATACTGGACACACTTTATCCAAGGTCATTGCATACTTGAAATCAAAAGGAGCTTCCTCTGTCTCTGTGTGCACATTCCTTGATAAACCTGCAAGGAGAAAAGTTAATTTTCAACTGGTGGGTGAAGGGAAATTCTATCGTGGATTTGAGGTATGATGCTCTAACTGCTTTATTCGTCCCTTTTTTTGTTTTGGGGTTGTGCTATTTTTTTCTGCAGTCCAATACATGCCACATCAGCTTTGGCCACGATGTCTGAGGAGTGAGGGACCTCCTAAAACTTTTGGAATTAAGTTGCAACTTTGATTTGTCATTTTCATAATTTCTTTGACTTCTATTAACTGATTTTCCTCTCATTTTCATGCTTATTTACTTGACATTTTCATAAGCCAAATTATTGAATAGAAATACAAAAGAAAAGGGCTCTATTGGTTCCCATATCAACGTCCACTTAACTTTTGAGGTGGAAGTGTATTTTAGTTATGTTGCAGTTATGATCATTTTTGTTTTCAAATTTTCTGCTGTGGTTGATTCTTTATTTCACATGAATCTCAATAAGCAGTGTGAGTTAAAGTGATATCTACTGATTCTGTTTACATATTTTTGGTATGCAGTGTCCAGACTATTTTGTTGTAGGTTATGGAATGGATTTTTCCGAACTGTATAGAAATTTGCCTTACATTGGTGTCTTGAAGCCTGAACACTACAAGTGATCGTATGTTTCTTAGTTGTCACTGGTCACACGTGGAACCTTGAAGTATTAAATATGGTTTTCTATGTTTTTATATCACTCATTCTTCCGATTATTACACTTGATTCATGGAATGAAAAGCTGATAGAAACTAGAAGAAGAGAATAAGATGCATTTGATGTGCGCTTTCCATGGCTATAATGCCATTATAAATTCTTCAGAACTTCACAGTTTCATTTTTCTATTATCATATTTGATCAACGTGACAGTGCGATACTTGCACTAACTGATAACAGTTCTAAATTTAATATTAAAGAAATACAGAGGACTTGGATGTAATCAAAGACTTTTTTATGCTTTGCACTGTCTTTTGTTCTTTTTACCTCCGGATTCTTATTTTTTCTTTTTTAATGTGTGACATGTGGTTATTGAAGAATTCAAATAACTTTCGCGTGTGAACAAAAGATATTAAGAGTAGATTAGTATTGAGAGATGTGAATAATTTATACAAGGAAAATGATTGTTAATAGACTCAATACAAGTCAAAAGCAAAAATTTATTAGTGACAATTGTTTTGCAACTGTTTCGAAAACCCAAATACCCGAACCCACCTTGAATGGTTACTAGTTTCCGTTGCTGGGCAAGAATTTGTCATCTTCTTACTAAGACTTTTTACTCACATTAAATGAATTTTTTTCCTCTTTTTTGTGAGAGTTTATTCGAACTTTTCATTTTTTATTATTTTTTTCTGTGTCTTTTCTGTCCTGTTATTTTCCTTTTGATTCTCTAAAACTTCATTAAATTTCCTATACGAGAAAAGAATGTAATTTTATGTTTGATTTTGACTTCGGTGTGTTCAGTTTTCACTGTTAAGTTGTATTTATATTTGGATATGTACGTGTGCTTGATTATTTTTTTTCAATGTATCTACTACACATTATTGTAATGCTTTGTGATTTTATATCCTTGCTTTTTTAAGTGTTCTTGGACTGAGTGACGCATGTTTTGAATATAACGATTAAAATATTATATTTATTCTACTATATATTAGATATATTCTAATTGCAACATAATGTGAATAACTCTATTTTTTACTTTATACAAGAGATATACTTCAAATACATTATATTCTTCGAAAAAAAAGCGTACATTACATTTTTGGTGGTTGATAACCATTGTTTTTATCACGTTTGAAAATTTTAAATCCGCTTCTATTTTTGGGCGCTGCTTTAATTTGAATGATAGCATAGACTGTTGGAAGAGCTAAACTAATATTTATCGCTTTGCTTTATTCGATTGAGAAATACATTTATGTTATGTAGACTAGGAAGACACTGGTATTATATAAGTTGTGCTTTACACGCATAAACACTGAAATAGGTGCATGGTGGAAATATGCAATCTTATGTTCTATTTGGAGTTAGAATCAGTCCTGGTTTCCAAATATGCTCTGTAGATGTTTGTTAATCATTTGCAAATTGCTTTGATCACGATAGCAATGACCCCAAATTGTATATGGATAACATGATGCTTTAAGGAAAATTCGCGAAGAACATGTCTTTGCCCTACAAATATCGTAACCAACAATTAATCATTATTGTCTAAAATAAAAATAAGGCAATGAAGAAAGGATTTAAATAATTAATATATTAAAAAAATTAAGATATTATCGACGTGGTATTCAAGTGATTGAGCGAATTATTGGTAAATTGTGAATTAAAGTTAATGTAATTTTTAGAATTTTTTGTTGGAAAATTTGTAAAATGTTTAAAAAAAATTAGACTAGTTGATAGAATGACAAGAGTTATATTATTTTCAAAATAAATTTTCATAAGATGACCACTGGCCTCAAGCTACAACGTTTTTGTTTTTTTTTTTTTATCTTAAAGCAATTTGGGCAGAGATGAACAACATTTCAATCCAACTCTAACAAAATTGAAGTTTTCCCACATGATCATCCACACTAAGTAATAGATCCCTTACCATCACGTTGTCCATATACACCAGTATTGTGGGCCATTGCATATATCTATCGTGATCAAAGCAATTGCTAACAAAGTTCTACATTGCTTCCTTTGAAACCAGGGCTAATTCTAACCCCAAATAAAAAGTAAGATTGCATATTTCCACTAGGCCACTGAAACCTTTATATTGATAGGTGGGAAAAGCTGTTTCAAAAGATATTTTTGCCAAATCCCTAATCCTTGTCTTGGCAATCACAGCTACGAAACAAGACCTAATTTTTCCAACAAAATGATTCGTAACTTTGTGAATTCAAAAGCTAGTTTTAGTCTTGCAAGTGCAAATTAAATTATGTGAGTCCACTATTGCAACACTAGGAATTCTTTCCTATTTCAGTGTTTATCCTGTAAAAGCACAACTCATATAACACAATTGTCTTCCCACCAGATAACATAAATATATTTCTGAATCGAATAAAACAATGCTATAAATATTAGTTTAGCTCTTATAAAGCAGTGACTTCCAACATTCTATGCTATTATTCAAATTAAAGCAGCGCCCAAAAATTCTGAAGAAAGGTACACTTGTTTTAATCAGATATCCTATAAGGAAAGAGTTCACAAATGTAACCTCAAATTTGAGGTGAAAACAAACTTTCATGGTAAACATGCACATCCAACCCAAGTTTGTCCCAAATCCTAGGATAATCGAACCTACCATCATTTGAGTTATACAGAACTAATTTGGGAGGTGTAGTTCTCAACAGAACAACACCATTTTCCGAAATGCACAAAGGGTCCAAGGAGAAATAATACCATCCAGACCCAATGTCAGGTATTATCATCAATTTAGTCCAAGACTCATGAACCCCATACTCCTTCATCAGCCACAATGCCCAGTGAGCTTTCTTGGAATCAAGCAAACAAAAACAAAGACAGTCACGAATGACATTAAGCGTGGAAATGAAATCTTTGTCGTGGCCCCCATCAGGCAGCAATACTTCACCATAACTCTCCTTTCCCAGATCAAAGAAAAGAACCATCCATTGATCTTTGTTAAGAACACCTCCCCAAGTTATCCAATTCAGAGTTCCACTCACAAATTTTCCTAACCTACTATAAGCATTACGACAAGGGAAATTCTGAATCACTGTCCAAGAATTTGAACTGAAGTTAAATATTTTTGTCACATATATGCGCTCACCATCCACAACTATAAACAACTTGTACTTGTCATTCACGTGATCGTAACCAAAACCATGACAAGTAACATCATCAAGAGAAACACGGTTTGGCATTCTTTTGGATCTCAATCTGGTAGAAGGGTTCCATAATATGATATTATCTTCATTAGGGTCATGCATACACAGTAACCCATTGCAAGAACCTAGAATTTCGAAGCAGTGACTCATCCAACAGGTAAGACCTTTGATAGGGATTGATGGGTTCTGAAACAGAGACTGCACAGAGAAAAATTCGATTTTGAAGCGGTCGTAAGGGACGGAAGAGACCAATCGTTGGTGGGTCATGTTTGAATCCGCGGTTGAGGTGCGAAGGTGGTCCTTCGCAAATTGGGAATCGGAGATTAGGGTTTTCCAAGATTTGCATACGCACATGAATTGCAGAAGGGATCTCACCGGAAGCCGAAGAAGGATTTCGAAGATGAGATCCTGGGGGAGTACTGGCGATCGCTGGCACGCCGGAGACTCATCGCCGGCGGGAGAATGAAGTTTAGACATCTTGGCGGGAGTTTCGAGTATCGATTTAGTAAAACGTTATCGTTTTGGTAGTGCTGGCAACGTATCCTCTTGCCAAATTGTACTTGCATTATATACATATATACACACACTTGTGTGTGTGAGAAAAATAATTAAGCATAATATGATAAAAAAAATTATTATTCTGAATTTTAAAAACAATATAACTCGTTTCAATTGGATGCTTTTAAAGAAGAATAAAATAAATCGATATTTTATTTATTTACTTATAACACTCAAACGTTCAATACCAATTTTATTAAAGAAGAATAAAATTAACAGATATTCTAATTTTTTTAGATATTTTTAAATTTCAATCTTTTAAAATATATTCTTTGTATTTAATGTAAATAATATGTATTTTGTATCTTACTAATATTCCAAAATTTTAATTTCTAATAAAATATATTTTTTAAATTACATGAAATATAATTGAATAATTTTATACCGTTTGACTTTTGAGCATCCACCTATTGTGGATTGAACTACTTATTTTAAAAGATAAAATAAATTTACTATATTAACTTAGGAGATGTATGTCATGCACAAAGTTATTTATGTTTGAAGTAGTGCACCCATGCTCTTGTAAAATTACCTATTGTAACATGTTTTAAAATTTATCATATTTTTATTTTTATTTTTATTAGGTTTTATAAGTTAAAAATTGTTAGATGTTAAAATTCTAGAATAGATCTTTTGTTTGGCATCTCTAATATATGTTGTTTAAGTTCTTCGACATGGATTACTTTAGCCGTAGTAAAATGGGTTAACTCCTCTCCTTTTGAATCTCTAAAGATTATTAAAACAAGTAACTCATGCTGCTTCTATGGGAGTTTTACATGTTTAAGAAATTAGAAATTAAAAAATTAAAAATTAAAAATAGAAAATGTATCAAATACTTTTTTATATAAAATAATTATTTTTTAAATTTAAATTTAAAGTTTGAAATCTCATAATATTTTCAAATATTTTATTGAATATGATAAAATATTAATAATTATTATTATATATTTAAAATTTCTTAAATTTAAATATTTTTAAACAATATATTCTAAATTATTTATGTAAAAACTTATTTAAATTTTTTTATTATGTATCTTCTTACTACTTGATTCACTAATAACCAGTTAATATACTCTATTAAATACTTTGAATTATTTTTATACATTAAATATTTGTTATAATTATAAAATAATAAATATTAACTTAATTTTTTAACATGTATTTTTATGTACATTAAAAAATAAAATAACACTTGTATAATATACCAAAAAACTATTAATTGAAATAAAATAAAAATATTAGAAAAAAAAATTCTAAATTCTTGTAAACATTAAGTAATTTTTTAACTCGCTCAACAAGAATAATCTCTAACTAAAAATTGGATAATTATCGCAAATTAATCAAATATTCTAAATAAATCAAGGTTCTAGTCCTATTATCGAAAGAGGAAAAAAAAAAAAAAACCCTTAACCTTGGACTGTTAGACACGTACTCGAATCACATTGCTATGTATGTTTGAAGACTGAGAGTTCCTTGCTTACTCTATCTCTTCCTGTCGCCGCTGCAACTTCAACTTGTTGTTTCTGTGAACACGATAGGATGAATCGACGCGCGAAGCTTTCCCTCTGCAACGTGTTCTTCAGAATCAGACACCCTTTTCGTCAATCTCCAATACCCACTTTCCAGATCATTCCCTTTACTCCATCGACCCAAGTCGTGCCAACCTCAAAGTTCCACTCTTTTTCCAATATCATGAGTACCCACTTGGCGATTCGTCACAATCTAAGGAGTTTCAGTGGTGGGTCTAGCGAGTTGGATCAGACCAAGGAGGTGGACACCATCAACCTCAAGTTTGCAGAAGCAAGGGAAGAGATAGAGATGGCCTTGGAGTCCAAAGACACCGTTTATTTCGATGAAGAAGCCGAGTGTGCCCGTGCTGCCGTCAATGAAGTTGTGGGCTTGTTCGAGGAGTTGTTGGCAAAATTGCCAGAGAGGGAAAGAGGAGCTTTGCAAAGGTCTATGGGTCTCAAAATTGAACAATTGAAGGCTGAACTTCAACAATTGGATGAGTAGGAGATTTTATTGTTTGATGGTTGTGAGTTATGCTAGTCAATTTTTCCAACTCTAGAAAATTTTAGCTGACACAATTATATTAGGGTGTTTTATTGGCTGTAATTTTGAATAAATGCATTAGAATTCGGAAGCCACAATTTTATGACCTGTTCTGTTTGTAGGGATTGATTACTCAAGTTCTTTTATGTTGTTATTCTTTTTGCATTTCCACTAGTTTTATTATTGGTTTAATGTGACATTCATTTGCATTCTGTCCACTTTAGGTTTTTCTGATAGTTATTAAACAGGTGAAGGAACACATTGATTGATATGTTTATAAAACTACTGGAAATAGAAAGTAACAATCAATATACTCAAGAATGCCCTTAATATAAAAGCTAACATAGTGACAATTGTTTAACAAATAGTTTAGAACTTGTAGAATGACCCCAATTAATATTATAGGCAATGAAACTAGATAAACATTATTGCAATTTGATATCGAAGTAGGGAAACAGTTCATAGATAGTACTACCTTGGATGAATATACCCAGAGAGATAGAAAGAGAAGAGTAATAGATGTGATATGGATATAATGTGACATAAAGAGAAATGAGTAGTGCTAATTGGTGTTGATAATGTTGGAATGTTCATAAATCAGAATTAAATAAAATAACATCAAAATCAAAGAGACTTCATATGGTAATAGTATATCCATGAGATCCTTCTCAGTTTTATTGTGTCCATTCAATTCAAGAAGCAATTCAGGTCGGTGCTTGCAGTAATCAATATATATGGGCAAGCATTCCAGCCATGGTATTCCTATACTTTTTAATCCATAGGAAAGGGTCTTGCTCTCCAGATTTTAATGAAGAATCCAGTGGAGACAAGAGAGGATGCAAAGCAGGATTAGGTTGTGTCACCAGCAGCAGCAATAGTATCATTTAGGTCATTCCTCAATACACAAAACTAAAGCTGTTGTTACATATTATCTCTTAGTCCTGCCCAATGGAGGTTGTCACTGCTTCCAATAGCCAGCTTGGCCTCTCCTTTTACTTCTTAATTATCTCTGTCTCTACTGCAATGCACATTCTTTGTGGACAAAAAATAATCTAATAAGCATCGCCAAATTTGAAAACTAGTTTGTTTTTATTTATTCTTTAGGAGGTTTACTGTTTTAATTATATCTATTGACCTTGAATTATAGCAATTATGTCAATTGTATTCAATGCAAAAATGTGAACCATATTTCTAAATAGCTCACCACTTGTCCCTAGTTGCTGCACGTGATCCATTCACTTATCTTGAGGTTTAGGAATGTGTTAACCAGAAAATTCTCAATATAGGAAATTTTATGTAGAAGATGTTTGATCTTATAAGATGCCATTGTTAACTGTTGTGTATCTTGTCCAAAACACAATCGTTTTGGATGCTGCCTGATATGCATTATTACATAAGAACCCGTTTTCTTGAATCTGCATTATTACATATAGTTACTTTATGGTCTGAACATTGAAGGAACAGATGGTGCGCAGTTAGCTTAAATGTTGGATTCTTTGGAGCGGGTAGAAAATGACAGATCGTGCCACCCACATGAGAGAGTTTTTTTCAAGGAACTAGATTAATTTTCAACATTCATCCACGGACTAAATTCTATAATCAGAAATTAAAAAAATCGAGGTTATTCTTGAAAAATCTATTTATTAAAACTTCAAAATTCGAAGTTGGAATTGGTCCTTAAGGATAATGAAAGAAACAGAGATAAAGGTATTTTGTTTTTTATATATTGACAAAATTTGCTACCCTACAAACAACAAAGTGTTTTTTTTGGGGGGGGGGGGGATGAATGCAATATAAGAATGGAGATTCGGAGTGCAAAGTGATGAACATGACGATTCTGCCTTTTGACCAACAACATTGTCTGAAAAATCAAAGCGCAGGTGTTGAAGGAAATGTAGTGTCTGCTAAGACATGGAAGAAGGAGAGACAAGCATGGCTTGTTTCTTTTTGTCTCCCAACACGCTGCAATCTTGGCCCCCACTCTTAAAACCTCTCCATAAACCATGCATCAATCATTACACTGTTTTCCTGTTCTGTAAGAGTCAGTGTCCACGTTTATATTTCAGTTACATCATTCATAAATTTCATGGTTATTAAGGAGTGTTTAAAGAAGATTTTTCTTAGAAATCACAAGAAGAACATATAATGTATATTTTCTTAATCAGTGTTACATTTTTCAAATTAATTTAACTAAACTCGTTACCCGGGGAGTATTGAGTAATAGTTGGATGGAATTTAATTAATGTGATTACATTATGTACACTTAAAAATAAATCAAGTTTTTGCATGGTAAAAGCATTAATTTGTTACGTAGAAAAAGCATACGTTTTGTCCAAAGCTACTACTATTATTTTTCAAGGAAACTTCCGGGCCATGCATGTTCAGTATTTTTCCTGTCAACTTCACGCCTTTCGGTTGTCTCTCTTGAACTCTTTGGTCGATGTGAGACCTAAAGTCGTCAAAGAAATTATTTGTGTAGAATCAGATAAGAGCTAGAGTAAATTTGTTTTTTCAGTAAATAATAAATGTGTACTTATTTTAAATTTAAGTTAAAAGAATGCTAACAAGAAAGAGTATGTTACTAGGTTTTTTAAAGAGGAAATGTACGGTAACTATAATTTATTAAAATTTAACACTAAATATTTCTTTAATTGTCTACTTTTAAAGTACTCACATTTAAAAGGTCCTTTCCCCTAAGAAAATTATCAGCAGAATTTCAGGCACAAGAACTGGGACCATTCAACTAGCATAAATGACAAACTTTCGGTGCCATGTCAAGTCCACTCAGCCGACTATTCAAGCTTCAGCAAATCATCGACATGGATTAGCAACTTGAAAGATGACATGAAAGATCATAATTATTCGGCTGTACTAGATGGTGAAACAAGAGTATTGCTACTTCCCAATCACATAACTGGCATCTGTATTTCTAAAACTGTACAACAACAATAGCCGCTTGAATGAATTCTCTCTAGCTTCCTACTCTCAAGTTTCCACATGAACAGCATCTTTTTGTCATCTGGGAAGAGATGAAAATCATCCACTAAACATTGGAAGTAAAAGAAAAAAAAGAGGAAAATATCAACTGTGATTTGAGGACTGCTTTATTAGAGGCTGAGAGGTCTTGGCCATCTCCTCAGGCTGGCTCTTTACCTCCATTAGCAATGCAACCACTTCCTTCATTGTGGGGCGTTCTGTTGGGGAAGAGTTCACACAGAACATAGCAATTCCAAGTGTTTGAAGCATCTCTTGCACCATTTGATCTGGTAGACCTTGGAGCTTCGTGTCTAGTATTGATACTGCTGGTTCAAAGCTTCCCATCTTCCTCTTCACCCACTCAACTATGTGTTGTCCATCTCCAACATTGGGTTCCACAGCACTACGCCCACTTAGTATCTCTAGCAAAACCACCCCATAACTATAGACATCACTCTTCTCTGTTATGTTCATGGAGTAGCCATATTCTGCATTGATGATGAAACATGATTAGAATTTAAAGCTTAAACCAATAGCAATAAATTACAAAAAATTGATCTCCAAATATTTCAGGGCTTGAACTGAACTGGTGCACATTGTTTCTATTTTGGCTGTCATGTGACTATTCAAGTCTGTTTTTGGTGATGCAAACTAAAATTAATTGAAATCAACAAATATAAGGGCATTAATTATGTAAATTATGCAAAGAATAAAAGTCAAGTACACTTGCCTGGGGCAATATAACCATAGGAACCAGCAACTCTGGACATTGCATGATGATAATTTGGTGAATTCATTAGCTTTGCAAGACCAAAATCTGCAAGATATGCCTCAAATTTGGAATCTAGGAGTATGTTATTGCATTTAACATCCCTATGAAGAATTGCGGGGACACAATCATGATGCAGGTAAGCTAGACCCTGAGCTGATCCAACAGCAATCTTGTATCTAGTTTCCCAGTCCAAGTTCCTGTTCCCTTGCAAAAGCTGTCTCAGATTACCATTTGGGATGTAGTTATAGAGAAGAAGATTGACACTTCTGTTAGAACAATAACCTATGAGCCTCACAATGTTCCTATGCCGAATGTACCCAAGAATCTGAATCTCAGCAGCAAAAGAATCCACCATTTCATCTGCTTTGTTTGCTTTCCAAAGCTTCTTCACTGCTATCAACTCCCCATTTGGCATCTCAGCTTTATACACAACACCAGAGCAACCCTTTCCAATCACATTTTCATCTTTCAAGCAATCCAAGATATTATCTATGGTGAAGTTTAGTTTCTGAAATGGAATGAAAGTCCAAGGATAAGAGAAATCCTCAGCTCCTGAGGTGGAGGTTGATGCCCCCAAAGTTTTTGAAACCCTGTACCTGTGATCTCGAGTTACTAGAATCCAGGATGCAATGAGAATTATAGTAACTGAGGCTAAAATTACAGTGATCAGAGCTATGGTTTTTGCAGATTTCAAACCATTTTTTCGAATCAGACTTGAAGAACATGTAGTCCCATCAATGGACTGACATAGGTGGGGGTTCTGAAGATATGAATTAGAAGATAGAGTTCTGAAGAATGGAGTTACCGGGATAGGACCTGAGAAATTGTTGTAGGAGATATTGAGGGAAGTGAGACTAGTGAGAGAACCCAGAATCTCAATTCCTCCATAAAGCCTATTATGAGAAAGGTCAAGTGATTGTAACTGTGTCAAAGCAGACATTGAATCTGGGATTTCTCCTGTGAAAGCATTTGAGCTCAAGTCCAAACTGATGGTTAAGCTTGTAACATAACCAATCTCAGATGGTATGCTACCAGAGAGGCTGTTGTAACTCAAATCCAGTAGAGTTAGCTTCTGCAAATTCCTAATGGATTTTGGGATTGATCCACTCAGCAGGTTATTGTTGAGGATGAGCTTGTTCAAATAGCTGAAGTTTCCAAAGCTCCAAGGAATTTCACCTGTCAAACTGTTCCTACTGAGATCAAGCTGCTCCAAATTTTCAAGTTCCCCAATCACAGATGGAATTTCCCCAGTGAGGTAGTTGTTATGCACATCTAAAAGCTCAAGAACTGTGATGTTGGCTATCTCCACTGGTAAGTT